CAATATTGTTTATTTTTATTAATTTTAATTTCATTTTTTACCTACGTGACTTTACCGAAAGAACTAAATAAAACAATATTGTTTATTTTTATTAATTTTAATTTCATTTTTCACTTACGTGACTTTACCGAAAGAACTAAGAATATGAATCATTGCAGTCACGAAAGCTTCAAATCTAGAATCAACGGTGTCATATGACAAATCGAAAATATTGCAGAAACATAAATCAATGTCAAATAATTACTTCCCTAATAATATAAAAAAATGGGGTTAGATCGAGTAAATATATAAATGTGTCGTTAAACCCGCCACCACCCGACACAGCCAATTAGTAAAGTTTGTCCATCTGGCTGTCGCCTTATGAAGCTGGTTGTAATTACTGGCGAAACGTCGTACTCAGATTGTAAATGTTGTGGCTTGGCTCTCCAACACACCGGTGCGCTGTACTAGTGACGAATTGGCCACGTTCTGTTTACGTGACAAACCTTACTCATTGGCTGTCAGGTGGTGGCAGGCTCAACGACACATTTATATATTTACACAATCTAACCCCCCATAAAAACCTCTATTATGGATATTGGTAGTGAAATCCTGCGTGTTAAAATGATCTCCCTGTAGCGTACGTCAGCTCGGGGTAAGATGACCACGACACTGATCAAAGTAGAGTACAATTGCCGGGAGACTTGGCGGCAGGTGAGTGACTGGCCCTCACACTTTTCTGTTGCGTGCAGTCACTTTAAGATGTTCTTGTTCATGTTTTTTGTTTTGTTGCGGTTGCACCCGAGTCAAGAGCCGCATGGCTTGCAGGGTTATACCTAATGAAACCGAAAACCTCCGATTAGCACGGTGGGCTACGTACGGTGCGAAAGAAGTTCAATATGCACGCATCAGTCAACAGCGATCCACAGATACGAATGAGAGACATCGCAGCGATACACTCTGCTGCTCCTCACGCGGTTGAACTGGCTTAACCAAAAAGGTCCCATTTGTGTGGCTAGTCACCCAGAGCGATAAATGCCCTGACAGTGGCATTGTCCTTGTACCGTTCGCCTTTTGGCGTTCTCTGGTCTGACACCGGTGAGACTGGGCCCTCAAGAAGGCTGCTGTCTCTGGTGTAGGCCAATCAGTTTCAAAGACAATACCCATATATTATCACAGCATGTTTGTTTGCATGTTCACCACAAGGACGTGTGGTTAATGCAACCATGATATCCTTGCAAAATGTTTCTATTTGGTGTTTGAACACCTTAACACCTCCTGTGTTATTGCCAGAAAGGGTAAAACCTATTCTCATTCTTTCATACTTTGATACTGTCAAAAAGGTTCCTCTTTTTGCGGCTTTGACCAACCTGAAATTTGCGGTTGCTGCTCTACATCTACCATCGGAAGCCACGCGGAAGACGAAGAACAGCGAGAGGGTGGATGTGCACTGGCTACTGATGTCACTCCAATTCGTTGTCACAGCCGAAGAGAAGGCGGCGGCCGAGGAGCTCCATGGGCAGCCGGGCGCCACGAACCTTCACGGAGGGGCACTGCGAGAGGTGAAGCGGCTGCTTGGGGCCGTAGGAAGTTGGTGGATCCGCGGGAAAAGAGAGACGGAGGAAGACAACAGCACGGAGAGCATCCCGTGAGTGACGGCCGGGGCAGTGATTGAGTTTCTCACCAACTCGATGTTTTTTTCCTCCCTCCGCCAGTCAGATTGATTGTTGGTCACAGCCCTCACCGATTCACTGCAGCCACTACTCCTCAATCGCCAGACGGTCAGTCGCCTCTTATAATTATCACTAATCGATCGTGGTTTCTGTTTCCAACGAATTTAATTCGCTGCTACTTCCACCCATGTTGAGGATTCGGTCTCCCAGATTGACTGTTTCATCCCGTCCGTACTGTGTTCAGCCACCACACTGCAGCTCAACAGCACTCACTCATTCACTTACTTGCACATTCACTCACCACGCTGCAGCTCAAACTCACTCATTCACTCACTTGCATATTCACTCACTCACTCAGCACACTCAGCTCACAACAGCAAACTGACTCATTCACTCACTTGCTCATTCACTCACTCACTCAGCACACTCAGCTCACAACAGCAAACTCACTCATTCACTAATTCACCATATTGCAGGTCAAAACAGCACACTTATTCATTCGCTTGCTCACTCACCACACTCACAATCCCCTACTGCAGTGCTCGACTTTTGAAAATTCCCTCCCATCATCTCTCGTCCAAAGGTCGCGTAGCATTGATCAAGGCACGAAAGTCCAAACTTCTTCTGTTCACCACGACGGATAATTACGGAGATTATCATTGACAGTGACCCACGAGGGGAGTGACCAGTCATGCCAACGCCGACGGGGAACGACGGCGGTAATAAAGGGGGAACGAATCAATTCGTGACAAACACGACGGCACGACAACAACGATGACACGAAGTGTCACTTCGTCTGCGCGACAGCTTGGGGCTGAACACCAGCGGCAGAGGTCGCAAACGGGTTTTGATTCCTTACCCGTACCCGGCCGCACCAGGGTCGCAAACGGGTACCCTACCCGGCCGGGTATCGGGTAGGGTACGGGTACCCGATTGCGACCTCTGGGATGAAGCCATGTTGCAGGCGTGGGTGGGTTGATTCTAGGAACTTGAATTGTGAGAAGAGACAAGACGTTGGGAAATGAGTGACAAACGGTGACTCACCAGTGACTCACGGCCTACCCGTACCCGGCTGGGTACGGGTAGCCGGGTATCGGGTAGCCGGGTATCGGGTAGGGTACGGGTATCGGGTACCTGGTTGTGACCTCTGACCAGCGGCGGCCCTCTCTCTCTCTGTTGGACCACTGCAGATCTTACCTGACGCACAGCATCGACTCGATCTCGGCGCTGCAGAAGGTGATGGCCCAACAGATCGTGGACTACCTGGAGGACAAGGACTGAGCCCAGGGGTGTGGTGACCCGGCCGAGGATGGCCGTGTCCACACAGGCACACGGGCTCGCTCGAACCCGGCCCATGCGGAGTTTTCACCGTCGATTCACCGTGGCTGGATTATCCGGCGTGCTCACGACCAAAAAAATACAGCGGAGGACAGACATGTCTTTACACGGTTTTGTTCTTTTAAATTGCGAGCTGCTCCTCACTTCTTAGAAGCGTCGCCTTCTCGGTGACCGCGAACAAAATGCGAGTAAACCGATTGCCGTTGAAGCTGTTACAACAAAAAACAGCGACGACGTTGTCTTCATCCCCATTCTACATAGTAAATAACACTTGTTTTTAAGATACTTATTTCCGTGGTTTTATTTTATCAGGGCCACCCGCTACAACTCACCCCCTTGCACCATTACCATGAATAATTATCGCGTTGACTGTCGTGTACATGGCCGCATCTAATCAGCCACCACCAACCATATAACGAATCCTCGTGACAAAACCCCACAACCCCCTGCAACTGACACTCCCCACCATCTCATGACACCAACACTACCCACAACTCCCAGGAGAGACTGGCAGCTTCCCAAAATCCCACCAAGACCCATACTATTTTCATTTACGTATCCAGGGTGTAAATCCGGCATGTGAGAAGGGGTGGCTGGCAGACCCCGGCAAGCGAACTTTTACACTGGTCTGGACTTTTGCAGCTGTTTTAGACAAATTTCTGGGTGCTGATTCCAAATCTGATCTCAGATTTGCTCTATCACATCTCATTTTTATGCTATCGGCATACCCCATTTTAATTGATTTTACCCGAAATTAACTCTGTCACTAATGATTGCAAGTTGTTGCGAGTCAGTGACTGCTTTAGTGTTAAAATATGGTGCTGTATTTTTAGGATAGTGTGTTTATAATATCATTTTATGTAGATATCCACATTTAATATTTTTCAGCAGTTTTGATTGAAAATGCAATATTTGATCTCAAAAACCTGATGTGATAGACAAAAACTGATGCCAGATTTGGAATCAGCACCCAAAAATTACCTTAAAACCGTTGGAATACCTTACGCCAGAAAAAATGTGTTGACCAGTGTTATCAGCGGAACAGTGTGCACGAAAACACGAGCGCGTGTTTGTGCACGTGGGTCAACTTAAGAAAAAAAACAAGTGGTCAGTCTGCCCCGCACGTACCTCTACCAGTTTACACACCGTTATCTATCCAAGGGAGAGGTCGGTACATACGCCACGAAAGCTGGTGGCCTCCTCTCAATTCTCCAACTATTTTGGTCACCCTTCGTGCCACTGGGAGGGTAACCCACAGCTTTCTCTGCCCAATGGGCCAGTGGTTCCAAGCTGCGATCCGAAGGACATTTGTAAGTTATCCATGGATCGTTTGCAGACAGAGTACTTACGATCTTTTTTCTCTCAAATAATTTTTTTACACTGCCCAATGTACTCATGAACATTGTTCTAATTACGTCGAGTCAATAAAAAAATACCAAGTTCTTAGCTTTTCATGGCTTTTTAATTAACATTTTACAGTGCTTTTGGAGTCGTTTTAATCTTGAAAATTCTTACTAATGCAAGGTGGTCCGCTACAAATGTTTATGCTTTGACAGTGGTCTTCGGGTTAAAGGCTGGAAATCACTGCCGGCAAGTAATCCGTCTGTGCCACGTGCATACAAACACAAGCACCGAATCTGGCCAAGGTCTCGGTGGTTTCAGGTGGAAGTTTCAATTCTGTTCTGTGGGATGCACCCAGCACATGCGTGCGAGCAAATTTCACAGCTCCATCTCCTCCGTGGTCATTCCTAAGTAAGACGCGTTCCATTAATTTGCCGACACTCGCTATCCCCACGCATCGACTAGCATCCCAACACGTGGCATGTGCTATCCGAGCCCACTTAACAGTTGCTAGAATGCTTTTGGTCCATTTAAAAAAACATAACAATATTGATTGAAAATGACAAGATAGCCTGCCGATAAAATGTTTAAACTCAGTTAATTACGCGTTTGTTGTTATCAATCGACACCCTGGATACCCCTTGCAAACAAGGTGTTCCATCTCAAGGGTTATTCCAGGTAATTCTTTTATTGCAAATAAAAAAACAAATAAACATGCACAATGTTTAGTTGCAAGTGTATGGACTCAATGATATTCCATCCAGCTTAGGAAATAGATGCCCAGGTGAGTTAAGAGCTTGGTGTGATGAGATCAGTCTCGTTTTATCTTTCATGGTGGGCGAGATGCCCCACCACATTCAGCCACGAATCAAGCACGGAACGCAACCTGGATTGTTCAATCTAAAATGCGACCAGGACTCAAGATGCCGTACAAATAGCCGTGGGCATGCGCATCCGAGCAGTCTTGGAAACAGTTTGTAAAGAGGTTCAAAGGGGAGTGCAGCAGCAGCAGCGAGGAGGCCCAGGACCCACGGCGAGAACACAATGGTGTGTGGGGCAAGGTGCGGGCGGAGACGCTTCACGGGGGAAGTGACGGCTGGAGACTGAAGAGAACAGAAGAAGATGATGATGATGAGAGGACAAAACCTCGAAGAGGGGGGAAAAAAACGCCACACCGGCGTTTCTCTCCTGAACGCTGAACATTACGATCGGCGGCAGGGTTTCCAGCCGGCGAGGCACAGGATGACCACCCCTCGGCGCGCACGCGTCCGTCACATGTGACGAGGTGAAATGGGGGAGGGGAGGGAGCGGAAAAAACGATAAATAAACCACGGCAGTTCCGCGCAAACGCGAGCGCTTTCGTGGACCATCCGTACGACGTGCTGAAATGAAGGGGGTGAAAAAACCTTCTAAGACACTTGGTAACAACCTTTCTTTAGAATTTGCTGTATTAAAAAAAATACCAATGACAATTCTAAGCGTAGACCGTCAATGTTTGTAACACGTTGGAAACAATTTGCTTTGCAAAAAACCGAGAAGATTAAAATTTCCCCCCCCCCAGAATTTTTCCAAGCATTATCTTGTTACGGCGTAATTAGCACATTCATCGGTAAACATAAGCGCTTTGATACACACACCGACCTAATATATTAAACCACCGTTACACTGCAGTTACAAATGTGTTTCGAAAGTGCTGCAAGGCAGCATAAACGTTCGTTTAAAACTGACGGACGGAGGGACAGCCTCAGCCTGTCTGCAGCTGTCAATTCCTGGAGGTCGGTGGGGATTGGCAAGTAAGATGGAACAGGATGGAACAGGATGGAACAGGATGGAACAGGATGGAACAGGATGGAACAAAGCAGAACTGCGTGGTGGGAATTAAGTTGGGATGATACCAGTTCAAAGAATCGGTTGCAAAAGACCTGGATGGTGATACACATCGCATGCTCCCCTTTAAAAAGTGCGCAATCCTCACAAAACTAATGTAACAACTTTACACATTTGATGGCTGCAGAATTTAAAAGTCGCCCAATAACTGCGGTGAAGTACAGTCCGTCGCTCACGTGCCCGATTGGTTCCCAGTTTAGCGCTTTTTTTCCAGAGGTACAAACGTTACCTGGCGACTTTAGACCCCACCGAATGGCTTTACCAACTCAACGAACAGATGTAAAACTCAGTCCGATGCTCTTCAAATGCCACACGAGAGAAGATTGTTTGCCAAATAACCGACAGGAAAAAAGTAGAAAGCTGAAAAGAATAAGCATATTTGTACGTTTGCGTTGATGAACATAATGTACACCAACTGCATGCTTTATTTTTGTTATTATTTGAGCAGCGGTGACGGAGGGCCGGGACGGCGATGCCGACAACAGGAAGAGCACAGACCGGTGCCGCGAAGATGGGGAAAACGAACCAGCGACTTCCGACAGATTTAATGAAAAAGCAAAAACATTACAGAAACGTCCCTTGACATCAGCTGGCTCTCACATCGCATGCAGACTGGTTTTCGCTTCAAATGGCTGCAAGTCTAAGAAACGAAACGTCATAATTTTCATCGTCGATTGGGTTTTTTTTCCATAATGCCGAACACGTTCCTGTACACAGCAGTTTGCGTCTCGCCGCAGAGTTTTACCATCCGTCCACACGTCAACACGAGCGCGGGCCAACTGGGGGGTTTGTTTTGTAACTGAACGTACAAAACAAAAATACACCCACAAAAAATGAAACGTGATTTTTAATTTTTTTTGCGCAACGGGATTGAGGACCGGGAGGAGATGGGTAGTTGGTGGGGGGGGGGGGGTCGGTAGGGATGGGAATTACAAGTCATCAGCCTATGGTCAGGCCGAAGCCGCACTGGAACTTGTTCTTGCGGTGGTTGATGAAGGCGGCGAGTGCCAGCGTGAGCGGGAGGGGTGGCAACTTCTTCTCGAGAACGGCGCCCACCGTCCAGTTGCTGTCCACCGTTCCTGCGGGGCGCCAAGAGGGCGGACGGGGTCAACAATAAGAATCTTACCGTGGCTCCCCACCGCTGACGTTCACGCGCACCCAAACGCGCATATTCATGGGCACACGCACAGTCCTTTTGCCCAGCCGCCGCTGCGTGGATTAGGGCCCGACCCATATGGCGTGAGTTTGTCCGACCGTGCTTCACCACGCTGGCCAGTGCCGGTTGGTGACCACACTGGTCAGTGCGAGTTGACGGGAAAGCAAAGGACATGGGAGTACAATAAGCGCAGTACAGCAATGGATTTTGCTGTACTGCCTCCTCCTACCGACAATGGAGCACAGCCCCGCAGTCGATTACGATGACATGAGGTGCACGATGATCACCCATCAAAGCGCTATCCAGGCTCAACCCCTGCCTAGCTTCTGAAAATCTGACCAGGTCAGGCCAACGCCAGGTAATTTGATCAAAGGCAAACACCGAATACACACACAAAGCAAAATGTACAACACATGCACACACATTCATATGCATCAAATACGCGTGCGCCATCCCAATGCTCGTTTGATGGGTAGCGGAGGGGGGCGGGGAAGGTGACGTTTAATGTCAAACGAAGGCCGTGCCGACCGCGCCAGTCACCGCCTACCCCGGAACACCATGTTGGCCTTGGGAAGGTCGATCTGGTACCCGAACGTGCACGCGGTGTCCTCCATGCGCATGTTCGCCTCCAGCTCCACGCCCACCTGGATCTGCAAGCGGGCGCGGGGAGTGACCGGGCGCTCGGGTGAGGCGGTGCTGACGTGTGACGCGGCGTGCCAGCACGTGGTGGTGGTGGTGGCAATGGCATCACAGTGGTGTGCAACAGACTAGCGCTATACATCTTGCGGTTTGGTAATACGTGGTGTGGCGTGGCAGAACTTGGCGTCTCTTCTTCTGTGTGGCTGCTCATGTGGATGCATAGCAACAACGACAATTTCACATTCAGAACTTGGTGTGATGTGGCAGAAGTAAAAAGTTAATTCTTTAGGAGTGCTTTTTGGATTTGTTGTCCTTCCCGCGCACCTCCGATTAGCACGGTTGGCTACGTACGGTGCGAAAGAAGTTCCACAAGACATAAGACTCACCTGTTCGTTGGCCTTCTGGTAGTAGCTCGCGTGGATGTTGGCAAGCCCGGCGTTTAGCGTCGCCACCCAGTTTGAGCCTACGAAACCACGTGGCAGGGTTGTTAATTTATGGTGTTTAGCGTTATTGATAATTGCATGCATAAAACTGAATAAAATGGTTTGCTGCACATATCGAAATATTCAACAATAAAAATCCTGCTGTGCGTTTGCCGACTTTCTTAACATACCACGAGGTGACTGAAGAGCCCCGAGGCTGGTGCTTAATGGCTGCAGCTTAACAATCAATTATGAACTTACCGTGCGGTTTGATAATTGAATAAATTTCGTTTTAAAGCTTTCGTGAGTGCATGGATTCATATTCTTGGTTCTTTCGGTAAAGTCACGTAGAAGGGAAATAATAAAATAATAAAAATAAAACATAATAAGATAAAATTCTCACGACGTTTCAGCCACAACGCAAGCAGCCGTCCTCAGGTGAAGAACAGGGCTGTCGGAAAGACACCGTCCTAATGAATTGTATCTTTTTTATTTTATTATTTCCCTTTGTGACTTTACCGAAAGAACCAATAATTGACGAATAATCCTAAACTAAGTGAACTATAATACAGCTTTATACTTGTATGCAGTTTTGAAAAGATGATAATATTTATAGTCGGTGATGTCAGGGTCAGAACTACTGCAATAGAAATGGCACAAAGAGTTCATGTCCATGACAGATGCTTCCCATCTTTGGTGATATTAAGCGTCTCTCATGGAAAGCCCTGTCCAACTGCACACATTATCCCACCAACGGATCCATTTTAAGATTCTAGTTATTTTGTTTAACTCAAGAGACCCGAATAATCTCTTTTGCAAGTATGACCCAAGTCACCAACGAAAGTGATGACCACTGTAACAGACTGCTACGCGAGCGAATGGCGATGAGTAAAAACTCACGAGCTCTTTGCGAGGTTCCCACGGCCTCTCAGGGCCACCAATTGCTGCCCCCTGTGCTACCATTTCATGGTGCCACGGGCTCCCACCAGCCCCCGCGTTACCATGCCATGGTGCCACCACCACCCCCCACTGCTACCGTGCTACGGTACCACCACCGCTCCCCGTCCTACTGTGCCACAGGCCCCCACCGCGCCACGGTGCCACCACCACCACCCCCCCCCCCGCACACCACACACCGGTGTATCGCGCCACTGCCGTGCTGACGGCGCCCTCCTCGCCAGGCCGCCTGTGGTACACCAGCTCCCCGCCCAGCGTCAGCTGCTCCGTCACACTCTGCAGGTAGTGCGCCACCATGATCACTGCAGCGGAGAGAGGGACGAACGGACAGCGAGTGCACCGGGAAAGGAGGGATGGATGGATGGGAGCGATGTTGGGAGAGCGGGTGGAAGACGGTTGTAGGGAGTCAGCATGGAGAGGATAGGTGGGAGGGAATGAAATAGGAAGAGAGAAGGGTGGCAGATAACAGCAAACAAGTTACGAAAAAACACTCAAAACGTATGACTTATGTTGCGCTTTCTATCATGCATTAGTAAATATTCATTAGTAGTATGGAAGCCAATGGGTAGCCGTCAGGGAAAAACAAAACAGCATTGTGGGAAATAATCACTTGGGCTTTGGTTTCTGTCCCAAAAGACTCACCACCCCCCCCCATGATTTAACGTATCATCACAATTTTATTCAGGAATGCATTAGAGTGTATAGTGGCTGGAGTGATTACATGAACCGATAGCAATATAAAAATTGTATATTGTCCATCCTTAAGATCACTCTTGGATGTACGTATTGTGAAGGTAAGATTTTTTAATTTTTTTTACTGCAGAATATATCCACCACACTAACCCAGAGTGTACACACAGCTGCTCCAGTGTGTGCATGCACACACATTCATATTACACGACAACAGCAAATACGACCTTAGCAAACAGGACGACAAGCGTGCAACGGTCTCCGTGCATTAATTACTCGACTCGGAGATGACGTCCGGGTTCCCCAGCGCCACGGTGGCCGTGTAGTCTTCCCCCCGGTACTCCGCGTCAAACTGCCAGGTCATGAACTTCGACTGCTGGGTCTGCTCACGGTCGCGCACACACACACAGGCGCGCGGGGGTCACGGAAGGTTCCGGAGGATGAGAGGCAATAGGACCGGACACGCAAAGAGGTCAGAGGTCATGACCACGACGGGTGAATGAATGGCCGATAAATGGCAGGCAGCGCGATTGTCAAGATTGGAGTGCCAAGGTGACGAAGGCACATTCTGTGGTGTATGTTTATGTATGTTGAACTTCTTTTGCACCGTACGTAAACCGTCATGGTAATCGGAAGTGCTTAGCCAACCGTGCTAATCGCATATTATGTGAAGAGAAGTGACTGGCAGAGGAGAATATTTACTAAACCACACCTGCGTGGGTGATTTGTGCAGTGCCCAAAGCCAATTACACAATGTCAAGAAACGACTTTTATTAATTTACACAATTACTGATCGATGTCAAAGGATATGGCTTGGAGCGAGGGTTAAAGTTAATGTTTAAAGCTAAGGGTCAGAATTGAGGTAACATTTAAATAATTTAAAGGATACAGGGATGAAGTTAAGGTATAAAGTTATGGTTAAGAGTTGAAATAAATTTGAAAATCACAGATGAGCGTTAACAAAAAAAGGATTAACGTTAAGGGTTTGAGCGCAGGTTAAAGTTTAAGGTTGGGTTAAAGGGTAGATAAAGGTCATATAGGTTTTAGCCAAATGTACCCTGGCTTGACTACTGTACGCAGCAAGTTGTTATTTTTAAAGCATTAGTGTCCCTTGTTACATAACGTGAAGTCTGTAACTTGTGCGATTTGTGTGCTAGGTGTGTGGCACGCTAATAAGAAACAATTAATACAATGACGACAAACTCATCGAGGGGGCACAAGGTGGACGCGCGGATGGACACTGCTGGAAAAAAGACATATGCCTGTTGTCCAGTCTTGGTCAATCATTGACGGGCGTTATAAGGGATCCTAGCTAGTTGTTTATGCAATCGTATCGATGACTGCTCCCCCCTGGTGGTAAACAGCGGTAGTGCAGCAGACGCGGCCATCAACAAGCTATCCGTCATGTTTCATAACAACCCTCCTCCCCCACCACAAAGGGTGGAATATGGGGCTCTGTAAACGGCCACACACGCGCTCAAAGCTTAGGCCGTGTGGTTGGGGTGGTGTCACCTTCTGTCTAGTGACACACACCGTACTTTGCCAACCGATTGGCAAGGTTGGCTACGTACGGTGCGAAAGAACTTCAATATACACACAGATGCTGATCGGTCACAGGATGTTGTCTACTGGACTGCCCGGCCCTGTCTGCATGCCCTGGAACAAAGAACATCTCTTACAAACACGGGGCTGAACAGTAGTGCATTGATAGTCAGTGGGGGGGCTCGCAGAGCCAATGCGCGATTGGTAACGGTTGCGTCTGCAATACGGATTCTCTATGGGGGAGTTCAAGTGCGACTAACAATTTTTAAATGGGGTTGCCACAGCCTGTTTGATTAGGTCACTGAGTATGGCTAAAGAATCAGATACACCGTGCCTTCAACTCCTCTGCCATGACGCTATAAAAATCTAAGCAGCAAAACCATAAATCGGGGTCCTTCCAACTATATTTTTCTGCAGGTCACACAATAAAAAAAGATCTGCACGTTTTAGTGCTCCACGTTTTATCGCAATATCACATATATAGAAGTTATGGCGTCACATGGCATCTTTGCGTCACGACCTCTGTACCAGGCGACCAATGTGCATCTCTCGTCTCCAGATCTCTCATGTTAGTATTGTTTCTATCTCGCTTTCATCTCACCAATCTGTTCCTCTCCGTGTCCCGGGCAAGCCGTATCTCTCGGCAGGTCATAGCTAGGCGGGCCATTTCAAGAGCCTTCGTGGGCCGGATGTGGCCCTGAGGACCCTCCCTAATTGAAGAACCCTGCTGTAATTTGACATTGCGTCTTAGCTAACAGGAGCTAATTCAGCAGCACAAGTTCTACACAAACCCACAGCTATTTATATTCCTGTATCAATAAACGTAGGCGTGTGGGTACAAGCACGACAACTCAGGCCAAGGGGACAAACAAGAGAAGGGGGAAGTAGAGGAAGATGAAATGCTCATGGCGGGCACGTTGCAGATAAAAAATAATTTTCGTATATGAAGATGACAGAAGTTCTGCTGTCGTTTTTTTTTCACTCCGACCCACAAACCTGCAGGGCCACCTTCCCTCGTAGCCGCTGCGTCAGCTGGTGGATGATCTGGGCGTTGAGGCTCCCCGTGTTGTCCACGTCGCCAATGATGACGGGAAAACACTGCCGCAGGGAACACACCAGGGATACACGCAGAGATACAAAGATCTCCCGTTAAACTTCAACAAACTTCAAGAGCACGTGCTCTTTGTCTTTCTCCCCAGTCCTACCCAACTGGGCTATAAGCGTCATATCAACAGATGAAGAAACCTGTGTACGAGTGAACAGCCCACGTAAGCGGATTTCACAAAACTACTTCTGAGATCCCTTCAAGTGACCTCTGGTCCACATGAAGAACGTTCCCAATCATGCTGCTACAGAGAGTAAGGTTAGACACATCGAAACAAAAAAACTATATTTGTCATTTTCAGAGCTTGACTTTATCCAAAAAGCATGAATTAAATTTAGTGCGATACTTTGTGTGCAATCTCATCTGTGATCAGGGATGAGATCATCAACTCTTTGCATTTGAGAACCCAGTTAAAACCAGAGGGTGCCTGCCTGGAATCAAAGCCAGGACCTCTGCGGTGCTAGCTCTGTGCTCCGACCTTTCAGCCCACCAGGATGCCTTTCTGGAGCAAGTTCTCTTATAGAGAGAGCACCTATGAAGTCTGGCAGATCACAAGAAGGCTTGGTGTGGGCGATGCCACTCCTTTACAACTTTATCCCTCCCCGGGGCAAAATGTTTGCCCCCTGGTACTCACTTTATGGCTTTTAGAAACCTATGGTCATCCAAGGCAGAGTTGAGAAATAATTTGCATAGCCAGCCATCAAACCGAGGTGTCAGGTTGGTTAGTGCTGTGGATGACCAACAATGCTGCTACTCTCAGAAGAGAGGCAGACCACTAATTTTATAGAGGGGGTTGTCCCCTCGCACCCAAACGCATGAGAGCCGTCCTGTCAACCTGAATGAATGCGAGGGAACAGTGGTGACTGCAGCTGTCTCGGCATCTCACCTCAGTGGGGCTGATCTGCTTCGTGCCCACGTAGGTCGTGCCGAAGTGGTAGTTAGACGGGCCGACGGTGCTCAGGTTCACGGTATGACTCACCTAACAAAGACACAGTCAGCGCATGCTTCACAAACACACGCACACCTAAGGCGGAACGTATCTGCATTGCGTACAGCCCTTCCATCGATGCACTGCTGGATGACGGCCTCCTCATGCCTACATGGGTTGCTGGGGTTACATACCTGTCAACCCATACGGTTTACCCGTATTCTTGTACAAGGAAATTGAGTTAAAACATGTTTTCTGTTTATTTGTTTGTGTTTCTCCCTTGTGACGGGACTTTGTAGGAAGAACGTGAACGTTGATATTTATCAGGGCACGGGGTGACCAATAAGGTCCGAATTGGCCTGTAATAAGGTAGGGCATTGATAAGGAGTTTATAGGTAGGGGGTTAGGTGACCATATTTGACCACACGAATTGGTGCAGGTTGGCGGCAGACAGCGCTTGCTTAAACAACGCAGACACAGCTGTTACTCGGAGTTGCAGATGCTGCTGTTCACAACAGACTGGTTACTTCAATTTCTTTGCTCTTTCCCCCTCCCAATTATTGTCCAATCATGCTGCTAAAATATCATGTCATGAGATAAAGACGTTTCCATTGGGACCTTTCGCAAAAAGGTGCACCATCTTGCCTCACTGATAACCGGAACAAGACTATCAACTTGCCGCGCTTCAGAACGCCGTTTGACAGCGGATAGCCGAAACCTGGGTTTGAACCCAGAATCACAGCAGTGCTGACTCAGTGCTCCAACCTCAAAGCTACCCAGCAACCTCCTTGCAAGAATCTATTTCCATCAATGCAACCTAACATGCCTATTCGCGTTCGATGTCAAGTTTTAATAAAAGAGTATTCCAGCCTTCCACGAATGCCGATATTGCGCAACGATTGGTATAACTAGACCAAGAACCATCAACTTAATGCAAATGAGTATCAAGGGCAGCTGAAACCATACTCTAGCCCAGGAAGGATCCAAGTGGTACTAGCTTAGTTCTCCAACACAGCCATTATGAACGCCCTAACCACCCATACATGTCATCAATATTATAGATCGCCTTTCTCTCTCTACTCTGTACCCTCATAGACCTCACTCCTCTCTTCCACCAACAACAAAATCTCTCCGAGCTGCGGTCACGATTCAAAACTTTTTTAAAACAAAATGCGTTTAATGGCAACCGTACGAATTTGCCAGTGAAGGGGGTTTGATTAAGGAGGCAGTTTCAGTATCTACGACTCCTTTCAATGCGAAGTTTCAGGAGAGCCTCTCCATCCCGGCACCCGCGACCCCAACCGACCCTCGTCCCGCCGAGTGACTTTACCTGGAAGTGGTTGCTAAGACCTTTGTTGATAACGAGCCGCACTCCCTCCATCTGTGCGGGGAACACCTCTGGATGTCGGAGGTTGGCGGGTGATGGTTTGTGGGATGGCAGTGGATGCAAAGTGGTGCGGATCAAGGGAGGGGGTCAGAATCGGGAATGAATGGCAAGGAGAGGGGTGGGGGGAATACAGTAAAGGAGAGGTCAGAATACAAAGTCAACAGGCACAACTCTCGCTACCCAAAAGCAGTGCTAGCCAGCACGTTGTGTGATGTAAATGTACAGCCCTATGTCGATCCATTGCGGCGTGGCTCATAAGGGCAATTTGACCATACTTCACCACACCGGTTTGTGTGCGTTGGTGGAGGCGGGCAGCAGCATTGGACATCGGAGCATAATAAAATATAACAAGGGATTATGCTGAACTGTCCACTGCTTACAAAGTAGCAACCACCCAGTTTTATGCAGGGAGGTTGCTAATACAAAGCACCATCCAGGCTCAAAACCTGCTTAGCTTCCACGATTTGGCGATTTGGTCACAGGCTGTGGCTTTTGTACCACTATCTCAAACCCTCTCTTGTCCATCATTCGCCCATCCTCACATGAGAGGACATTTCGGGTCACTTTGATCAATGCTCAGTAATTACTGGGGCAACACACGTCATGGGTTGCTGGAGGGCAGAGGCACATCAGACAAAACTTGCCTCACGTTCACGCCACTCGAGATATCGTTACCTTCGATTATTAAAACACATCTGTTACTACACGGTTATTTTATTATAATTATAAAAAGGCTCCACCTATAACGTCTTCAAGTCTTGTTCATGGAGAATGTACGAGACATTACTCACAAATCACAAGGAAACAGAATAGTTCTGTCATGATCATTTATTCAGAAACTCCCAAACCGATAGCTCGAGTGCTTATGCAATTCAACTCGTGAAAGAATTCATCCGGAACGTGCCGTAAGATGTTGGAAGTGAAGCAAGGTTGATTCTGGACAATGCTTGGACCTTAGATTTGATTTCAAGTGTGCGTGCAACTGATGGTTCTGCTTTGCAGACTAAGTTAAAAATATATTTTTTGCATGTGACATGTTCTATTAGCCTTGAATATAGCTGTATCATGTTGATGCACGACCTCGCCATTCGGAAACTTGACCATGTAAAGATGTTTTGGATTTATTTGTTCGTGTTTTTTTTGCTGTAACCAGGTTTTTGAAACCAAGTCCCCATCGAAAATGAGCATTTATTGCACGTTTGGTTTTACCTATGCCGAAATAAAACCTAAGCCTAGATCAGACATCACAATGCATACCAGGCTGTGTAGGCTGCTGCGGGGGCCACATTGTCAGAAGGGGGTCATTGCAGACAATACAATTGTTATACTGTACTGTGCTCAAACGCATATGCTTCTCGCCTTCACCAAACCTGCACCGACCAGGGTGGTGAAGTGATGGGCACCAGCCCGCACTGACCGCGTGAAGTAAAATAACCTTCACGAGCCGCAACCGCGTGGCGAGTGAGGCTCTCTCATTCATCGCTTGAATGACGAACGGTTGTAGAGATGCACAACTCGTACAGGACAAGTGCTTATCTCCAGTTTACAGCTCTGAGCCACCGTCTGAACGTTCACGTTCATATGCATGAGAGCGAGACATTCCGGGTTCAATGATGAAAATTGGATTACATCGTGTGCGTTGAACTTCTTTCACGCCGTACGTAGCCAACAGTGCTCATCGGAGGTGCGGGGGAAGGAAAGCTCTGCACAATAAGCAGTTCTGAAGAAATTAGATTTCGATTTAAAAGTGCATAGCTCCAGTGGCTTCCCGATATTGGAAGTAATAGGGAGTTCCAAAGGGCCGCAGAAGCGTATCTGAAAGCGTGCGATGCAGTGACCGCGTACATTGCGAAATGCCTGTAATGATCCAATAATTTAAACGTTTGCAGGAAACTCATTCAACTGTATTGAGACTCGGTGAGGTCTTAATGCACCTTCATTTTCATAATCATTAACCACGATGCATTTTCAAAAAATCACGGCCCTGCAAGGGCAATTAACCGCCCTTGAACTGGACAAGCCAACCCTCTCCCCATCGCTCGTCTCTCACTTCGGGACAGCCACGGCTGCTGTCGGAATGGCCCTTATCCTCATTATTCACTGCAGGAGCAGCGTGTGTCTCGTCCATGATGTTTGAAAACGGTGTACAGGAGATGGTGGTGGTGGCAATTATAAAAGGCGCGTGCGGCAGTAGTGGCCATTCAAACAATAAAAAAAATCCCATCATGGGTCCTTGTGGCTACTTGGGACTCCACGGCCGAGGCGGGTTACCATTCAGGCCCGTGAACAACGCTTTAAAGACACGCGTTGGTGGGATCATGTACGAGAGAGAGAGTTGCGAATACCATTCTTACGACAAATGCGCGCGAGCCCCGGGGCCTCCAAACGAGTCAGAACGAACTCCCGAGTGCGGGAGGCTTTGCTCACAATGATTCACTCGACAACATCGTCGAATGAATGAATGAATGAGAGAGAGCGCGATGGGTGACAAGAGCAGAGGCCTCACGCCCGCCGCCGCGCCTGATGGCACCGCTGACCTTTCGCCCAAAAGAATCCACCGGCGCTCTTCCCAGAATCTACCCCCCACCCACCCGCCACCGCCACATAACTCCCGACCTCACTCACCCTTGCACTTGCGGTGCAGCTCGTCGTACGTGCCCGGGTTGGGCAGCGAGGAGCGCGGCGCGGCCTCCCCACCCGACCCCGCAGCTCCCCCGGCAGTCGTCGTCCCTGAGGCCCCGTGCGGAGGCAACTGCGGGGCCACGAGGCCCGGCATCCCGGGCGGCGGCATGGGGAACCCCGGCGAGGACATCATCGGCGGCGGCGGCGGTGGCGGCTGAGCCGCCGCTACGTTGCCCATGACAAGAGGCGGCTCGAGGAGAGTTCGTTTGATCGGTGCGAGGAAGGCATGGCGAGCGAGCGAGGAGGAGGAGGGGGGGTAGAGAGTGAGAGGAGTCGATGCCGGCCCCGGCTGCCCGTAACCTTGCCGCGCCGCGCCGCACGCGCCTCCTCCCGCACTGCTCACTCCATGTGCTAGCGCGACGCGCTGCGATTGGCCGGCGCCGCGTCACGTGTCCCCCCCCCCCCGTTTCCGTTTCCGATGCGTCACATCCGCTTCCGAATCGGCGGTGCTCCGCTTTCTCCCTTTCAGGGGCGGGGGGGGGGGGTCCGCCGTTCGTCACGTGGGGTAAAGGCGAGTTCCGTTTTCGGAACGTCACGTCCGGCGAATCCGGTTTGCACGATGGAGCAACTCGCCTTCTCATTGGTCGACGGTACATCACGTGGTCGGAGCGCCGGGGGGGGTGTGTCGTTGTTTCGACGTCACGTCCGGGAGTTTTTTTTACTTGTCTCCTCCCCCTTTCCTGCGGTTCTCCTATTGGTCGCGTGACGTCATCCGGGGGCGGGGGGCGAAGCGCGTCACGTGGGTCGCGAGTGCGCGGCCTCAGAGGACGACGTCGCGGACTTTCGTATCCTTAACTGCTGACGTCACATCCGGTAATGAGCATCGCCGATACCCGGATGTGACTTAGACCACCCGCCGCCAGATTTAACAAAACAACTCAACACGTTCGTAAATAAGCACCGCGTGGCATTAAAACGAAAAATATATAATATATAATAGGAGATGTTTCGGGCAATGAACTTTCTTTAGCGCCATTGCATTTAACCGTTTGATTAACTGCGACTCGTGTCGGTGACGTCACATCCGGCAAGTATATAAATAATCAAGCCCCGACTAAGAACACAACTTTCACGCGGCTTTAGTGTCTGTAGCATCGCTCCTTTCTGCTCTTATTTTGCTACCTGGTTCTTTATTATCTTCCAAAGACGGCCTAGTAAGTGCTACTTTGTTACTATTATATCATCCCTCACCTCCTCCCGCCCTGTCAATTAAACGGCGCGGTCTAATTGGCCGGGAGACGCTGCACTGTACAGGAACACGTGGAGCTGCTGATGCTACTGCGTGTTGACTCATTCTGCTGAGTGTCCACTGCTGATTGACTGCTGCGTGTTGATTCTGACTGCTCCTTGTCGACTGTGATTGACTGCTGCGTGTTGACTCATTCTGCTGAGTGTCCACTGCTGATTGACTGCTGCGTGTTGATTCTGACTGCTCCTTGTCGACTGTGATTGACTGCTGCGTGTTGATTCATTCTGCTGAGTGTCCACTGCTGATTGACTGCTGCGTGTTGACTCATTCTGCTGAGTGTCCACTGCTGATTGACTGCTGCGTGTTGATTCTGACTGCTCCTTGTCGACTGGGATTGACTGCTGCGTGTTGATTCATTCTGCTGAGTGTCCACTGCTGATTGACTGCTGCGTGTTGACTCATTCTGCTGAGTGTCCACTGCTGATTGACTGCTGCGTGTTGATTCTGACTCTGCTGAGTGTCCACTGCTGATTGACTGCTGCGTGTTGACTCTGACTGCTCAGTGTCCACTGCTGATTGACTGCTGCGTGTTGACTCTGACTGCTCCTTGTCGACTGTGATTGACTGCTGCGTGTTGACTGACTCTGCTGAGTGTCCACTGCTGATTGACTGCTGCGTGTTGACTGACACTGCTCCTTGTCGACTGCTGCGTGTTGGTTTTGCTGTTGTCGCGAGTAGGCGATGTCTACGAACCAGGACGCCGAGGCGCGCGGCTTGCGGTCCGGAGGCCCCGTCTTCTCGGACCTTGACGCCGGAGACCCCGACCAGGAAACCACGGAGATGGAGTCGTTGTGCATGCGGTGCTACGATAACGTGCGTGCTGGCTGTGGGGACGGCGATATCGGCCAGGGAAGGAGTAGGGGGTAGCTGTGGAGACGGGCGTAGCGACGGAGTTATGATTGGTAGTGGTGTCATGATTGTCAGTGTTGGCATTGATGTCTGGTGGGACCGTCACAGCTAGATTTACTGTATCAAGTGGAATGTTTTGCCTCACTTGATACAGTAATTCTAATAAATCTGGCTGTGACGGTCCCACCTGATGACGGAGACTTGTGTTGCCTCCGAAACGTCTATTAATTTTATTTTTACCTACGTGACTTTACCGAAAAAACCTAAGAGTATGAAACTTTGCAGTCACAAAAGCTTCAAATCTAGAATTGATGTCTGGGTTAGAGTGGCAGAGTCATTGTTATTGTGGTTTGGGTACTCGATTTAGGATTAGTCGTATCAGAACTAGTGGTATTGTCAAGAGATGGAGTCACGGCTAAATGGTGTAATCAATGGTGGTGGTAGTTCTCGTGTCAGTGTTGTTAGGGATATGGTTTCTAGCAGTCACATCGTTCTAAATTGTATATATTTCACTGATACTGTCATGACGAGCAGTAGTGTTAGTTCGCGTGTCGGGGCTAGCAGCAGTGTTTGTAGTAGCCGCAGTCTGCGATCACTGTTTCATTGCTTTTATGGCTTTATTTTGGTGATTTCGAAAAGTTTCTTGGTTTAGCCATGTTTGTTTGTTGTAGTACGGAGTAAGACTGATGGCCTTAATCTAAGTTGTCTTGTGGTTGTTGTTGTTTGACTTGCATCCCACTGAGATTTTTGCACACAGCGTTGGTGTACGGTGCTTTTTCTGCAATATTTTGCTGTCTTTTCCTGGATTTTCTGTTTGCACTTAGTCACTTTAAGATGTTTTCTTGTTTTTGTTTTTTGTTTGTTGCGGTTGCACCCGATTCAAGAGCCGAATGGCTCACAGGGCTATACTGTATACCAAATAAATGAACTTGAACGTTGGGTTCGTCCTTTGCGCCCTTGCAGGGAGTGACACGGCTGCTCTTCACGCGCATCCCGTTCTTCAGGGAGGTGGTGCTGAGCTCGTTCTCGTGCGAACACTGCGGATTCGCCAACAGCGAGATCCTGTCAGCGGGACGCGTGCAGGAGAAGGGAGTACGCTACGAGCTCAGCGTGCGGAGCCCCAAGGTGAAGAGCATCCTTGACCTCTTGAGACGGCGTGGGGAGGAGGGACTGTGAAACTATTTTTTTTATTTTAACCCACTGAGCGAGCTAGCTAGCTATCACCAATGATAGCTCAACGAAGTGGCTTATCACGTGTGGAAATTTAGAGCAGTGTTTCATATCTAAATGTGGAGGGAGAAACCGGAGGGCCGGGAGAAAAATCCACTTGACCGCGGAGAAAAGGCATGTTAACTCTAAATATAAAGCAGGCATCAGGGACGGGATAGAACCCACGGCCTCATGTATACCAGGCGAGGCAGTTAACATCTCGCCACCAGGGCACCCCAGTAGGGTTGGCTCTAGATTATTCGTAGAGCAAATTATCCGTGGGCGAATTACCCCATGCTCACTGACTGACCAGCTCTGCTTCTCATTGACTCTGGGATGGTCGGCTTCCGGTCAGGATTAATTTGCGCTCGCAACCTTCCGATTTGAGACTAGCACTCAAATCTCTTACTGTCCGGGGCTATGTGGTGAGCAGGGAGAAGTTAGTGCAGCAAAATACGTAGTTGTACTGTACTATACTCCCACGTCTATGCTCCCCTCCTTCAATCAAGATGGACGTTTCGTCAAGGTCAAGATGTGCATCTGAGTCATCCGTACAGAGTAGCAAAAGATGCTATGGGCAGTTGGAACATCAACATTGACTTTAGACCGGCGTACGGCATGTTAACGATCAACCCCTGCCAGTAATCTCCATGACTCGTCACGATTCATGGTTGCGATTTTGATTGAAGAAGCCATACATTTTTAATTGTCTCATTTTCACCGTCTTGTTCGTGTTCAAATTTTGTCCCGTCACATGTTTATAAGTTGGTTAGCCCAAATGTAACATCCTGTCATTTTCATAAGCCGATTTTTTTATCAATTCATACTGTGATGTATTTTTACCGATTGCGCCATTTGACTACGCATTGATTATTTTCCTCTGGTGCCCCAATCGTCTAACTCCCACCCATCTGTGCTGTTGACTTCCCCTACCCCCTTTGAAGTCCAGGCTTAAAGCCTTTTTGTTTTGCCTGTTAGGACGGCTGCATTTTCAACTTAAATTTTTTATTGGTGGCCAAAACAATAGCACGGTCACGTTGAGCTCTTAGAGATTGTGACTGAGACGAAAGACTAATAACACTGGTCAACACACTTTTTCTGGCATAAGGTATTCCAACGGTTTTAAGGTAATTTTGGGGTGCTGATTCCAAATCTGGCATCAGTTTTTGTCTATCACATCAGGTTTTTTAGATCAAATATTGCATTTTCAATAAAAATGGCAGAAGAAAAATATTAAATAAATGTGAATATTTACATAAAATGATATTATAAACACACTATCCTAAAAATACAGCACCATATTTTAACACTAAATCAGTCACTGACTCGCAACAACTTGCAATCATAAGTGACAGTTAATTTCGGGTAAAATCAATGAGAATGGGGTATGCCGATAGCATAAAAATGAGATGTGATAGAGCAAATCTGAGATCAGATTTGCAATCAGCACCCTGAAATTAGTCTAAAACAGCTGCAAAAGAAAAAAATTTGTTGACCAGTGATATAAGAGAATTGGACATAGTCCAGTGATCACGTGACATGGGAGTCATGCCTCCCTGCTGTTTGTGAGCAGCACAGATTTGCCTGTTCAGTTATATCTTTGTGTTTTCAGCCTGCACGTATTCTTTTGTTGTGATGGGTCTTATCATCATCAGAAATTGTTGGATTTCAACATAAATGACCACTGTTTTTGCGTAGCGTCTCGAGAGATGCTGTTTGCGTTTTAAACTCTACGTAAATCCACGCTGTATTTTATTGCTTTCATAATGAGCTCTTGCCCGGTTGTAAATGAAAGCCAGTTTTCCATGTGACCGAGCAACCTGACCCCTGACCTTCAATAGGACCTGGACCGCGAAGTGGTGAAGGCCGGCAGTGCAACCACGCTCATCCCCGAGCTCGACTTTGAGATCCCGGCCTTCACACAGAAAGGAGGTGAGTGCCCACACAGACTATCAACTCATTCTAAACTTACTTTTTCTTTTACCAGGTAAGGCCCACTGAGCTTCATAGCTATTTTTCAGAAACGACCTGGCCACAAATGATAGCGCACCGAAGTGGTTTATCACGCGGAAATGTATAGCAGCAAAATACTATAACCTCGTGTCGATTCTAAATGTGGAGGAAAAACCCGGAGGACCTGGAGATCATGCTTGTTATAAGCTTTATAAATAGTAATTGTTAGAAAATTTTATTACAGGTCTTTACTGAGTGAACTGCAGTTGAATTTGAAAAAAGCATGCAACAAAAATGTGAAATATGCATCTAGAGTTATGGGAAACTGATATTACAATAACCAACATCGTGAAAAGTGAGTCTTCAACATTTTACGTGGCCTCAGTGCACCTAGCCTGGCACAAGCATTCTGTTGACATCACCAACACTTGCTAGCGAACTGTCGCTGTTGTCGTTTGAATATACCTGTGCGAGTGTTCTTTAGAAACTGATCTTTGTGTTTAGTTTGTTGTCCCTCCCCTGCTCCTCTGATTAGCACGGTTGGACTATGTACGGTGCTGAATAAATTCTACATACATGTGTTTGTGTGCATGTATGCGTATGTACTTGTGTGCGTGCGTGTTTTGCGTGTCACTGCATACGTTTGTATGTTAACGTGTTCTCATGTGTGTGTTTGTGTGTTTGTGCGTACGCATGCAGCTCTCTCCACCATCGAGGGCCTCATCGATCGCGCTGTCGCCGGCCTGGAGCAGGACCAACCTGAACGCATGGTGAGCGCCGCACCTCCGAGCAGAATCAGAATATTTATACTGGAGGAATCCGATGAACTATAAAGCTCTTATTCAGATATATACAATAGATTTGTGTGGTTGACTACTTATGATGCGAGAGAAGTTCTACATACATACACCCGTGCCCACTGCTGCCTTCGATTCTCAATCGCGAGTGCTACCCTCCGAGGCCGTGTGGGTTTTGCTTCTCATATGCGTCCACATTAAAGGGGGCGGTGTATTCTCTGTGGCCGAGTGGCTCTGTGGGTAGAGTGTGTGACCTGCATTCACAAAGTTGTGGGTTTGAAATTTTGGTCAAGATTCAACGGTGTAGAGTCGTTAAGTGATTTTTACCTGTTCCAGCTCGTTGGTTTAACCTTTTCGCTTCCCGCGTGCAGACGCAAGACCCGCAGGCGGCGGAGAAAATCGACGCGTTCGTCGCCAAGCTGAAGAAGCTCAAGGAGCTGCAGTCGCCGTTCACGCTGGTGGGCCTCCTCCGCCGCCGTGCATTGCCAGCGGCACCGTTCTCTCTCGTCCCTTCGGCGTTTTTCGTCGAACTTTGCAGGAGGATTTACTGTGAAAGTTTGCCAAAATTGGGAAAATTGCCTGGAAAATAACCTTAGGAGAAATATGGAAAAACTGCATGGCAACAATGCCCATGCTGCTTGACTAATTCCCATTTGCAGGACAGTGCTGTTTAAACGTTGTGCCACTGTAGATCCCCTTGACTAGAAAGCTGCTGGGCTTTGGAATGGTTAAGATAAGATAATGATGTACGGCATGTTGGGTTTAAGAGGCATTTCATCTCTCCAAGTATGAACATCTTCATACGTTTGTCATATTGTTTCGTTGCTTCATGATAATAATAACAACGATCCCTTGCCTTGCCCCTCAGGTAATCGATGACCCTTCGGGGAACAGCTTTGTGGAGAACCCGAGCGCGCCACAGCGCGACGAGGGCCTGCACACCTCGCACTACGAGCGCAGCCGTGCGCAGGACGTCGCGCTCGGCCTGAAGGTCAGAGACGCGCCGTCTCCTCCAGAAACTAAAAGTGGAACTTTTTGTCACAGCCAAGTGTACCCTTAAACGCGTGACGTTGATCCTAAATGTGGAGAGGGAAAACCGGAGGACCCGGAGAAAAATTCACACAGCCACGGGGATGGAGACATGCAAACTCCCAAGTATACAGGCGTCACGGTCGGGATTGAACCCAACCAAATCCTACCACCAACTATTACCAACTTAGCCTACCAAATGCTAGCTGTACTCGTAACCAAAATCAACTCGCCAACCAAACTGCTGGCTCCAACCCTTGTTCAAAACTGACTAGCCATCTGAATGCTAGTCCCCTACCCTGACGCTATAGTCAAGAAGCTACTAACCCTTCCCCACCTCCGATTACCATGGTTGGATACGTAACGTGTGGAAGAAGTTCAGCATACATGCAACCCTAGCGCCACCTGTGTTGCTTCTCCAAGGCTCTATTTCACTTTTTGTTCGCTTTTCACTTCATACGGCCATCACACGCAGTGAATTGTGGTCCAAACTACCCCGAGTGGATTGACATTGTGTTAATATTACATCTACATCACTACGGCAAGGGTTACAAGTGTGGACCTGTAACAAATGGGCAGTCGATTAAGCAGTGCCGGAGGGATGAGAGGCTGAGTGGAGCCACCCCCTTGAACATTATTCACAACCTAGTTTCATGCAATAATAGTAATAATTAAACAAAATGGTGTATTCATTACCCGGTTATCGCATTCGTCCAGAGGGAGGGCGGGGGACGGGAGGCCATCATCACCATGCGTTTATACAGTATTTGATGATGATGATGTTCAGGACTTGATTCTCACAAAACCAAGTGAAATTATTAATATAGTGAGAGGTACGAGGTGGCTCAGGTGCAAAAATATTTTCTGGGTCACTGGTCGCTGGTCCGGACAGAACTGGCTTAAAGTAAGCCATGATGATGATCATGTCTGGAACAGGCAGATGATGATGAAGGTGACGAAGACCAAAAGGTTGACGTGACGACCACACAAGAGGTGATAACCAAGCCTGAAGAGGACAGAGAGGGTAACGAAGACCTCAGGAACGAGGTGAGTGGCCGCCCGGGACCGGTCAGCCAAGGCAGTGTTGTTTACAAAGGTCGCAAATTTACTGACGTGGCAAAACATCGCCATGTGCTTCTGTCCCCAGGTCCTCAAGTTTTCCACAAACTGCCCCGAGTGCAACGCGCCGGCATCGACCAACATGAAGCTCATCCGTATCCTCGGCTTAGTTTCTCATTCAATATTTTATGGTCACTAGAAGCATTAAGTGGCAAAACTAAATCTTTATATAACGTTTTTTTGTTATAGTCTTGGGGACTGGCTGCAACTATTAGTGTGTTCTCCAGATTGTAAGATGCTCCGCAAAGTAAGACACCCATGGCTTTGGGGTCATATTTGAAAAAAAGTGTCTTTATAATCGGAGAACCGTCTTCCAGAAGATGAATACGAATGCTCTGCTTGAAAATGTTTATGTATGTTGGACTTATATTGCACCGTACGTTTCCAACCGTGCTAAAATGGGGGGATATGTCTTATGGAAGATTATTCTACATGGCTGGTGGAGTCTTCTTATCCTCCGGGTATTTTTGGATTGAAATGGAGAAAGGCCTTCCAAAAGGTGCTCCCAAGCAACTTTATTCAAACACATCTTCCGGGAGACGGGTGTATTCCAGTGGCCCACTGAGGCGAAGGAGGGCTGTCCGTGAGCTACTGACTACCCGTCTGGGTTTCCCATCGCTGGCGTATCCTCTCTGGAATATAAGATGAACACCCAACTTTTACTTTTTAAAAAATACAGCGGGGACAAAAGTGCATCTTACAATCCGGAGAGTACGGTAACTCGCTACACTTGACAAGCCGGTGTCATCACGGGTGGCTGAAACCCAGATGCGTCGTTCATTGTTTTGCGACATCTGCCCTCCTGCCTCATTGCCGATAATTATTGGTGAGATTGAAATGTGCCGTTACCGCGTGACCTTGACCTTCGACCTCCCAGAAATCCCTCACTTCAAGGAAGTCATCATTATGGCCACCAACTGCGATGTGTGCGGACACCGGACTAACGAGGTGACTTTTACGTTGTTTTGTTTAAATTCATAATAAAATAAATTTAGCCTTGTTTTTCAGTCACAGTATGATACATCTACTTTAATATTGATTATTACACTCGTAATGCATGCATGGAATTGTTCTCAATAGCATTGATACACGAGCTCTCCAACTAGCCCAACTAGCCAACCTTCCTCTAGCACCGGGGTCGGCAACCAAAATAACGAGAAGAGACATTTTTTTTCTAATTTGATTTAAAAAAAAACCTCCGTATTTGAAGAGCCCCAATGCGTGTGAATAACGTCACAAAGCAGTCCTTAAAGAGCCGCACGCGGTTCCGGAGCCACGGGTTGCCAACCCCTGCTCTGGCAATAGACCATCACCTGTTGGCAGCCCTCTCTTATGACACGTTCGTTTGCGCAACCGACCAACACAATCGTGAATGTGCGACTTGCCCTAACCCTGCCCGGCGCACGCCAGGGGTTTCCTTCCCTTCGTCTTAACTCAGCGTCGCATCGACATCGCAAGAGCGACGGCCGTCGTTTGGTTGTGTCCGCCTCGATCTCGTTTCCACGACCTGCCACCAATTGCGCCTCGTGCACCGTAGACGCTGCCGCCGCGGCGTGACGGGTCGCACGCCGGACTCGCAGTTCGGAGGTCGGCCCGTTCGATGCGACCTCCCGGCTTGGTGGTTGGAACATTGGGAACATTTCTAAATTTCCCCCACCCCTCTCATCGCCTCTGCCCACCTGATAGTATACATGTTTACACCACGATGTCGGTGTGGAAGAGTAGGCCAAATGCCCTCGGGCGGGGGCTGTACGAGTGCTTTCTCTGTTGGAGGCTCTCCAGTGTGCTTTAAAATCTATATTGAAAACTCCTTTCTTGAGAACTGATTGTTGTGTTTAGTTTGTTGGCCTTCCCCCGCAACTCGCCTCCAATTGGCACGGTTGGCTACGTACGGTTCTACATACATTGGGTGGGCAGTGGCGTTCACGAGCAATTGCAGTGCTGCGGCTTTACCGTTCACTCCCACCCCACCCTAGGTAAAGTCAGGAGGAGCCATCGAGCCACTGGGGACGAGAATCACGCTCAGGGTGACCGACCCCTCCGACATGACCCGCGATCTGCTCAAGGTAATGGCTCCCGCCGCCCGGCGGCCATGCTGACTGGCTGTGCGTGCGTTGTGGTTGTGTGTTTGTTCATTTTAGGAAGCCACAGGAGCTATGCACTTTTAAATCTGTATTTAAAATAATTTCTTTAGAAGTGCTTTTTTGTGCAAAATAAGTTTCTACATACGTACGTATGTACGTGTGTGCTCGGCCCAGCCATAAATAAGTTATCTGGTGCCGGTGTGTAAACATCAGCACTGATGGTTAGTACACTGACCACCACTACCCCACCCTGTGCGCCGTGCCGGCCTTAATAGGTGCTCGCGCACACAGCACTATCCAAAGCGGTCTGTCGAAGGCTACGCAGGGGATCTTTGTCATTGATTGTGACAGTGTTGATGGGCGAGTTATGTATTCGGTCATCATAAAGGTTTTTTGGGTTAGATCGCGTTATTTATAAATGTGTCGCAACCCTCCACCACCCAACACGGGCAATCGGTAAAAAATGTGTCACGTTGACAAAAGACAAATAGTTCACTACTTTAGCCCACTGGTGTGTTGAAGAGTGATTCCACAACATTTACAATTTGAGTGACGTTTCAATGGAAATTACATCCAACATCTTCGGGTGATTTGCCAGAATAGTTCTGTATTCATGTGTGTGGTTGTGAGAGTTTGTATTTGTGGTCGTGTGTTAACAGCACTTACCCCAACACTCTGTTCAGGCTACACGGGGGATCTTTGTCTTTGGTTGTGTGTTTATTGCACCGCGCAACAAACCCGGCTACCTGAGTTTATCCCAGTCACAGCTGACGTCGGTGGCGAACGATATCCGAACTGATCCCGAGCCTTCCCTCGCTGGTCAAGTGCACGGTTGTGGCAATGTTGGCAGCTGTGTTGTGTATTCTTGGTTCTTTCGGTAAAGTCACGTAGAAGGAAAATAATAAAATAATACAAATATAAAACAATAAAATTCTCACGATGTTTCGATTGCAACACAAGCAATCGTCATCGGGTGATGATTATTATTTCCCTTCTACGTGACTTTACCGAAAGAACCAAGAATATAAATCCCTGCAGTCACGAAAGCTTTAAATCAAAAGTTGTGTTATGTGTTAACGCATGTGTTGGGCCAGTGTTGGAGGTTGTGATTTGTATATGCGGTTGTGACACGTTGGCTTATATGGTTGTCGCCGTGTGTGTGCGCGTGTACGGTTATGCCAACGGTGGACGTTCCGTGCGGTGCCCGCAGTCCGAAACCTGCGCGGTTCGAATCCCGGAGCTGGAGTTTGAGCTGGGCATGGGAGCTCTGGGCGGCAAGTTCACCACCCTCGAGGGGCTGCTCTCCGACATCAGGGACCTGGTGCCAGACCCACAACCTCGACCAGATCGTTGCACTCATCATCATTTTTAAAACAGCATCGGCACCAACTCTACCCGCATCACCAACAGCCATGCGTTTAATAGGTTTTTTTTTCGATTCTCGGTATTGCTAAAGAACAGAACTGAACAACAACTGTGGGTTAAAATGTGGGCACATTTTTCTTCTTAAATAATGGATTAATCGAGAGGCTACCCATTTCAGTGCAATCCCCGTGGCACGGCAGTTGAAACAACGGGCAGGTGTTTCGCACGCCGCTCGCATCTGTCCAACCCAGAGGATAAGTGGATCTGTCCACCGCACCTCCGGTTGGCTTACGTACCTTGCGAAACAAGTTAAACATAGTTTAACACGTAGGCTTTCGTGACCAATATCATCCATAATAGAGTTTTTTTTGGGGGTTAGATCCCGTAAATAAATGTGTCGTTAAAACCCGCCACCACCCGACAGCCAACTAGTAAGGGTTGTCACGTAAACACCGGTGTGCTGTACTTGTGACGAATTGGCACGTTCTGTTTATATGACAACCCTTACTAGTTGGCTGTGTCGGGTGGTGGCAGGTTTTGACGACACATATTTATACGTGATCTAACCCAAAAAAAACCCCTCTATTATGGAAGTTAAACATACATACACGTACATACACCAATAGTCGATTGCTAGGTCACGTTTGGTTGGGTAAAATGCTTGGGACTCCCCATCCCCACCTCTCTTCCAAGATGTTTGACCAGTGTGGAAGATGAGATGAAATATCCTCTTAGTGTGGCTTTCTCGAGCGCGTGGAGGCCCTGCTTGCTAGCAGTGGATGCCCCTCTACAATCGCTTGCGGGCGTGTCTGCGTTGAGCCTGCCAAAGTTTGATGTGTCTGTCTGTAAGCCTGAGAGATCTCATGTGCGGTATTTCGTTTTGCAGATTGTTGCCAAAAACCCGTTCTTGTCTGGCGACAGCTCCACTCCGAACAGGAATAAGAAGATACAGGAGTTTGGACGGAAGTTGGAGGAGGTGAGCATCATTGGGGGAATGCATAGGAGGTATTTTTGAACCGGTGAGAGATACGGGGACCCTGTTGTTGCTGTTACAACCGATGTGCCGAAAGATAAATATTTAATTCGGTGAATATCGGAGACGGAGAGCGAGATTAGCGAGATGAAAGCGTGATCAACAACAGGACGATGAGAGACTTGAAAACTTGAGGTACACGTTCGTGGTCACATGTTACAGACGTCATGATGTCGCGACGTCATGTGTGGCCCGCCAGCACGCCGATATTATCGTGCGACGATAAAATCGGTGATTAATTTGAAAGGGGGTCCACGCGACTCGTCTCTTGGATGTAAGGCTCTTGATTTGTTTGTTGCCCGCACCTCACCACACCACCCCCTTTGTAACCTCTCTCCCCTTGTTCCTTTTCGAACCTTTCACCAAGGTTCTCTCTGCCACCCCCCGCCCCCCCATTCTCTACTTCTGCCCCAATCACCGCTTTTCCTTAACCATCCCGTTTTCCCACATTTTTCTCCCAATTAAACCTCTCAACCAATCCCACGTCGCGCCCCCCCCCCCTCTCAGTCGTTTATTAATTACCCTCAGGTGTTCTCACATGACCCTTACATATTTATAGACACCATGAGCATGTTTTTATTTTGTAAGGCATTGCAAGTGAAGAATGATGACCATATTTGGTTAGTGCTTCTGCAACACTGCCAAATGCAGTTGATTTTAATTTGATTAGTTTGCAGTCTTCTTACTGTTTCACGATGATCACACATGGCCGTGCGTACGTTAATGGCGGTCCCTGGGAACTTGTTTAGATCCAGGCAGGGAGGATGGTGGTGCACGTGGTTCTTGATGACTCCGCTGGGAACAGCTACCTCCAGGTGAGTGTCCGTGTCCACCCCTGATGTAGCGACTCTCACCCGACCTTCATGTATGCTTGTATGTTGAACTTATTTCACATCGTACAAAGCCAACCGTGCTAATCGGAGGTGTCACCTTCCTGACACTTCTCACCCCTCCCTGACCCTCGCCCCTCTCCCGACATCTAACACTTGATTTGACCATTAACCAGGGGCGGTTTCTTCATTAGGGCGATTGGGCGACGCACCACCAATGTCATTCAACCACAGAGTCACGCTAGCCGTCACTGTCAGCCTCTGGATATAGTCCAATCAGCGTCATGTCACGTTCTGTGGAGTACCGCCTCTTTTGGGGCGATTTCACTACGGCTGAGAATCGCCCCGAGTGGCCCCATAGACTTACATTCAAAGATGTTTTTTTTCGAACGGGGGCGCTCCAATGCATTCTCTATGGCTTCCGGGAGGGCATGCACTAACGTGCTTACGTCATCATACGTGCTTACGTCATCATACGTAAGCACGTTTCATCCAACAATATAATTTATCGCTACCTAGTGGAATCTTTCATAAAATAAACTTGAGTGGTTTGTTTTAATAGTGAGTATATAAACAAACAAGATGTATTGTAAGAGTCACTTTATTTTTCATTAATATTAAAGAAGTGAAGTTGCCTTTACATGCTTAAGCTGTTAATTTATTCATTGCATGGGTGGACCTTATCCTTATCAATCATCCAGACATTTGCCCCCCCTGAGAGATTTTGCAGGAGCCGCCACTGCCATTAACGGTCATTACTTTAATCTAACCACTCATCTCTCGCCTAACACTCTCTAGCTTCGTACATCGATTATTGAGGTGTGCAGTTATGACGAGGATAACAACGACGACGGTCACAAACCAGCTACGACATTGGAAACATATCCGTCCGCAACATGACCGTTTTCTTGCCAACCTCAGAACGTCTACGCGCCCGAGCCGGACCCGGAGATGACCGTGGAACGATATGAGCGGAGCTACGACCAAAACGACGACCTGGGCATCAACGACATGCGCGTTGAGAACTACGGTGAGGAGGAGGAGGAGGGCGGTGACGGCGGCACGGAGGGAAGCGGCAGTGGCACGACCAACAGTGCCGAGCGGAGCGACTCTGAGCGCAAGGCTGTGCCCGGAGACCCCACACTCGCCACTCTGTCTTAACACGCGTCCACTGCTCTCCTGTTGTTGCCTTCCCAATGACACCTTTACTGCTACAAGCACATCCGTGGCAACGTGGCGCCATCACAACGCAGGTGGCTTTCCGCTGGCTATATCCTGTGCCAAGCCAGAACCAACCCGTGATATGCTGGCCTAGCAAAGCATCTCAATCTGGCTTGGGGCCCGGGCAGGCCTAATAATGCATCCATTGCGTGTGGCATCAGTATACAACTGAAATACAGCGTCGCCGTGTCATCCGCGTGAGTCTCGACTCGTTCATTGTGTGTGGCGTTTGCGACACGGGTTGGCTTTCGCAGTGGAATAACTAACTGATGTGATGTAAATAGTAATTTAAGTAACGCAAAATCGTGCTGAAAGCGCTGTGGTCATTTAAGTTTGTTTTTAGGTCACGCTCATAAGCAGTCGAATGATAAATGTTTGTTCTTGAGTTTGTTCTGCAGAGCGTTCCACACGACAGGGCCCGCATTGCGTTTGTATTCGGGCTCGCGTCACAACAAGATGCACCCCACCACAAGCAGCAGATCTCGCTCGTTGCCGTTGGTCGTTGGCGGGAGTTTATTGGCCCCGACAAACCGAGGCGGCATGCCCTGGGTCCGCCTCCAGGCTGGCTCGGCTCGCCATGGCCCAGGTGCGACTCTGTTGTGCAGTGGAAAATGGAGACCCACACATGGGGTGGCTGCCCCACGGCAACCTCGGGAACTACCGGCTGGAGCTGAATCTTGAGAACCGCGTGATGGAATTTGATCAGTCCCGTGATGTCTGTGCAAGGATGGAGTAGACTGGGTGTTGGGGGAGTTTATTGGGAAATTCAACTGTACTCTGACATAGGGTAATCTCGCAACATTTTTTTATTTTGCGAGATTACTCCCAAACACACCGGTGGTGCTGAAGCAGTAATTATTTGGCACGTTTGTTACGTAACACATTTATTAATTGGCTGTGTCTGGGTGCAGGAGGCTTTCCAAACATGCATTTCATTTACTCAAACCTAACCCAAAAGAAACCAATTATGAATCGTTATTGGTCGTCAAAGCCTACCTATAAAATAGGGAGAGGATTAGCGTCTATCTAGCGCTGGCCTTATTGTCAGCGTTATATTAAGACATTTTCGAGAGGATTATTTTGATGGACAGGTTTATGGATCCGAAAGCGGCCCTGGTGGAAGAGTTGGGAGGGGGGAGTGATTTAATGAGTATCTGGATGGATGAGTGGTTGCGTGAGTGGGTGGATATGAACCAATTGCTTACACTCAACTTGCTCATCTCTCTAATGTATGTTTCGATTTAAAGCTTTCATGACTGCAGGGATTCATCTTCTTGGTTCTTTCGGTAAAGTCACGTAGAAGGGAAATAATAAAATAATAAAAATAAAACAATACAATTCTCACGACGTTTCGGCCACAACGCAAGCAGCCGTCCTCAGGTGAAGAACCAAGAAGACGAATCTCTAATGTAGTTGTATAAAACTCGCCAAAACTTTCCTGCACATGCACATCGATATGGATATCGTACTTTAGGAAATGTGCGTCTCATGACTCCTGTAGTTCAACTATTTATTAGTTAAAATCGCCATGCAAGAACAATACAATTACGCTCTGATATATAAAAAAAACAATCGACATGAATGCAAATTGCCTTAAAAATGTTTGTGAATTGTCCAAAAGCTCTTGAATAAATATCCTGCGCCACGGCAAATGGTTGTTTGTGATGCATTTGTTTCCTGCCGACAACGGAGAGTTCTGTCCAAGCCGTGGCCTCGACTGGGGAGTTCGCGGTGGCAGAAGTGGCAGCGAGACGCGTCATTGACTCGGCGGCCCTTCAGTGTCCATCGCCACGCAACTCGTTCGTTCTCAAGCGAAGGGCTCTTAGTAGCTGCACCCGAGGCTGCTTCGCGACGTGAGGCTGGGCACCCCCCTGGGATTGTTAAGTGCTTCATGATGCCTTTGGCCTGCAAGGTGCTGTATAAGTGCAATGTTATTGTCACAGCCAAGCTATGACCGAGCAGCTGGTTGTGATTTTTTAAGTCTTTTTTTTTTTCCCTCGTTACCAAGAGCCCATGCCAAACGGACTACAGCTGTGCATTTAAAACATGTTTTTAGCAAGCATCTTCAACTCCACCCTTTGCAAAGCTCGGGCCGCCACAACTTAATTCTTCGTAAGTAGCGTCCACCTGCATATGCGCGTCAGAGCAGAGCTGTCAACCCATACGGTTTGCCCGTATTTTTGTACAGGAAAATTTAGTAAAAGTATTTTTTTGTGTGTTTTTCCCTTGTGGTGAGACTTTTTAGGGTGAACGTTGAGATTTATCAGGGCACTGGGGTGGCCAATAAGGTCTGAATTGGTCTGTAATAAGGTAGGGCACTGATAAGAGGTTGACAGTTACGGCAGAGTTTTACAGACGTGAGAGTGCAAATAGTCAAAAGCATAACTCAGACGTGGAGAACCTATGATCCATGGGCCAGACACGTCTGTCACTGCAAGACCCTCTTGCAGTGGTCGAAGTGACTTGAGTTCTGTAATAATTTGTGGCCCACGCCGAAGGGCGTTGAAAGTCTATCCAGCCCCTGGCATCAATCATTGTGTGAGCATGCCTAGCAATGTCTGGTTGTACTCATTAGCCAGAACACACGATCCTGAGCTGCCCGGTTCCGATTGGCGTGAGGGTCCGGCACCTCTCCTTTTGGCCCAAACAGTCTGTCAATTGGCATCTGTGTTGAGGTGGCACCAACTGATGTATACCTACCGAGGTCGTGTGTTAGTGAGTATTCTACACAGTTTTGATAAACCTAGGGGGCTGACTGAGAATGGTGTCTGGGTTTGGCCTACTGTGGACAAGGTGGGAGACCGTTGTTGAGCATAACCCCGAACGGTGAACGGCACAACCCCACTCGGTTGGCCTGGCACCATGGCCGAGCCAGAGGACGGGGAGGCCCGTGTCGGCTGCTATCTCTGCAGGTTGCAGGGTTCCAGTGGTGCCAAGGCAGGCGCTCCATCCTGGACGCTCACGTTGTAGGTGCAGTAGGTCTCCCTGCACGCGAGCCCAGACACGCAAACGGATTCGAGCAGCCGGTGGCCGGCGGCAAGTTTGATGTGAACGTGTGGACATTGTACAGCCCCCACTGCCTGATGAGGATATCCTACCCCGCCATACGAGTCATTTGGGTTATTTAACCATGATTCTAGATTTGAAGCTTTCGTGACTGCAAGGATTCATATTCTTAGGTTTTTTTCGGTAAAGTCACGTAGGTAAAACAATTTAAATTAACAAAAGTAAAATAAAAAATAAATAAAATTTCACATTTTTATTTTATTTTTATTTTACTTTTATTAATTTAAATTTTTTACCTACGTGACTTTACCGAAAAAACCTAAGAATATGAATTTTTTAACCATATTTCACCGTGCATGTTTGCGGAGGCAGGGCTGCATATATGTGGGAGCATAGAGCCCAGCACAATACTACATTGGGTGCACTGACCTCTGACCTTGTAGTTGCAGAGGGTTTTTTTGTACAAAATTTTTCCATTCACATCATCATGAGTCATGATCGTACTTTACATGTATGATAATGAAATCCATTCGAAAATTGTGAGGAATTTGAATTTAAAATTACAAGCGTATCTTTCCCGGCCTATGTAATTCAGGCACAATATTTTGAAGGATGATTATATTTTGATTTAAAGCTTTCGTGACTGCAGGGATTCATATTCTTGGTTCTTTCGGTAAAGTCACGTGACTTTACCGAAAGAACCAAGAAGATGATTATATTGTTAATGTTTTGGATTTTACCAAATTGTGTAAATGTGCAATGTGGGTGTGTTTATGATTCTCTCCTGGGTGGACCATGTAAATGTGCACGTGGCCACTAAGACCTAATTGGGTGCACCGTGTGAATGGACTACCCGTTGTGGATGGGCCAGGGCGACAGGACGAGGCGGGCGATGTGGAGACGATAGGAGATGAACAGGCGGCGGAACGAAGGCCCTCGGAAACGAACGGTCACGGCGACAAGGGGCCCCGGAAGGCCCTCCACAAACAGCAGACGCATCGCCTGGCGGCCTTCCATGAAGTTTCTGGAGGTCCTGTACGCTCCGGCCACAGTGGAAGAAGATCGCAAATGCTCACGACTTATTCTCTGCCCAGTTCGATCGTCGGGGGGTGGTGGAGGCATCGGTGTGTACGGGAGTTTGTCAATCCGAAGCTGGACGAGGGATCTTGGTGGCTTATTTCACTGTACTTCGCGCTGGTCAGTGTGGTTAGGTGAAGGCGGGGAGCATAGATGTCGTGGCACAGCATAGAAGTAGAGTAACAACATAGTCTACTTGCACTACCCTCTGCTGTCCTGCAACATCCTCCAACATTCTGACCACACGTGGTAGTCAGCCATCAAAGCGCTAGAACAAGGCTCGAAAATCTCGCTTCGCTTCCAAGGTGTGATGGGGCGCATATTAAGATATCAACATTGATTTTTAAAAAAACGAACTTTCAGAATGTCTCTCCAAACAAAAAAGAAAATATGTTTTGTCCAACAAGATAAAAAAATTTTTTTCGTACTTTTGTCATCCAACAGCATCGCGCGCTTTCAGATGTGCTTCTGAGGCCGTCTGGAACGCTCTTCCTTCCGATACTAGGAAGCCACTGGAGCTATGCACCTCGGATTAGCACGGTTGGCTACGTACGGTGCGAAAGTAGTTCGATATATATACAGGCTACCAGAGACCCGTAAAATATGTACACAAACCCGGCACACCACATCGAGTATGCATCCCGTTATTGGCCGTGCCTGCGGCTAAAATTGACGTGCGCCCTCCTGTTAACAAGCGCTTGAGCAGAAAAATGCCCCCGAATGGTAACAAGGACGGCGGGGATTGAAGGGGAAATGCCGTCCGTGCCGGGTGTGGCGAGTCTCACGGCACGACGGCCACCTCCTCCGTCACCGAGCGGTTGGCGTGGAGACGCACGAACAGCGACCCCCGCACCACGGGGTCACGAGACTCCACCTGGGCCAGGTAATAGGTGACTGCAAAACACAAAAGAGAAAGAACCCCCCCCCCCCATTGTAGAAGTTTAAAATGTGTGGGGTTTTTTTTTTTTTAAGACTTGGTTACGTATTGTGAGGATATTTTTTTTACAGCATTTGCTGCTACTGGACATCTGTGAAAAAGAGCTTTATCGCTCATCAGATTCCTCCAGTATAAATACAGATTCTGATTTGAATTATGTTATTGGTGTTGCTGTTGCGATTGTGGTCATGTCTGTTGTGAATGTTTATCAAACGTTTATGAGTGTTCTTGTGATTTTTTTTTATTCGCTTACCTATTAAAGTGAGGCCATTTCATTTGTTTTGTTAAATGAAACCATTTGTAGATTTGAAATTTGTGCTATTGTCGCACAAAGCTTGCAGGAATGTGCCGTTTCACAGATGAGTCGCCTGCTTGCCTTCAGAGACTAACCTCCCTGCTCCTGATGACGACTGCTTGTGTTGCGATCGAAACGTCGTGATATTTTGAATCACTTTATTATTTTTTTCTATCTACGTGACTTTACCGAAAGAACCATAGAATATGAATAGCCTGCGGTAGTTTCACAAAAGATAGCGCTGTTACCAAATGTAATTTGCTCTTAATAAAAAAAAAATTCTTTTTTTACAATCACATCGGTACCCATAACTTACTTTTTTCTACCAATATCCTCACGAGATCTGTAAGATCCACTGCGACACAGACGGCACGTGGCATCCATCGTCAATACACTTGCAGCGTTAACCAGGGTGGCCGTCGGGCTCAAACCGCAAAACCTTTGCAACGAGCGGGAAAGTCGTGGTACCTGCTCGACCGTGTCAACCACATTTAGAATCGTGTGAAGCGTCCGATGCCGCTGCTGCTGTTTTTGGTGTTGTCGCTGCTGCTGCTGTTAACTGTTGTTGTTGTGTTCACTGACCACAATAAGGGGGTGCTTTGGCCGTGTTCATGTGAAGGACGATCGACTCGGACTCGCTCACCCCACAGACCCCGTCAGCTGTCCGGTCGGCGGACACAACACAAAGGACATTAGCAACAGTATTCACATTTGTGACCAATCATCAAAAACTAACGATCCCTTTGTCGCCGTTCACGGACTGTTGGCGCCGCGAGGGCCATCGGCGATCGTCGATGAAGGCCGGCACAACGATGCAAGAGGGGATTGTTCGTGGCCAGCACCACGTACGTCCGGCCGCCTGCGTCTTGCCAGTGCTGATGTTTACACACCACGCACGAGGCGCTCGTTGAAGGCCGAATCAGCCTCGGGGGAGGCCGCGATAGGGATCTGACTCAGGTGGCTGGGTCACGAAGTGCAGTGTGCTGCCAACTATGCTACCTCTTATTCTTGGTTCTTTCGGTAAAGTCACGAGAAGAAGGGAAATAATAAAATAATAAATATAAAACAATCAAATTCTCACGACGTTTCGATTGATTGTGTTGCAATCGAAACGTCGTGAGCATTTTTTTTTTTATTATTTCCCTTCTACATGACTTTACCGAAAGAACCAAGAATATGAATCCCTGCAGTCTCGAAAGCTTTAAATCGAAATATGCAACCTCTTATTTTGTACGTTGCAGACTCACTGGCAAGAGGCCATGGGACAGGCCCAAGGTGTTGTTAGTTTACTGAGATGACTGACAAGTTGTCCACCTTTTTCACGATTTCCAATCATTTCTATTCATATGCAAGTTAAGACACTACAACACACTGGATGTGCCTGATGATTGGTAATCATGGAAAGTTGTACCATGGAGAGGGGGGGGGGTCATGACGACTGTTGAGAAAACACTGCTCTACATACACGTACACACAGACACTGGCCACAGGTTGCTGCGGAGTCTTGTAAAAAAAAACCCCAGGGGTCCGAGAGGTCCCCTCCACCATAGCCACGCGAACCGGTGCACTGGCTGAGGCGCGTGGTGTTAGGCTATGGATAGGGTTAGGGATATGGTCAGAGTTAGCGTCATGTGTTCGGTTTGGGGCCAGAATTAAATGCTGTACAACAAAGATCCCCCCGTATCACTTGCACAGACTTTCGGAGCAAGTGCTGCTTGGTTTGCAAGTAGCGCCTATGAAGGCCGGCACGGCACACAACAGGGTGGGCGGTCAGCACCACACCCGGCCACTTTTGTCTCCCTAGTGGTGATGTTGACTACACACCGCACCAGGTACTCATTTGTGGCCGAGTCGACCTAAGCAGGTTAGGGTTAGATACAAACACAGTCACACGTACACAGGGCCTCCCCGTGAGAACCTGAGTGGCCCTCCCCGTGAGTACCTGGGTGGCCCTCTCCATGAGTGCCGGAGTGGCCCTCTCCATGAGTACCTGAGAGGTCCTCTCAGTGAGAACCTGAGTGGCCCTCTCCGTGAGTACTAGAGTGGTCCTCTCCATGAGTATCTGAGTGGCCCTCTCCGTGAGTACCAGAGTGGCCCTCTCCATGAGTACCTGAGTGGTCCTCTCAGTGAGAACCTGAGTGGCCCTCTCCGTGAGTACCAGAGTGGTCCTCTCAGTGAGAACCTGAGTGGCCCTCTCCGTGAGTACTAGAGTGGTCCTCTCCATGAGTACCTGAGTGGTCCTCTCAGTGAGAACCTGAGTGGCCCTCTCCGTGAGTACCTGAGTGGTCCTCTCAGTGAGAACCTGAGTGGCCCTCTCCGTGAGTACTAGAGTGGTCCTCTCCATGAGTACCTGAGTGGCCCTCTCCGTGAGTACCAGAGTGGCACTCTCCGTGAGTACCAGAGTGGCCCTCTCCGTGAGTACCTGAGTGGTCCTCTCCGTGAGTACCGGAGTGGCCCTCTTAGTAAGTACCTGAGTGGCCCTCTGCATGAGTACCGGAAAGGCCCTCTTCATGATTATCGGAGTGGTCCTCTTCATGAGTACCTGAGAGGCCCTCTCTGTGAGTACCGGAGTGGCCCTCTCCATGAGTACCTGAGAGGCCCTCTCCGTGAGTACCTGAGTGGCCCTCTCCATGAGTACCTGAGAGGCCCTCTCCGTGAGTACCTGAGTGCAGGCCCAGGCGGGGGCACGATGCCGTGCGCTCCGTGCGGCACTCGAGGCAGCGTCCGGCGGCCAGGGCGGCGGCGGAGTCGCACGGGAAGGCGCGCAGCTCGCACGGGGAGCGCAGGGAGCTCAGCCACAGCCGCACGGCGCGCATGTGGTCGCAGATCACCGGTGACTCCATATCCTCGGTGAATCCTGAGGTTGCAGGTGAAGGACGGCGAGCGGGCGGGAGGAGCCAAGTGGTGACGACCCTACCACATTATTTTGGGGGGCTCTACTGAAAGTTCTGCCCATTTGACATAGCCAAGCCCACTGAATTACTCGCCCTGTCCACACAGAGTGGCCTCCTCACTCTTTCTGACATTGGCTCCGCCCACTGCTCAGGTAGCCCCCCCCCCACTGATTAGGTAGCCACTCCCTTTGCTCGCATCTCGAGTCGAGCGTGAAACCAGACAGACGTTAAGCCGGGGACGAAATCCCGATTTTCACGAACCAAGGCGTTGGCACAGTGCCGTGTGGCAGGAGCACGAAGCGGTGTGTGGAGTCACCTCCTGTGAGCGTCGTCTTCGGGCATCCCGGTTGGTCCTCTCCGCCGTTCACGTAGAAATCCACGTGGCCCAGGGTCCGCCGAATACCAAACTCTGCACGCACGCACACAGGCGCACACACACAAGTGCACAGTCACACACGTGCGCACACACACACACGGGTGTACACTCATACACGTGCGCACTCATACACGTGCGCACACACACACGGGTGTACACTCATACACGTGCGCACACACGCGCGCACACTCATACACGCATTCAACACGCGTGTGCATACGCATACACGCGTGCACCCCTTTCGATGTCTAAACTGAATCAAAGGGGCTGCACGCGTACATAACCAGATTACCGCCGACTGCACGGCGTGCGGGGAAGGCTGCTGGTGCCGCATCGGCCCGCGTGGACATCAGAGAAGCCACTCGAAGCGGCAGCAGCCGCTGCCATGGCAAGGATCGACGCCGTCGATGGAGAGGCGCGTAGCGCGGTGCGGGGGGTGGGGGGTGGGGGGGGTCTCACTGTCGCCGTCCGTGTGCACCACGTCCACGAAGGCCGCGTCGCTCGGGTCGAGTCGCTCCGCGGGGTCGGCCTGGGAGAACTTGGGTCCTGCGGGGTCGAGGGCTGAGCGGGAGAGGGGCCAGGGGAGGTGGAGGGGGCGGGAGGTGGAGGTGGAGGGAGGTGGAGGGGGCGGGAGGTGGAGGGGCCAGGGGAGGTGGAGGGGCGGGAGGTGGAGGTGGAGGGAGGTGGAGGGGGCGGGAGGTGGAGGGGCCAGGGGAGGTGGAGGGGGCGGGAGGTGGAGGGAGGTGGAGGGGGCGGGAGGTGGAGGGAGGTGGAGGTGGCGGGAGGTGGAGGGGGTGGGAGGTGGAGGGAGGAGAGGAGCGATAGGAGACGTGTTCTCATCTTCTTCATGATTATCAATCATCGTCGACCATGGTCAATCCACTGCTGGATCAAGGCCTCCCTCTCCAAGCCATCGCCGTCTGTCATGGTTCTGCGATGCTATGAGTAACACGGTCTTAGTTATCAGTCGCACAATGATTCATGGAATCAAAGAGATTATTTTTCTTTCATCATGCGTTGAAGAACTATTTACGATTTCTACAAATTAATATTCAGCATTAATTTCTTTATCATCATCATGAGCCACGGTTCATCCACTGCTAGATGAAGGCCTTCCCAGGCAAGGGGTCCATAAGGGATGTTGTCGGTGTCGGTCACCTATCAAATCTCCCACCTCGCGATTTGATGATTTTCCACGATTCTGATTCGCTATTCAAAATTTATACCGCTGGGTAACAGAGGCAGGGGGATGTAAGAAACTTGCTCCATTGGCGATTGAACTGGCAACCTCAAGATCAGGGGCGGTTTCTTCATTAGGGCGATTGGGCGACGCACCACCAATCTCAGCCGTCACTGTGCCTCTGGATATAGTCCAATCAGCGTCATGTCACGTTCTGTGGAGTACCGCCTCTTTTTGGGCGATTTCACTCTGGCTGAGAATCGCCCAGAGTGTTCCCATAGACTTACATTCAAAGATGTTTTTTTTCGAACGGCGGGCGCTGCAATGCATTCTCTATGGCTTCCGGGAGGGCTCGCCCTAACGTGCTTACGTCATCATACGTAAGCACGTTTCAGTCAACAATATTATTTGTCGCCACCTAGTGGAATCTTTAATAAAATAAACTTGAGTGGATTGTAATAATAGTGAGTATAGAAACAAACAAGATGTATTGTAAGTCACTTTATTTTTCATTAATATTAAAGAAGTGAAGTTGCCTTTACATGCTTAAGCTGTTAATTTATCCATTGCATGGGTGGACCTTATCCTTATCAATCATCCAGACATTTGCCCCCCCTGAGAGATTTTGCAGGAGCCACCACTGCTCAAGATTGCAAGTCCAGTGTCAGAACCATTACCACCATGATGCCCCCCCCCCCCCACACCCCCAACGTAGTACGATAACATTGAAGCGTCTCCGTATTGTGTGGCAACCCCAGCGCCCACCTGTGATTTTCGCGATCCTCCCTGAGAAGTAGCTGCCTGTGAAGCCTGCAACGTGCGCTCCCAGGCTCACCCCCACCAGGTGCACACGCTCTGCACGCACGCCCCGTTGCACCTGGGGGGCAGGTAGCGGGTCGGGGTGAGGTGCCTCCAGGCATCGGTTGGGGGTATCTGTGGCCCACTCAGGGTGGTGTACCACCCCCCCCTCCCACCCCTTCTCTCGAAGTATGTAATGAATGTGCATGGATATTATGGATATGTGATTGGATATATGGATGTGAATGGATGTAACCAATATTATCCATAAGAGGTTGTTTGGGTTAGATCACGTAAATATAAATGTGTCGTTAAACCCGCCACCACCCGACACAGCCAATTAGTAAGGTTTGTCACGTAAACAAAACGTGCCAATTCGTTACTAGATCAGCACGCCTGTGGGTTGCAGAGTAAATCCACTACAACATTTACAATTCGAGTTCCGTGACGTTTCGCCAGCAATTACAACCAGCATCATCAGGCGCTAGCCAGATATTGGTTTTCCGAAATGCCTGTTCACCCAGCAACGAATATTGTTTTTTTTTATATATATAAGGGGGTACAAATATTCGGTACAGAAACCAACATCATTGAAAATCGCTTCCGAGGGAGGGACAAACATTTGTTTCTGGGGGAACATCAATGCTGTGCGCACCTACCATGAGCGTGGTGATCATGTTGGCGATGATCCTGCCTGCCTCCCGGGTCTTCTGCACCGCCAGCGGGTACCTGGGAACACAGCCCGTGCCATGCAGCGCGCCCTCATGCGACGAGGCGAGAGTGGAGCCACTGTGTGACTCTCCAAGTTCGATTAAAGTGGCAATAATTTCACCGAGTAAGTGACCGACACGTTCTTCACTTAAGCAAAATAACCGCAAAGTGTCGTTGTGGCGCGTTACTGGCAAGACAAACGAGGCCTCGTTCCCAAACTGGTAGGAGGGTTTTAATTTATTTGGTGTGCGTGCGCGTGTTTGTTGGGCTTCTTTCTTGTGTATAAAATTAATGTACAGTGTTGTGGCATGCTGTTGGCGTGAATGATGCCATATAAAATGAAAGTTATTATTATTCCTGGCTCTCCACGCAAAGAATGCAAGTTTATTTGTTACACTACCAACTTGTCCCTGGGAGTGCATCCTATCAGCAACATTGGTTCAATAAAGCAAACTTTGGACTGGTTTCAATATTCAGTGTCTCACCAGCGGAGTCAGGCTTGCTTGAATCAATGCTGGTGAACTGTCCGAATTTTATGGGCAAGGACGCTTTCTGTAAGAAATGGGTCCTAGTTCAATGCAACAGTATACAATACGTCGCACGAAATATACATCAAGTTGCATTTTTGAGAATGTCCATGACAAAATAAACAAAAGCCTCCCCCCCAATATTTGTCTCTGGCCAAAGTAAAATATCCAATTTGGTTGAAGCGTCCTTTATTTTCACCGGGCGGGAGACCCAACGCCGTGAGGCTTCACCAATTTGTTGCGCCGCGATTCCAGTCGACGGCGATGATGTTGGTGCCGGGGGGGTCTGGAGTTGCCCCGAGAAGCTCAGACACCATCTCATCGAGCCAGATGGGGCGCGGCTCCACACCACCCACACTGACACAAGGGGGACACACACAGGGACAACAACAACAACCGCCATTCGCCACTAAGTGGCGGTGACGTCACCACGACGCTTGTGCCAGGCCAAGTGCACCTTGAGGCCACGTGAAGTGTTGAACGCCCGCTGGCAGGAGGTCACGGGGCAGACCCAGCAGGTGCCATGGGTCGACTGACCGAGATGACACAGGGACACACACAGGGGGACACACGGGGAAGACATGGGATACACACAGAGACACATGGGAGAGACACATATGATACACACAGGGGACACATATAGGACACACAGGGACACATGAGGGAGACATACGGGATACACAGGGAACACACGGGGGCCTTAGAAGGGATGTATGGGGGACACATGAGGAGACATACAGGAGACAAGGATACAATGAGGGGATGTGGGGTACAGTGACAGTGATCATGGAAAAGGTTTTTAATATTCTTCACGTGCGCTGACCTACTAGTGATCTACTAGGTTCAGGGTTCAATTTTTCTTATGAGCCTAGGACAATTTCAGTGACTGCAGGTATGGTCACCGCAGTTTGGCCTTGAAAACAAAAAGTTTATCATCGGCGATACTTCAGGCAGTGGCCCTTCACAGCACAAAGAGGGGGCAGAGAGAAATCTTGACTTAAAGCTTTCGTGACTGCAGGAATTCATATTCTTTGGGTCTTTCGGTAAAGTCACGGAGATAGGTTCAAATTAATAACAAGTATAACAATAATCCTTTATATGCGTGGTGGCTAGAGTCCTCTCGTCCTCTGGCTTGAGATGGCTGCCACCTATGGGTCAGATGATTGCATTGCACCATTAAGCAATTGGTAATTAAACATAATATTTTTGTCCTAAAAAGTGTAAAATTTTGGAGAGAAAAAATTTCACGAACATTAATTTTCACGCACAACGAGTCTGTGTAGTAAATGTCAGCTCGATTGGATCACGGGAAGTGGGTTAAAAAACGACCGAAAGATTTGCACGGTCGTAAGCAAGCAAGCAAACTTAATATAAAGGATTTTAAAATAAACTAAAAACTAGGACGTTTCGATCACAACACAACCAATGGTCATCAGGAGGAAAACATGACGATTGCTTGTGTTGTGATCGAAACGTCGTAGTCTTTTGTTTATTTTATTTTTGTTAATTTGAACCTATCTCCGTGACTTTACCGAAAGACCCAAAGAATAGGGGGCAGAGAGGCTGAAGCGTGACTGCGATGGGTTTTTTTCGGGCACACAAATCACAACGGGTTCTCAGAAAAGTGGTTCCGCGCTAAAAGAGCGGGAGGCCAGTGCTCCATTCCCGTTAACAGCCATCAGCTGGTGGCGGAAATTCCACATTGCTATGGCAGGGGTGGATGAGTCGACAATACAAGACAGCAAGAGGCCCGCGCGTCTGAGAGGTCAGGCCAACTTGAGCCGGCGCCGCCTCCGCCGAGAGTCTGGGTTCTAACCCCGGTTGTTGGCCGCCCGTGATTTGTCACGCCGCGCCCACCTGTATCCGTGGATGAGCACGAATGTCGTTGCCGCGGGGTCGATGAGCCGCATCGTCTCCACGTCGTCGTCTTCGTGTTCTTCGCCTCCTCCTCCTCCGACGACGACTCGGAGCGGCAGCGCGCAGAGGGGGTGGCGGCTGGAGCTCCTCGGAGGGAAGAGCAGAAATCGCACGTCCAGCTCCGTTCCCTGCAAGAGAATCGGAGACGTTTCCGCACGCAGCTCTGATGAAGCTAGTTGTCATTACTGGCGAAACATCGTACTCAGATTGTAAACGTTGTGGCTTGGCTCTCCAACACACCGGTGTTGCTGTACTGGTGACGAATTGGCCACGTTCTGTTTACGTGACGACCCTTACCAGTTAGCTGTGTCGGGTGGTGGCGGGTTTTAACGACATATTTATATTTACGCGATCTAACCCAAAAAACCTCGATTATGGAGCTCTGCTTCTGTTTGTCTCCGCATCTGAATGTCGCGGTGGTTCAGTTCTTCCGTCTACTGGCTCCTCCAGACCAATATTGACGAGGGGCATTTTGTGTAAGCAATAAAACTCTGGACCGGTGTTAAACTTTGTAAGCAGTCAAGCTTGTTGGACAAATGCACACAAACTTGTTCCAAGTCCGTTCGCATAGCCGCATGTCAGTGAATTCAAACCGCACATTGCATATTTTGGGTAGAAGTAGGCTACCCCATATACGTGTGAAATTGCACAAATTGCGAACACGCTCTAGGTAAGGAAACCTGTACTTTTCCTTTTAAGGCCACGGTGTCACTGACGAAAGTGCCTGTTGAAGCGAGCCGACTCAAAACACACCGCGTTCATACCCCGAAGAGAAGCTCGCTCAGCGAGCTCGGCTTGAAGTCAGCGCAGGGGGGGTCAGGACCCGGGGTCGAATTGACGCCTGGGTGAACGGGAGGCGTTGGTGGTGGTGGCGTTGGTGGTGGCGGCGGCGACGGCGAGGTAGAGACGGGGTTGGATGTTGGAGTCTCGGTCAAGGATTCGCCCGGGTTGAAGATAACTTTGGGTACACAGATGATCATTGCCATTAGGGGGTTTGGGGGGTTCCACAATTTCGTACTCACTTGTCGCTGAGGTTGCGGTATTTATCCGCAACCTCACTGCGCTGCACTACTTGGGCTTACGCAACTAACGCAAACATTTCCACGCATTGAATCTTTTAACATGATTTATGGGAGCATTTCCGTAAAGTCGGATTTGCGTAAGTCGGGTCTTCCGCAACCCGTCATAGTACGATAGCGTGTCCCGCGCATTTGCCCGGGATAGACGGCTCGGGTAGAGGGTGGATGGGAGGTGGGTGAGGCGTGACATGACGTCAGCACGCATATGGTGACGGTGAGGTCACCACCGTGCACGTGTACTTAGCCATGCGCCAGGCAGGCAGGAATCCAGGAAGATGTTTTTTTGTTTCTAATATGAAACAGGAGCCTCCATTCCACACTGTACTTATCTCTCCATGCAAAAAAAAGAATATGAGTTACACAACCCAAACCAGTGGCCAAGGTATGGTGCAAAATAATAATTAAGAAGATATAGGTGACAAATAAATAAGTAGACAAAACGCCTCCTCGTGTATGTGTGTGTGGTGGAAACCTTTCGCCTCCTTGCCACAGCTATCCACGTAAAAATAGAAGTTGTTTTTAAAACGAAAAGTTTTTTTTTTACTCGGTGATGCCTTCCTGGGTAAAAAAAGAGGCAATTGTTTCGTCTGAATGCGTCCGTGGCCATGGGGAAGGGAGTTGACGCTCATCAAGTATCAAATTATGTTGTGATGCACTTGCGTTGGTAGTGGGTGTGCAAGCACAAATAACAAAAAACAGTCAACACATTAAAATTTGTCCATAACACCGTGACCTTAACACACCGTGAAATGAACACCTAAACCTCAACACATCTGGCAATGTTGTTCTAAATCTTGCATTGCAGCAATGTGCTCAGCAGCTCGATGCCAATGTCGAGGTCTGCTGGCCACGATGAAGAGGGCTTCAGTGGAGAGTTTGTGTCGTGTTGCCGTTCCCCCTCCATTGGAAGGAGGGCAGACTGCAGTGGTCTGTAGTCTGGCTTTCTTGGCCACAATCACACTCGTATGGCTTGCCCTTGAAGTGTTTATATGCATCTCCGTGGGTCTCTGTGTGTATCTGTGGGTCTTTATGTGTCTCTGTGTATCTCTTTGGGTTCCATGGCCACATTCATCAATAACACCATGTGGCCTTCAAAATAAAATCAAGTTCAAGTTCATTTATTAGGTATAGCCCTGTGAGCCATTCGGCTCTTGAATCGGGTGCAACCGCAACAAACAAAAAACATGAACAAGAAAACATCTTAAAGTGAATATGTGACTGAGTGCAAACAGAAAATCCAAGAAAAGACGGCAAAATATTGCAGAAAAAACACCGCACACCAACGCTGTGTGCACAAATTCCAGTGGGATGCAAGTCAAACAGCAACAACAACAACCACAAGACAACTTAGATTAAGGCCATCAGTGTACACAATAGGCGACGTTTTGGCCAACGGGTCCGTCTTCGTGGCTCATAGAGCGGCGAGAGCGAGAGAGTGTATAATAAAGAGTTATACAAAACAGTATCTGGCTGGATTGCAAATAATTACATTCTTGCCATTCTTGTCGTTCTTGCCGTTCGTGCTGAATTGAAATACCTATGGCTGAGCGCCACCACTCCGAAGGAAACCCCTGTGTACGCAGGGCAGCAGGACATACAGAGCGAGATTCAACTCCGAACGATATGAAGGAGTTCAGTACACCGCGAGAAAGTTGCGGGAAACATGCGAGGAGAGGCGAGCAAGGACAAACAGATTCAAACAGAGCTTTTATCCTACAGCGATCACCACACTCAATAATGCTAATTAATTATTAAGTAATAGTGTTTACAATTGATTGTAAAATAGAGATGTGCAATGACAAAATGTAACCTTATGTGGGTATGTGGGTATACTTGGGCTGTTTTTATATATAGTATAAATTGATTATCTTTCATTTAATTTTATTTTTATTTTCTTGTTTTATTTAATTTAAATTTATGAATGATGCCCTGGTGAGCATTTTAAATTTCGTTGTACTGGTGACAATGACAATAAACGATCTATCTATCTATCAATGTAATGAATAAAACACACGCGCGCACGGAGAATCCATCGCATCGATATAATTCATCATTATAATCGGAATTTTTTAAAATGTAATTTACATCAGACCCCATGGTGTAAAGTGTGTTCTCCATCTCTTGTCGTCCACGCTATCTCTCACGCCTCTCTCTCTCTCTATGCGCCCAGAAGAAGGGCCATCGCCCAAAACGTTGATAACACTGGTCAACAAAAAAAAACACATTTTTTTTGGCCTGGTATTTTGCAGGTGTTTTAGACTAATTTTAAGGTGCCGATTCCAAATCTGATCTCAGATTTGCTCTATCACATCTCATTTTTATGCTATCGGCATACCCCATTTTCATTGATTTTACCCGAAATTAACTGTTACTTATGATTGCAAGTTGTTGCGAGTCAGTGACTCCTTTAGTGTTAAAATATGGTGCTGTATTTTTAGGATAGTGTGTTTATAATATCATTTTATGTAGATATCCACATTTATTTAATATTTTTCTTCTGCAGTTTTTATTAAAAATGCAATATTTGATATCTCAAAAACCCTATGCCAGAAAAAGTGTGTTGACCAGTGTAATGTTTCCTAATGAGGCCACAGTGTTGTCGATGAATGTGTGGAGTCGTTTTAACCCCTTGCTGTCGTTGTACGTAGAATCGTCGATTAATATCGATTGCCAAGCTTATTCATTGGTCTGACGAATTGTCGCGATTGGAATTAAAACATGACTATTGTGTATTGTGTCTCAATTACACACACACCCTGTCTCAATTACACACACACTGTCTCAATTACACACACACACACTGTCTCAATTACACACACACACCCTGTCTCAATTACACACCCCCACTGTCTCAATTACACACACACACACCATGTCTCAATTACACACACACACACTGTCTCAATTACACACACACTGTCTCAATTACACACACACACACTGTCTCAATTACACACACACACACTGTCTCAATTATACACACACACACAGTCTCAATTACACACACACACACTGTCTCAATTACACACACACACACTGTCTCAATTACACACACACACACTGTCTCAGTTACACACACACCCACTGTCCCAATTACACACACACACACTGTCTCAATTACACACACACACAGTCTCAATTACACACACACACCCTGTCTCAATTACACACACACACTGTCTCAATTACACACACACTGTCTCAATTACACACACACTGTCTCAATTACACACACACACTGTCTCAATTACACACACACTGTCTCAATTACACACATACTGTCTCAATTACACACACACACAGTCTCAATTACACACACACACACACACTGTCTCAATTACACACACACTGTCTCAATTACACACACACAGTCTCAATTGCACACACACACCGTCTCAATTACACACACGCCAGGTGATGGAGTCGAATTCGCTCCCGTGGCAGCGGCGATGAGTGTGATGGACATGAGCAGGTGACCACCACGACTCTCTCCTCCTACCTGCAGCCCATCCCAGCAGAGCCAGCAGACCCGGCATCCTGCACGTGCCACGCATCGGGCACAGAGGCGCGCGTCCCCTTCCGTACGAGACGCTCCCCCAGCCACTCCGAGCCTCTCCTCTCCTTCGTTGTCCGCGAGAAATTCGCCGGGGATTCCGAGGCGTTCGCGATTGACAGAGCACAGGAGGGATGGGGGCACACACTGGCAGACGGAGTCGGTAGTACCCACTGTGGGTCTACCGGGATACTGTGCACCGACAGAGAAGATCCCGTGCGTGTACCGTACGTTGAACTTCTTTCGCACCGTACGTAGCTAATCGGAGGTTGCGGGAGTGTACCGGCAGCTACCGGTGTTGCTGCTGCTCGTGGCTTGGGTCGTACTGACGGTGGTGCCGTGGCAGCTGCAGCGGCTCTAAGTTCAGTGAGAGCGGCGTGGAGTGGCGGATGTCCCAGGGCACTACGAGTGGAGGGAGAGCGGCTGGGGGGCTTGCCAGGGTTGTAGCGGTGCCACTGACCGCGTTCTCTCGGAGTTGTGCCAAGTAGAGGTACCGAGTAGCTGTGCCGGTGATGCTCACAGCAGGGCGAGCTGTGGCTGGAAGCTGTGCCGGTGATGCTCCGTGCTCCTGATGGCTGTGCCGGTGCCGCTGAGTTGTGGATTGTGGTGGGAGTTGTGGTGGATTGTGGTGGGAGTGGTGGGTGGGAGATGTGGTGGATTGTGGTGGGAGTGGTGGGTGGGAGATGTGGTGGATTGTGGTGGGAGTGGTGGTGAGAGTTGTTGGTGGGAGTGGTGGGTGGGAGATGTGGTGGATTGTGGTGGGAGTGGTGGTGGGAGTTGTGGGTGGGAGTTGTTGGTGGGAGTTGTTGGTGGGAGTGGTGGGTGGAAGATGTGGGTGGGAGTTGTGGATTGTGGTGGGAGTGGTGGATTGTGGTGGGAGGAGTGGTGGTGGGAGTTGTGGTGGTTGTGGGAGTTGTGGTAGGAGTTGTGGTGGTTGTGGGAGTTGTGGTGGTTGTGGGAGTTGTGGTAGGAGTTGTGGTGGTTGTGGGAGTTGTGGTGGTTGTGGGAGTTGTGGTAGGAGTGGTGGTGGTTGTGGGAGTGGTGGATTGTGGTGGGAGTGGTGGTGGTTGTGGGAGTGGTGGTGGGATTGTGGGTGGGATGAGGATGAGGAGGCAACGCAGTCGTGGGTGCTCGGGGAGTGGGGGTCTCACCTAAAACCCAGCCCCCTATCTGCACCGCCCGCCAGCGACGTTACGTGGCTGTCGACCCATAAGCGTTAAGTTTTAAAACGTAGCAAAGCTTTCGCGACCAATAAAGTTTTTTTTTATTACACGTTTTTATTTCACTCACTCTGTCTGTTGTTGTTGTCACATCCTCAAATCGTGTAACTCAATTTTAACCCACTTTCCAATGTGGTATCGACTGCAAACTTGATATACTTATGTCATACTGATGACAATACTATATTCTATCATTGAAAATTAAAATAATCAATATTTTAAAGCAATATTTATGTTTCGACTTGGGTCAAATTGTCCACGGTCAACTGACGTTGGCTGTAAATCACCACGGCCCCCTTACGTCGTGGCAAGCTTCGGGGCCTCTTCCTGGAGTCGTGGAGTTCTTCCATTACTAGTGTAACCTCTACACTAGTACGGTATATTTCATTAAAGCGTGTTTTTAAAAAAAGTTTTAAAAAATATTACTTATTCTTGTCCAACTTGGTGCAACAGCCTCGAACCCCGACTCGATTAGCAGACCACGAGAGGGCAGGGCAGCGCACACGAAGACAAAGATCCCCCGTGTAGCCTTAAAAGAATGTGGGGGCAAATGCTGTTAGCGAGCACCTATGAAGGCCAGCACGGCACACGAGGGGGTGGGTGGCCAGCACCACGCCCGACCGCCTTTGTCTCCCCAGTGGCGATGTTTACACACCGCACCGGGTCCTCGTTTGAGGCTGAGTCGACCTAGGGGAGGCCCAGGACCGGTTTTGATAATCGAACTCGGGTCGTAAGTTGCTCACCAACTGGTACGGGTTTCTATGTTTGGCTTAAACTGTCCACACATTTTCCACCCCCCGGCAGCAATCCAAGACTATTTAAACACGGACAAATCACCAAAGAGTCTAAAGACATAAACAATATAAGTTTAATTTGTCAACGTATGTTAGTCGTGTATATAACGTACAAATGTGAGCTTCATCGACACACCCATGTATTTGCGTGAGTGTTTTTTTTTAATCATTTTAAAACGTCAATTGGGCTGAGTCGTGCATCCTCTCCATCTTTACCCACAACTAACAGCGACCAAACATGCGGGGAGGCTCAACTTCTGTTCGACACATTACAGAGCAACACGCTCCCATCCACTCCACCGTATGAAAGTAATCAATGCACAGCTGTCAACCCATACGGTTTACCCGTATTCTTGAACATGGAAATTTAGTTTTCTGGTCCAAACGGCGTACAGTAGTCTCACACCGACAAAACATTTTTTGTCAATTCGTTTGTGTTTCTCCCTTGTGATGGGACTTTGTAGGATGAACGTTGAGATTAATAAGGATACGAAGTGACCAAAAATGTCTGAATTTGTTTGTAATAAGGCAGGGCACTGATAAGGAGTTGACAGGTATGTGAATGTTGGACGCATGACAACCACATTTATGTATTTTTAATTCTCAGAGCTGCGATTTAGCCGAATTAAGGGGCATTTATTTGTACATTCATTTCAGAACCAGCTTTAATCAAAGGCGGTTTGAAACATGGATTCGAACTTAGAATCTCAGTGGTTTCCGGCTTTGCGCTCCGACGGTCCGACACGTCGTGCCACCCAGCCCCCTTCCACAACAATATTGGTCGCGAAAGCCTACGTGCTAAACTGACAACAGGCGTCATTAATCCACCACACAGGGACAACTATTGAGAGCCCCTGAATGGATTTTCCGCACGCTCATCAAACCCATTACACTTCAGTTTGACAATTCCCGCATTAACTTCTGAAATGCGTTTAGAAGTCTTCAAACGTTGATGGCTCATTCATTCTCATTGAGTCCACCAACTCCACTCAATTCAACATGACTTACTACCCAACTCCTGCCTACCCTCTCCAAAATATTCACATCTTGGTGAACCTCAACACATCCTGAAAATGCCAATTTGGTAAAAATGTCAGGCTCGTCGTTTCCTCTGTTATTTTTCTAACCTTTTGATTGTTTTACATTTAGGCTCACCAAACTGGAAACTTTTCATCTTCTACATCTGTCTGTGTGTATGTCTATAGCCGTAGAGATGATTTAAGCCGGGTCAGTCCATATCTGCAACCTGTAAACATTTTCCAGACACAGAACATCATCTCATCCAGTGACCTTCTGGCTATGGCTGTGACTACGAGTGTGTGTGCTACCTCCCGGCCTACCAGCGACCAGAAACACATTGAGTGAGATATGAAGCCCTGTGTGCACGTGCAGTGCATCAAGGTGTGATCCAGTGGGGGTTGAGGAGTTATCGAATGGGCACTGAGGAGTGATCATGCGGAGGTTATGGAGTGGCTGAGTGGAGGTTGAGCGATTGAGTGGAGGTTATGGAGTGATTGGGTGTAGGTTGATGAGTGATGGAGTGGAGTTTAGGAGTTATCGAGTGGAGTGATCACGTGGAACTTAAAGAGTGATTGAGTGGAGGGTATGGAGTAGCTGAGTGGAGGTTGAGTGATTGAGTGGTGGGTGATGACTGATTGAGTGGTGGGTGATGAGTGATTGAGTGGACGTCGAGTCAATTCTGGCAGCGGGAGAGTGGCATCCCCACCACCTGTCCCTCACTTAGCAGCACCATGTGCAGGCAGTACTGCTCCCTGTGAACACAGACCACACGTCACACCACACGTCACACCGCACATTGCACTGCAAACACCGCATGTAACACCACGCTACCCCACACATTACACCTCGCACAACACGCGTCACGCAATGCGCGTCACAATCCTCTTAACACCGCATGTCACACCCCGCGCAGCACACACCGCACACCGCAACTCCATGTCACACCCTACATCACACCACCCACGTCCTCCTCTAGACACACACCCACACCAACTACTCACGGGAGTTCCTGCAGCCTGATGAGCGGTGGCGTAGCCTTGATGCCAAGGGGCCTTGGTGCAATTAATGAAATCCCCCCCCCTTCCCCCCCTCTCTGTAGCCTGGCCCCTGGACCACTATGACCCGTGGGTTCCCAGGGTACCAGCAGCAGCAGCCGCGTGCCACTACCCAGGACATCGGCGGCGTCGTCACCCCGAGCTCACCCGTGCTCGACGAGGAGGTGGGTGATGCGGAGGCGCGCGATCCTCAGCGCGGAGGCGGCGTGCGACGCACGGGGGGCTGCGAAGCGAAGGAAGTTCCACGCCAGCGAGCTCGGTGAGAAGCGCAGAGCCACGAAGCGCAGGGGGCCCAGGTCTCGCTCCAGGGCGAGGACCCGGGATGAGCCGCCGCCCTCCGGAACAAAGCTGTGCAGGCCCCTAAAGCCGCCCCCCCCGGGGGAAGTGGAGGGGGGTGCGGAGGAGGAAACGAGACGGAGTTCATGTTATAGTAATATGTTTTTACCCTTTCAACTGGTACAAAAACTGACAGCTTTATACAAGGCATCATGTTTGCAATAACCACAATGCAAGCAGTCGAAATGCAAACAAAAAGAAACAACTCTGATGATGATACTGTTCTTGAAGTTGATTGGTCCACACCGAGACAGCCTTTTGGCGTCATCTGGTCCAACACCATGTGAGACTGGGCTCTAAGAAAAGCTGTCTCGGGTGTGGACCAGTCAACTTCAAGGACAGTTTCATCATCAGAGTTGTTTCTTTTTGATTGCATTTTTACTGCTTGTGTTGTGGTTATTGCAAACATGATGCCTTGTATAAAGGTGTCAGTTTTTGTACCAATTGAAAGGGTAAAAACCTATCACTATATTTTGCCACTGGTAAAAGAGATGTCTCATAGTGGAGTTAATGTTGTTAATGACGTTGGCCACGGATTTCATCGTCAAGTTTTTGTTTTAGTCGACGATGACTACGAGTGGAAGAGAATCAAGCGTGACGTTTGGACTGCTGGACGATGACGAGACGACATTAGATAGCGCAAAGTGAAGGCGTAGACTGAGATCATTTGGTAATTACTCTTAGGTTTTTCGGTAAAGTCACGTATGTAAAAAATAAATAATAAAAAAGAATAGAAATACAAATAAATAATAATAAATAATAGCCCTTGATGACCTCTATTATTTCTATTATTTTAAATTTTTTACCTACGTGACTTTACCGAAAAACCTAAGAGTATGAATCCTTGCAGTCACGAAAGCTTCAAATCTAGAGATAATTTGGTAATGTTGTTAGAGACAACAGTGCACAGAGGAGAACCACCAATTACAAAGTCATTGTCTGTACATGCACATAAATCGATTGATCGAGTCACACAGATTGGCTGACCTGACAATATTTGGTGGAAAAAATAAGTCCTCAGACTGAGACTTTGAATAAAAAACCACGGGTAATCTTCGACTAGCCTGAAATACAAGTATGACGGTCCCGAAAAGGGGTGCGTGTGAGCACCCAGGTGTGATCACTCACTGGAAGAGGACCATCTCGTTAGTCTCTCCTCTCTGCCCCATGAACTTGATGGTCAGGGAGCCCTTGATGGCCTCGCCAGCTATGTCGATCTCCACCAGCACGTAGGACACTACAAACATCAACGACAAACACCCCCCACCCCCCCGTGTATCCATCAGAGGTGTGGACTCGAGTCATGTGACTTGGACTCGAGTCAGACTCGAGTCATTAATTTGATGACTTCAGACTCGACTTGGACTTGCATAACAATGACTTTGTCCCACCTCTGAGGTGTGGACTCGAGTCATGTGACTTGGACTCGAGTCAGACTCGAGTCATGAATTTGATGACTTCAGACTCGACTTGGACTTGCATAACAATGACTTTGTCCCACCTCTGGTATCCATTAGCATAAGAGGTGAGCGAGCAACTAAATTGTAGGTTTAACACGTAGCAGGCTTTCTCGAGCAATATTATCCATAAAAAAAAATTTGGGTTAGAACACGTAAATATAAATGTGTCGTTAAACCCGCCACCACCCGACACAGACAATTAGTAAGGTTTGTCACGGTAACAGACCATGCCAATGTGTTACTAGTACAGCACACCGGTGTGTTGGAGAGCAAATCTGCAACATTTACAATCTGAGTACGACGTTTCGCCAGAAGTTACAACTAGCATCATCATGCGATAGATTTGTGGAGAAATCCTCCAACCGGCAATTGAACCCATTGTAATTCATAAGCATTCATTAATCCCACCCCCCTTCGCAAGTGACGTCATCACATGTATCCCTCTATTTAAGGAACAAAACAGGATTTCTCCACAAATCTGGCTGTCGCCTGATAAAGCTAGTTGTAATTACTGGCGAAACGTCGTACTCAGATTTGAAATGTTGTAGATTTGCTCTCCAACACACCGGTGTTGCTGTACTAGTAACGAATTGGCATGCTCTGTTTACGTGACAAACCTTATTAATTGGCTGTATCGGGTGGTGGCGAGTTTAACGACACATTTATATTTACGCGATCTAACCCACAAAACCTATATTACGAAAGTGTAGGTGATGGACCTTCAGGGTGAAGTGGTGGCGCAGTGGTTGGCACACTGCCCTATGAACCTGGCGACCTGACGGATTCCCAGGAACAGCTCCATTCATTGGCGAGCGAAACCTGAACCGATCCTGGGCTTCCTCCCTTCACCACCCTTACTGACCGGCGTGCTGAAGTATGGTCAGACAATCTCCATGACTGACACGCCACGGGGAGAGAGAACGTTCGCCCAGCGGCAAATTGACGAGGGGTTGCGAACTAACATTCAAACGTGAGTCATGTCCGGCTGTTTTATTTTCTTTCAGCGAGCGTGCTGTGTTTACGGGAAAACCGAACGCCAACTGCCAACTTTCACGTTCCTCACCACGCCAAGCGCGATTCACGTGCAGGGCACAACGGGGGGTCATTGTCTCCATTGTTCCGTCCTTCACGATCGTCTCTGTTGCGTTGCCTGGCACCACGATGCTTAGAACTGTGGCGTCGGTCGATTTATCCGGTCTCGCTGAGTCATCCGTGGCAGAACAGAACTAATGCCCCATTCATTCTGCATGATGTATACATACATTCGTCGTCATCACCGTGCACCACGGCCGAGCCACTGTCAGATGAAGACCTCCCCATGCTCTATAATTATTGTCAATCATGTGCCACTGTAAATCCACTGCTGGATGAATGCCTCGAAATGCTGTCATGTTGTATGAAGGCCTTCTCACGCCATCACAATTTCTCCGAGCCCTGCCATACCACAATATATTTCCCTACTGCACTTGAATAGTCTCGTAGCTCTATCTGCATGGTGGCCATACACTCTGGTGAGTTTTGATCCGTTTGTCAAAGGAGGAATTATGAAATGACTGAAAACTGTATTCTTAAGGCACAATCACATCTTTACACGTTCCTGCGGTCAACGTTTGCTTGGTGGGACGTCGCTCTTTGTGCAGTGTCGCCGACTCGCTAGATTTAGTGACGTCTTGAGTGTCTCTATAACCGAAATGTCGTAAAAGCGGCCTGCGACTTTTCTGAGATGAAGTCATGATGCAATTGCAGGTGTGCAGAACAAATGATTTGGTCGCACTGCATTGGCAAAGGATGCACAAACACAAATAACAACAAATCAATCAACACATTCGTCGATAACACAGCCAAAAGCGAAAAAGAAATATAATATGCGACGTTTTTGACAATTATCCTTCTTCATAGCCAATAAAATACATTTATACATACCTTCATCACCTATTTAAAAATTTTGTTCCTTTTAAAGCAGTGTTTTTGATGAATGTGTTGAGTTTTCAAGGTGTGTACAAGTATTCTGTTATCAAATTACTCTGAGGCTAAATTGTCCCGTAGCATTTTTGAAGTGTCGTTCTATTAACCGGCGAACACGTGGAACCGCGTTGAGGTTTGTTTGGTGACTTTCTGCTTTTAAAGGAGTTTGTGTCGCTGCCCGCCGCTCGGCCCTCACCGCAGTATGGGGGCGAGTGTCCTGTGAGCATGTGCAGAATCAGCGTGCTGTTGTCCGGCCACGTTTTCGGGTCTCGAACCGCGTCCACTGTAAAACACACAAGAACAAAGATTCACTATGAGACATCTCCTTTACCAGTGGCAAAATATAGTAGTAGGTTTTTACCCTTTCAACTGGTACAAAACTGACACCTTTATACAAGGCATCATGTTTGCAATAACCACAACACAAGCAGTCAAAATGCAAACAAAAATAAACAACTCTGATGATGATAATGTTATGCACTGTCCTTGAAGTTGATTGGTCCACACCCGAGACAGCTTTTCTTAGAGACTAGGCTCTTTCTTTTTGTTTGCATTTTGACTGCTTGTGTTGTGGTTATTGCAAACATGATGCCTTGTATAAAGGTGTCAGTTTTGTACCAGTTTAAAGGGTAAAAACCTACTACTATAAGAACAAAGATCTCCCCCACCCCCACGGTAAAGCCTGCACAGGCTATCGGGGCAAGTGCTGTTTGTGAGCACCTACTAAGTCCGGAACGGTACATGCAGGGGGCGGCATGGCCCGCATCAGGGTCTGTTTGTACAACGCACCAGGTGCTTATTTAAGGCTGATTCAATCCATAACTTGCCGTTTTTAAAGTATACCCTGGGCCTCTGCATCCTGGATTCTAGGGTTCTTGGGGTATCAGGGTCACAGGGTTCCATGTTCTTAAAAGGTCTTGAGCTCCTAGGTTTTTGGGATCATTCTGGGATCTTGGCCATTAAACCTCCAGAGTCTCAGGGTCTCGGAGTGGCCCTCTCCGTGAATATCAGAGTGGCCCTCTTAGTGAGTATCGGAGTGGCCCTCTTAGTGAGTATCGGAGTGGTCCTCTCGGTGAGTACCTGAGAGGTCCTCTCCATGAGTTCCAGAAAGGCCCTCTCCGTGAATACCAGAGTGGCCCTCTTCATGATTATCGGAGTGGCCTTCTCCATGAGTGCCGGAGAGGCCCTCTTTATGATTATCAGAAAGGCCCTCTTCATGATTATCGGAGTGGCCCTCTCCGTGAGTATCGGAGTGGCCCTCTCCGTGAGTGCCGGAAAGGCCATCTCCATGAGTACCTGAGAGGCCCTCTCCGTGAGAACCTGAGTGGCCCTCTTCATGAGTACCTGAGTGGCCCTCTCTGTGAGTACCGGAGTGGCCCTCTCCGTGAGTATCTGAGTGGCCCTCTTTATGAGTACCTGAGGGGCCCTCTTCGTGAGTACCTGAGTGGCCTTCTCTGTGAGTACCGGAGTGGCCCTCTCCATGAGTACCTGAGAGGCCCTCTCCGTGGGTACCTGAGTGGCCCTCTCCGTGAGTACTGGAGTGGCCCTCTCCGTGAGTACCTGAGAGGCCCTCTCCGTGAGTACCTGAGTGGCCCTCTCCGTGGGTACCTGAGTGGCCCTCTCCGTGAGTACCGGAGTGGCCCTCTCCGTGAGTACCTCAGTGGCCCTCTCTGTGAGTACCGGAGTGGCGCTCTCCATGAGTACCTGAGTGGCCCTCTCCGTGAGTACCTGAGTGCAGGCCCAGGCGGGGGCACGACGCCGTGCGCTCCGTGCGGCACTCGAGGCAGCGTCCGGCGGCCAGGGCGGCGGCGGAGTCGCACGGGAAGGCGCGCAGCTCGCACGGGGAGCGCAGGGAGCTCAGCCACAGCCGCACGGCGCGCATGTGGTCGCAGATCATCGACTGGTAGCCTGCGTGGTGATGTGACGCACACGCGCACACGCCGACTTGAGCAGGGCCGCGCTGAAAGTGACCACCGGTATAGGCGTAGGGACCGCAAAGTTGCAACGAGGTAGCAGTACAGCATTGGCTTTAGTTCACAGATCATTTACATGATTTATATATATATCTGTGAATTGGTTCTGTTTGCGTGGAGTTTTGAGTGTTTATCCCCTCGGGTGTGTGGATTTTCTCCTGGCACTGCAGTTTCCCACAACGTGTCAAAAACTGATAATTGGAACTGGCGCAATATGTATGCACGCTGAACTTCTTTCGCACCATATGCAGCCAACCGTGCTCAATGCAGGATCATGCTGCGAAAGAGTGTTGACACTGTCAGGCTGTGTGCACAATTGAAGGCCGTGAGGTCCAATCAAGAGGTGGATGAAGGGCCGCAACTGCTGAGATCCGACATTTGAAACTGGGTTACGGCCACCTGGGGGTTAAATCAGGTTCTCAAGTGTATCATGTTGATCGACTGCACACACACACGGACACACACAGAAAACCCATCATATTAAATGTGGGTTGACATATAATAAACATTCTTTGCAGGGCATATCAAAGGCGTGTCTCGAGTGTGGGAAGTAGATTCAGATTTAGTTTTGTGACGTCATCTTCCCAAGGCTGAAACAAGTTGGCGAGCCGCTGGCTACGATGATCACGAAGACATTTTTTTTCGTATCATTGCCGATCGCGGATTTTTTATTTATTACCAAACCCTCCACATCCAGGCTGATCATCGCCACCATTCACATAGAAGTCCACGTGGCCCACAGGCTGCCGGAGACCAAAATCTGAAAAACGCAGGCACACAACAACAAACATATCAACACCATGGACACAGCAGCATGTACTATTAAAAGAAACGTTTCCCCCCAATCGAAGGTTTATCACGACCTTGCTATCAGCATCATCAGGTCACGGAGACAACGAATCAGATATTCTTAGGTTTTTTCGGTAAAGTCACGTAGTTAAAAAATTAATATAGAAATAATAATAGAAATAAAATAATAAATCACGACGTTTCGGAGGCAACACAAGTCTCCGTCATCAGGCGGGACCGTCACAGCTAAAATTTACTGTATCAAGTGTATCCTTGATCAGGTGTATCCTTGATACAGTAAATTTAAGCTGTGACGGTCCCACCTGATGACGGAGACTTGTGTTGCCTCCGAAACGTCGTGATTTATTATTTTATTTCTATTATTATTTCTATTATTTCTATTTAGGTATTTTTTTTAACTACGCGACTTAACCTATAAAACCCAAGAGTATGAATCCTTGCATTCACGAAAGCTTCAAATCTAGAACGAATCAGATCTCTCGCAGAGCAGCGCAACCCTTGGTGTTCAGAGATCAACTCGTGGAAGCAGATCCTGCAGAGCTACTTCTGAGATCTGTTTGAGTGAACTATAATGCAGGCAGTAGGTGGAAGCACTACCCCACTCACCCTGCCACAGAGATTAATTTTCGTTCACAGTTACAAATAATATTTGTAATTCCAAAATCCGGAATTTTATTTAATTAAGTCCTGAACAAAATTTCGTTCAATTGTGTGTTTCTGATATGAACCCAGGCTCTCATGAGCCACTCAGCCAACTTCATTTATTAAAAGTTGATTAAAGACATAATCTGCAGCTCCGGAGAGACCCTTGGGCCTCAACAGAGGTCCTCCATTGGGGCCTCATGGCCATCATCTGTGGCCCTCCATTGGGGTCTCATGGCCATCATCTGCGGCCCTCCATTGGGGCCTCATGGCCATCATCTGTGGCCCTCCATTGGGGTCTCATGGCCATCATCTGTGGCCCTCCATTGGGGTCTCATGGCCATAATCTGTGGCCCTCTATTGGGGTCTCATGGCCATCATCTGTGGCCCTTCATTGGGGTCTCATGGCCATCATCTGTGGCCCTCCATTGGGGCCTCATGGCCATCATCTGTGGCCCTCTATTGGGGTCTCATGGCCATCATCTGTGGCCCTCTACTGGGGTCTCGAGGGCCTTATCTCTGGTCCCCCTTTGGGGGCCCAGCGCTCCACTAAGCCGACTCCGGTTCTCACTGTCGCCGTCCGTGTGAATGGCGTCCACGAAGGCGGCGTCACTCGGATCGAGTCGCTCTGCGGGGCCGACCTGGGTGAAGCCGGGGCTTGCGGGGTCGAGGGCTGAGTGAGGCAAGGGTGGGGGGGTTGTGGGTAGAGGAGTGATATGGCACAGTATTGGGTACAGCTGGGTGCATCTACTAGTCATCTCAGTCAGCCAACCCATGGCACCTGCTGGGTGTGTCCCGAGACCTCCTGTCAGCGAGCCTTCAACACTTCACGTGGCCTGAATGTGCACCTGGCCTGGCACAGGCACCGTGGTGACATTACCGTCACTTAGTGGCGAATGACGGGTATTGGTATTGATATGACAAAAGCAGTAAAATGTCATCATCATGATTACCAATAATCATCAACATCAGATATGGTCAAAACCACTGCTGGATAAAGGCCTCCCACAAGCCGTATAACATCATATTGTGTTGCACTGCCCTCTGCTGCCCACCACAGAGCCACAGCCTTGCATCCGTCTGTGACAATTTGGTGTGCGTCCAATTCGTTTTCGAGATCTTAACAAGACCAGGCGCATGTCAGATGATTTGGTAAAAGGCTGTAATAAACCTGGAGAGCTGGGACAATTGGTCAATTCAGTTGGTTAATCGACTAGAAGTTGTAATTTGACAGCTCTCGCCGTGGTTGACGACTCTCTCTGCCCCCTAAAGGCTGAAAACCCCCACAAGCCACGCCCAGCCAGACGCGTTTGGCGATGCCGATGACGTCATCAAGTCCCGCTCATCACTCCCCGACCAGCGGCACATGTTGAAACAGAAGCAAGGCTATTTTTTTCTCCCAACCATTTGCGTTTATCTGATTAGTTGAATACAGTAATCGAACCGATAATTAATCGATAGTAATAAATTACTTAGAGCGGTGTTCTTCATTGCAAGCCAGCTCCTGGTGGCCTTTAGTGCGCCCCCCCCCCGACACAAAACACAAACGGTGACACCCCCCCCCCCCCCTCGGAAAATTAGTGAAGAACGCTGACTTAGGGGCCGTCCATAAATGACGTCACGCGAATTTGGACGATTCCCCCCCCCCCCCCTAGTCACACGGCGTCACAAAAATTCAGACCCCCCCCCTCAAATATGACGTCACAATGCTCTGCCCCCCCCCAAGAAAATGTAAACCATGCTTCAAATCGCTTTAAACTATTGTCATTGTAGTGCGTATTTAATGTGGCGCTGTACTCTGATGTTGTAGGAGAAAACATTTATTAAAAAGTCTATTTAATTAAGTAGAACGTGTTGCCCATATTCATTTAAAGTTGCGCATTTTGATGCGACGTCACATTTCTCAACCCCCCCCCCCCCCCCATCGTCACACATCGTCACAAATGTCTAACCCCGCCCTCCCCCCTAGGTGCGTGACGTCATTTATGGACGGCCCCTTTGGGGTTTGGTGCGTGAGCCGGGCGCGCGCGCACCCACCGGTGATGCGGCCGAGACGACCCTGGAAGCTTTGGCCCACGAAGCCGGCCACGTGCGCGCCCAGGCTTGCCCCCACCAGGTGCAGCGACTGCTCCCGTGCCCCCACCTCTGGGGTCTACAGGTAGTGGTGGTGGTGGGGAGGCAGGAAGGGTGCACACGCGTGCACAATAACCAACTCCCCCTCCACCCCCACAGGGTGCTTCAAAAAAATGTTAACACTTCTGAGAATTTGCAACAACACCGCGAGAAATGTACCTCCTGGGCTCTGGAGACCACCTGGAGAATATTCCAGGCGTGCGTTGACAATGATGGCGAACAAGTGAAGACTCTGACTTTTTGAAGTTATTGACGTATTTTTTTATCATGTCACAGTGTATTATCCATTCTTTTTCCATTAAAAACGATTGTCCCATATAAGCGTTAACATTTTTTGAAGCACCCTGTTTAGCACTCATTCCATGATTATTTATATCACTACAAAGACTAAGACCCCCAACCCCCCCCCCCCCCGTATACCCTTAACAGACTGTTACGAAAAGTTCTGTTAGTGAGCACCTCCTATGAAGACCAGAACGGCACACGATTAGTCGGTGTAACCTGCACCACGCCCGACCTGCCTTTGTATCCCCAGTTCTGATATTTACACATTGCATCTGGTACTCATTTAAGACTGCGTTGACCTAGGGGAGGCACAGGAAGAGTTCAGATATTTGACACTGATGGTGACCGTGATCGGGAATTGAACTCCGGTTGCCGGGTTCGTAGCGCAGTACGCCACGCACGCGTGCACACAATTAGGATAATGACAATGAAGACAACGAAGAGGGTGAGTGATGTTCTTCCGCGTGTTGCGAATGCGTTCCTCTTGGCGATTTCTTCTTTGTCGATAACGATTGTGACAACGTGATGATGACGATGCTTGTGATGAACGTAATCATGATGACAATGAAGTCGATGGCGTTGACGTTCGTTACGACCCGAGCTCGTTCCCCGCGGCGGTGACGATGACGACGAGGACGAGGACGACGACGAGGCGCGTCCCGGGCTGGACTCTCACCGTGAGGTCCCTGACGAGGGCGGTGGTGGCGGTGGCGGCGGCGGTGCGCGCGTATCGCACGGCACGCGAGTACGAGCTGCTCGCGCCCTTGATCCAGTCGACCGCGATCACGTTCATGCGGACCTGGGACGAGTCCAGCACCGCCGCCGCAATCCCCTCGATCCAGTCCGGCTCCGTGCCAGACACGCGGTACCTGGACACGTTGAACTTCTTTCGCACCGTACGTAGCCAGCCGCGCGCTAATTGGAGGTTTGGGGGAAGTACAACAAACTGGGCACAAACAACTGTTTCTAAAAAATGGGGTTTCAATCGAGATGATTTACAAGTGCATAGCTCCAGCGGGTGCCTGATAGTGGAAGGAAGAACGTTCCAGAAGGCCGCAGAAGCGCATTTGAAAGTGCGCAAAGCAGTGGACCGTCTTTTTTCGATGGACAGCCAAAAGCTGCTGCGAGGATGACCCGGAGTTGGCATGATGATGGTTTATGCTCCTTGACGAGGTCAGCAAGGTCTCGTGGGTTATTTGTGGCGGCAAGCATTTTGTGTGGAATGAGTGCGACCTTATAACGGATTCGGGGTCACAGTCCTTTCAACGTACATACCCACGTCCATTATAAATGTGTGTGTGTGTATATACATATGGTTACAGTGGGGAGCGGTGGTGTAGCGGTTAGCGCGCTGCGCTACAAACCTGGCGACCTGGGTTCGATTCCTGCTGACGGCCAACACCAGTGGCGATTATCTGAACCGGTCCTGGGCCTCGCCTAGATCGACTCAGCCTTAAATGAGTACTGGTGCGGTGTAGAAACATCGCCACTCGGGAGACAAAGGCGGCCGGGCGTGGTGTTGGCCACCCACCCCCTCGTGTGCCGTGCCGGCCTTTATAGGTGCAACTCGCTAACAGCACTTGCCCCAACAGTCTGTTAAGGCTACACGGGGGGGTCTTTGTCTTTGTATACAGTAAGCGTATGGGTGGATACCAAACGAAGATCAGCCAGACGGTGTTGGTGGCAGTGCACGTGGCCCGTGATAGCGACGGTCGGTGGATCACACGAATGTTGTGAAACTCACTTTCCATTCGGCTTTGAAGAGGTGTCCATACCCTGACTCTCCAGGAGAAGGAATTCAAGCAAAAATGTGGACTCCATCTGTTTCAGCTGTATGGGGTAGAGTGCTGCTTCCTCACGCGCGTGGGGTTTAATTTTCCTCCAGAAGCCATGGTTTCCTCCCACGTGATTTTATTGGCTGAAAACATCTTAACATATATAGAGGACCGCAGAACTTGGGCAATTGTTGGCGCCGCTTCGCTCACGCAGCTACGTCCTTTCCCCGTGTGTCTGTGGTTCCTCTTCATACCTCTGAGTTTTATTTATCTTTGAGAATGAGCGAATACTCACGAGGGCGTCACAAGTTAACAGTGTTATCTGGACACGCTCCCATCAGTGAGCTCCTCCGAGCGGCCGAGGCTGCGTTGGCTGTGTCACGTAGCCCGCATGCCCAGCCACTGCGAGCTTGAGCATCTTGGCAGGATATTGGGGGCTAAACGGGCGCGGCACGAGCTCGAGGAGAGATGTTGGTAGAGGAGGCTGTGGAGCTAAGTGCTGACGACTGGGTACCAGCGGTGTCAATCAATAACGGCCTCTGCGAAGGAGGTTCCTAAAAATACGAGGGCCTATGGCAGGGGTCGGGAACCTTTTTGACTGGGAGAGCCATAAAAGCCAAATATTTCTAAATATATTTCATTGAGAGCCATATAGTATTTTAAACGTATAATAAATTAAATGTCTTACTTTTAATGCGACTTCTGGTGCTGCATGGTTTTGCTGATGGCCTTGTAGTCTGGTTCGTACGTGGTGAGGTTGAGCTTCGTGCAGGCGTGACCCGTGAAATTTATCTTCAAAACTAATTTCTGTTTACTTTAAAATGACACAGTATTATTAAGCAATATCACAAGTATTTAAAAATCAGTTCCAAACTGATTTTTAAATTTATGCCGTCACTGGAAGAGCCATATATGGCTCGCGAGCCATAGGTTCCCGACCGCTGGCCTATGGGTTAATCCGGCCCTGGTTATACTTTACTCCCATCGCCCCCGTGCCTATATGGTCCCCGGCTTTAGCGACCCGCAATCTCGAGTACGGTGAAGAATGGTCAAATAACCCCCACGACTCGCACGGCGTGATTGTAGGTCCTCAACCGGGGGGGGGGAGATGATTGACAAAATGACTGTGGACTGTTCATGTACGTGGGAAGAGCCGTGTTTTTGTCGGTGCAGTATACCCGTGAATGAGGATCGTCGTGGGCAGAGAGGCGTTGAAGCCCGCACTGGCGAGGCGCTCCTTCAGCAGCAGGATCCGCTTGCGCCTCGCCTCCTCGTCTCCTGGGTCTGTAGGATCAGGGCTTCCACCATCACCGGCACCACCACCACCACCTCCAACGGGACGACCATCACCGACAGGACTCTGTTAGTGCCGCCTCCAAGCAAGAAATGCCACCAGCACCGCCCCAAACTGCTGCGGTGCCCGTGGCCTAGCGCGTTCCCATGTTTGTAGATGCAGAGGTTCAAGGTTGGAATCTAGCGGCCGCCCTGGTTATTGCTGCGGGTGTATTAACCGCAAAATTTCTGTCGCGTGCTTCAGTGACGTCATTCGCAAGAGTCAGACATTATTTGCTTGTGCCACGGTCCAGATTTGTCAAATTTGAAAAAAACTAAACACAAATTACTCAATTGGGATAATACGTGGCAATCATCGCCCCTACTACAAAAACTTGGCAGGACCCTACTGAGTCATGAGACTCAGTGAGGCTTTCCTGGGTAAACAAGCATTATAATAGTGCTGACATGGCATCCACCAGCGCAGCCGAAAGAAGACCACCACCACGAACAACCACCGCTACCTCTGCCAGCCCCAACAGCATCCACCAAATTTCACCCCCATCAACGTTTTCTCGCACCAAAACTCCACCACTTCTACCATGACCACCTCTACCGTCGTCCCAATTCAAACCATCATCATCACTGCCAACATTTACTTGGAGCCAAATACCATCGCTGCCTCTCCTGCCACCACCTCTACCCCGAGAAGCACGAATAATATCAGCGTCATTAACCAAACGGCTTTCACCACCACTACCTCCTCCACCATACACAGGTGGAGTTAGAAACTTCCAAAGGGGGGGGTAGGGAGGGAGTAGGGGGGGGGGTACCAAACTTTAAATACTTTTAAATGGGGCCCTACACTCATAAAGAAATACAAATATTGCGTGTCTTTTTATCTGGTAGAAACATACAAACCAGTGGAAACACCACCACAACGACCGCCAATTGACCACTACTCCTCCAGCACACTTACCACCAGCCAAACCAACATCGCAGCCTTCTCACCACTACCACCACCAAGCGCATCCACCAATAATTAACTCTACCGTCACCACCACGACCACTAAGTACCTCCACCAGCCTCACCGTCGTCACCATCAACAGCAGCAGCAGCAGCGGCGCCAGCATCTTGGTCAGCATCGCTGTCGTAGCTAGGGAGCAGGTAATATCGGCAGCGCACGCTGGGCACAGTGGTGGGCTCCACCTTCCAGGAGGCGAACTCGTCGGGCTCGGGGTCGGGGTCACGGCTGAGCTCCGAGGGGTCACCAGGGTCCCGGTGGTCGCGGGCCGTGAAGATGACGTGACGCACGTGGGGCTTGGCGTGGCCCCTGACCATCTCGCTCAGCGTCGCGCGCTGAAACTGAGGGCAGGTGGAGGTGGCACGGGCCCGCTCTGTGGAGGAAACCCACAGGTAACAGAAGGTTAGAGGTGCAGCCCTCCAATTGCTTGCTCCACGTCACTGCTGGCGGAAGGACCTGGGTCCACTACAGGGAGCTCTCGAGGGCATTCCAAGAATAATAATAATAGCGACGGTCAATGGTATAGTGTATAGCATATACATACTATTAACATTCCTTCCCTTTGTTAATGCTACCCCTATCCCCTCCCTTTGATGCTGCTAATCCTGCATAATGCACGGGCATAATATGACTTTGAAACCCCCCGCCCACCTCCACGCATTTCCCATACATTTGCTAAATTCCTCTTGATATGCAAATTCTTTTGTCAAGGCGCTCTTCTTCCCCATCCAACCCAGCTTAAATATACGCTCCAAGCTTGGTGGTGTTTCATTCTTCACCTGAGAACGGCTGCTTGCGTTGTGGCCGAAACGTCGTGAGAATTATTTTATTATGTTTGATTTTTATTATTTTATTATTTCCCTTCTACGTGACTTTACCGAAAGAACTAAGAAGATGAATAGTAATAATGTTGCATTTTATAGAGCATCGTCGTTCACGCAAATTGCGTCTATCACAATCGTCGAGGAAGGCGGCAGCCGCCAGATGGTGAGTAGGCGCCACCAACATTCGCCCAAGGTCGGCAGTCCTCTATACGTTAAGATGTTTTTAGCCAATGAGCGTTTAGGGATCAATGAATCAATCAAGTCGTTATTTATATAGCACTGTTTCGTGCAAAGGATGACATTCAAAGTGCCGTATAGATATTAAAAAACATTGTTAAAATACTAAATTGCAAGAGGAATAAAAGCAATTTCCAAACAACACAAAATATCATTATAATTAATTGCTATCGAAAGCATATTAAAAAACAACACTATAAAATAATCTTAAATTGAAGCAAGCTTAAAAAGGTGAGTTTTTAGATTTAACTTTAAATTGCTTGATGATTGTGAAGCCCTCAAATCACGCGGCAGGCTGCTCCACAGGCGAGGAGCGCGCAACACTGAAGGCCGCCTTCTCCGTGAGTTTGGGTCCTCGCCCTTGGGACGATTTAAAGACCGGACCCGTGGGATCTGAGGGATCTTGTTGATTCATCTAAAAAGGCCTGTGCGAGGAAACCGCAGTACCCGAAACAAAAATAAAAAACCCCACGCATGCGAGGGCGCCACACACTGTGAACAACAATAAAGCCAAACTCTGCAGTCCTCTAAATATGATGTTTTGAGCCAATTCATGAAGTAGGCATGTGGGAGGAAACTGGAGCACCTGGATGTTACAGATGCGTACCTTTGGTATTCGCGCCAATCTTACAGCGCAAGGCTCTCACGGAAGGCGCAATGTTTCACAGACTGCTATGGTCGTCTACCTATAGTGGACATTGCTGCTTTGTGGTTTTACTTAAGTAATTTGGGGATGCTTTTCAATTTAGGATAACCTTTATTGTGATGCCTGCATGCATTGCCAATGGCTACTGCGAAGCAGATGTCGTGCGCGTATAGTTGTTGTGGCATTAACCAGGGCGGCCGATGGTATCAAACCGCGAGCCTCTGCAACACCGCACAACTGCTCGACCATGTCACCGCCCTGGACTCAATTTGTAGGTCCTCAAAAAATGTGGATTGTATTGCACACTTATCGGTGCTGTGACTGTTGGTTGGTACTTTACCACTTACTGAGGATACCTTCCTTATAAGGCACATAGGCATACTACTGAACCATACGCTCACACGGAGACCCATAAACTCCCAACGAGACCCATAGCCTTGCACTTAGATGCATAGACTCGCACGGAGACCCATAGACTTATACGGAGGCCCACAGCCTCGCACAGAGACCCACATACTCACAGAAACCCATAGGCTTACACAGAGACCCACGGACTCGCACAGAGACCCACAGACTCGCACAGAGACCCACGGACTCGCACGGAGACCCACAGACTCGCACAGAGACCCACAGACTCGTACAGAGACCCACAGACTCGCACAGAGACCCATGGACTCACACGAAGACCCATAGACTCACATGGCGACCCACATGTCGCTTATATAACAACATTTTGATTAGTATAAGATGATTTGGGGAGAGAGTGGTGGTGCTTTAGTTGGCGCACTGCACCATGAACCTGGCGAGCCGAGTTCAAATCCTGGCCACGACTAACATCAGCGGTGATTGAGATCTGAACTTGTTGTGGGCTCATCGCCTACTTCTCCATGAGCGAACAACCTCCACTACCAACGTGGAGTGGGGAGGTCTTCATCCAGCGGTGGATTGATGAAGTACTGATATTTAATCAGCCCGAAATCAATCCACTGATGGATTAAACCCCTCTCCAACCTGCCACCATCTCTCTGGACCCTGCAATGTAACGGCCCGCATACCATCTGCACACGAGCTGATTTCATTGCTCCATCTCCGCGGTTGACGTTCTCTCTGTTGTGCACTTCCCCGAGTTATATCTCCTGGTTCTTAAAGGCAAACCCAGACACGTACCTGCCATGCAGATCAGCGCCACTTGAACCATCGCCACGACCCAATTCTTGGCCATCACCGTATGGTGAAATCTTGCGCCCGCGTGGGTTAGAGGAGTAGACGCACACACAAATGTGCAGGTCGCAGTGCGCACACAAACAGATCACACACCGAGCTCGATTAGAAGTCACTAGGTCTCGGCATGCCGTACGGCTGAGCCTGGCACATTGTTTGCTGGGGCTCACGGTGTCCTTTTTTTCTCACGCAGTTGTTGTTGACCCGTGCACTTATTTCCCCTTTTGATCCCCGGCTTGTTTCGGAGCCAATGAGCTGATGGAGCATTTCGTGAGGACGCCCCCCCCCCCCACCCACAAGTCTCCACTACTATTGCCAACAACGACCCACACAATTGTGACCTCGGCCATTGGCTTCCCGTGAGAGTCTCAACGGAAGAAAGAGGCACGTGGGGACAATGCATTATCGGTGTCGAGGTCCCATGTTATCGGTGTTGTTATTACTAATGATACAAAACAGCAACTTGGCAACAAGTGAGCAAATTCACAAGGAGTCCATAACCGGCAGTATTGTGAGAAATGTTAGCTAGCCGTCGGGACAATTACGCCTTTAATAAAGACACCGCACGAATGTGATGGTTGAATTTAAAGTTGTGAGCCCAAGTGGATTTGTCGTGATTGTTTAAGTTGGTTAACTCCACGCTTTCACAAGCACGTGGCATTGTTATTCACGACCAAGCTCATCGCGCTGGAGGTTCTTGCTCCAGCGAGCACATTCGACGCTGGCACGCTGATGGCAGGACGAATTTTTGGAATGGAAAATGCAGAGAGGATAGACTTAACGCTGCTATCGACGGGCATACCAAAGCGATGGAGCACACTCTGCTCGTGCGCATTGTGCCGGGAATTGCTGTCCATTAGGGGGACACGTGTCCTTCAAGACCTACCTTAGAGAGCATCGGCTTTAAATGAGCACCGAGCGTGATTGATGATGATGATTTAACCCCAGCGTCCTAGCTTCAGTTCCTGGTCATGCACATCAGTGGCGAGGAAGGACTTAATTCATTTGTAGCTGTTTGGGACTGACATTTGGGAAACAATAATAATAATAATTTAAATGCATTAAGCGCCCTTAAACAATCGTTCTCAGGGCGCTGAGTATTTCCCCGCTGTTGTTGGGTTGGGTCCAGGCAGTTGTGAGTTTCGGGGGTGGTGGGGCTGGAAAATATTATTTTAAATTTTTAGACCTGGTGGTGAGTGATATCTTAACCTGCCCTGTGTCTTCCCTAGGTCGACTTTGCCATACATGAGTACCTGGGGTGCAGTTTGTATACTCGCCAGTACTGGGAAGACAAAGGCGAGCGGGAATTGTACTACTTTTCAGTTATTTGTGTACCATGATTGCCTCAATAGATGCTCCCTGACAGCACTTGCCTCTGCAGCCTATGAGGTTGTTTAGTGATTGATGATTTGCATCAACATCAGAACCGGGGAGACAAAGGCGGTCGGGCGTGGTGCTGCTGCGTGTTGAAAATACTAACAGTGTCTAAATAATTGTCGTTTATATACTTGGTTCTTTCGGCAAAGTCACGTAGAAGGGAAATAACAAAATAATATAAATATAAAACAATTATATTTTTAGATATATTAATATTATTTTATTATTTCCCTTCTACGTGACTTTACCGAAAGAAGCAAGAATATGAATCCCTGCAGTCACGAACGCTTTAAATCTGAATATAATTGTCGTTTATGCAAACTGCATCTCACAATCGCCGAGGAAGCTGCGAGCTCTGCAGTCCTCTATATATGAAGATGTCTTCGGCCATTTAATGAGCGTTTATACATTTTGGAGTAAATTGGATGGATTTCCACTGTTGACTTTCCGTGCAGTGTGGTGCAAATTTTTGCTTTCATCCCATACAGAAGCGACAGATGATGTCGGTCCACATCGTTGCTGCATCGCATCCTCCTGGCAGACCCAGAGGGTATTTGGCATCTTCACGACGCTTGTCCCCCCGACCCGCGGGACAGTGAAATGTCATTATCCTGCGTGATCCACCAAGCCTCGCTGCCTGCACAGTGCGGGAACGACACGGGATGCAACAGAGCCACCACCACCACCACCTACCGCCCCTTTAGAGTCGTGTGCGGTGGGGGGGGGGCTTGTATGTTGAACTTCTTTTGCACCCTATGTAGCCAACCACGCTCATCGGAGGTGCGGCCTTAATAGATACTCGCAAACAGCCCCTTCTCCCCCGACAAACATTTTTTTTTGTATTTTACCACGTAAGGCCCACTGAGCTATATAGCTCTTTATCAGAAGCCACATGGCTATCACATACGATATAGCAACGAATTGTTATGTGGACATATGTGGAGGCAAAAACTAAAAGACCTGGAGAAAAATCAACGCGACCACTGACAGAGAGAAAGGCAAACTCCAAATATTCAGCAGGCGTCAAGGTCGTGATGGAGCGCACGACCTCCTGTGCACGTGGCGAGGGAGTCAACATCTCATGGCCACAGTGGCTCCGCCCCTTCGTCTTCCGGGGCCGTGAGAGTCGCCGGTGATTGGCGGATGGTGGTGGCGTCACCGTGACGCGGGGGCGGTCAGGAGAGCGGCTCAGCCAATGGGGAGCTCTGCCTGCGGTGGCGTGTGACGCGAGACGGGCAGCCCACAACCCTCCACCACCAATGCCCACAACCAACGCCGCTCCCAACATCACCACCACCAATTAACTCTCTACATCACCATCACCACCAATTAACTCTCTACATCACCACCAAGTCACTCTCTACATCACCATCACCACCAATTAACTCTCTACATCACCACCAAGTCACTCTCTACATCACCATCACCAAGTCACCCACAGCATCAACATCACCAAGTCACCCACAGCATCACCACCACCAATTAACTCTCTACATCACCATCACCACCAATTAACTCTCTACATCACCACCAAGTCACTCTCTACATCACCATCACCAAGTCACCCACAGCATCAACATCACCAAGTCACCCACAGCATCACCACCACCAATTAACTCTCTACATCACCACCAATTAACTCTCTACATCACCACCACTTAACTCTCTACATCACCATCACCACCAAGTCACTCTCTACAACATCATCACCACCAAGTCACTCTCTACATCAACATCACCAAGTCAACCTCAACATCACCACCACCAAGTCACCCACAGCATCATCACCACCAATTAACTTCCAACATCACCACCACCAAGTCACTCTTCACATCACGACCAATCTCAACAACACCACCACCAATTAACTCTCAACATCACCACCACCAAGTCACCCACAGCATCATCACCACCACCACTGCCATCACCGACAGCCTCCTTGAGCGCAAGCAGAGGCGGACGGTATCGGTAGGAACCCCTTGTGGGGCTTCTCAGGTAAGAGTTCACGCACACACGTGTGCATGTCACACACACACATGCATATCACACACACACACATGTGCATGTCACACACACACACGTGCACATGTCACACGCACACATGTGCATGTCACACACACACACATGTGCGTATGTGCGATGGTGTCTAAACTACATTTATATTACAGTAGTGCTGATGCACATCTGTACTGTATCTAACCTTAAATACACGGCGACATTCGAGATCGTGTTGCTCTGCTCCAGTACTCTTGTTGTGCGTACATTGTTGTCACGGCGTTATTGCGGGTGTAGTTTAGACTTCCTCGTGTGCACTGTGCTGTGCACTGTCTCCTGTGTACTGTCTGTGTTGTGGACTGTCTCCTGTGTACTGTCTGTGCTGTGGACTGTCTCCTGTGTACTGCCTGTGTTGTGGATTATCTCCTCTGTACTGCCTGTGCTGTGGACTATCTCCTGTGTACTGCCTGTGCTGTGGATTATCTCCTCTGTACTGCCTGTGCTGTGGATTATCTCCTCTGTACTGCCTGTGCTGTGGATTATCTCCTGTGTACTGCCTGTGCTGTGGATTATCTCCTGTGTACTGCCTGTGCTGTGGATTATCTCCTGTGTACTGCCTGTTCTGTGGATTATCTCCTCTGTACTGCCTGTGCTGTGGATTATCTCCTGTGTACTGCCTGTGCTGTGGATTATCTCCTGTGTACTGCCTGTGCTGTGGATTATCTCCTGTGTACTGCCTGTGCTGTGGATTATCTCCTGTGTACTGCCTGTGCTGTGGATTATCTCCTCTGTACTGCCTGTGCTGTGGACTGTCTCTGTACTGTCTGTGTTGTGTACTGTCTCTGTACTGCCTGTGCTGTGGACTGTCTCTGTACTGTCTGTATTGTGGACTATCTCATCTGTACTGCCTGTGCTGTGGACTGTCTCTGTACTGCCTGTGTTGTGGACTGTCTCTGTACTGCCTGTGCTGTGTACTGTCTCTGTACTGCCTGTGCTGTGGACTGTCTCTGTACTGCCTGTACTGTGGACTGTCTCTGTACTGCCTGTGCTGTGGACTGTCTCTGTACTGTCTGTATTGTGGACTATCTCCTCTGTACTGTCTGTGCTGTGCACTGTATCTGTACTGCCTGTGTTGTGGACTGTCTCTGTACTGCCTGTGTTGTGCACTGTATCTGTACTGCCTGTGTTGTGCACTGTATCTGTACTGCCTGTGCTGTGGACTGTATCTGTACTGCCTGTGTTGTGCACTGTCTCTGTACTGCCTGTGTTGTGCACTGTATCTGTACTGCCTGTGTTGTGCACTGTATCTGTACTGCCTGTGTTGTGCACTGTATCTGTACTGCCTGTGTTGTGGATTGTCTCGTGCGTACTTTGGGAAAGTGCTAACTCATTGTGTGGATTTGAGATGACTTAAACTGAGTTCTAAAGCAGTTATTGATATCTCCTCCCAGACTTCGATGTAAAGCTTTCGTGACTGCAGGGATTCATCTTATTGGTTCTTTCGGTAAAGTCTCGTAGAAGGGAAATTTAAAAATTTAAAAAAATAAACATTTTATTATGTTTTATTTTTATTATTTGTATTATTTCCCTTCTACGTGACTTTACCGAAAGAACCAAGAAGATCCTCCCAGACTGTTCCCAAACACAGGGCGATGCACTGCTTTAGTGCTCAATTTACAATTACTGTACAATTATTTTCTATTCTAAAGAAACACATTTCACTCTGTTATGCTGCTGCTGCTGCATTGGCAGTTGGTGCACAACTGTAATTGACAAAAACTCAACAAATTGGTCAGGAACACTGTGACACTAAAAGGAGAAAATATAAATAGGTGACGTTTCGGGAAATGTCCCTTATTCACATGATAATTATGACACCACATCGGGTAAAAAAAATAATGTACATTGTTTATGTTTAGTACATGTATATAGTGTGTTCTTGTGTTCGTTTAATCCCTGACATATCGAAATACTTAGTAATAAACTCGAATCTCAATTGTGTTTGTGCTAAGAAGGGCCATTGCCCGAAACGTCGCCGATCATATTTTTGTTCTTGGAAGGCCCAGGGTGTTATTGACCAATGTTGAGTTTATTTTGTTACCTGTGCGTGTGCATCACTGCCAACTCAGCAGCAGCAGCATCACTAATTTACTTGTTTTTAAAGGTATAAACGTGGCTCAAAATTGGGCCCCAGGATAAGCAAATTTCATTTATAATAAGTGGACACATCTGAGGGACACGATTTTAAAGCACCTACAAAAAAGTACTTTAATCCAGCACAAAGTGATCGTAAAACGTCCTCCTGGAGAGTTACAAATAACATAATAAATAATCAGATGTCTCTTTCATATATAAATCTCAAGGAAATAGAAAAGTATCTATTTTAAATACTTTGTATCAACCTGCAAGGCTATCTTGGGAGTGCATAATGTCAGTAACCATTGGTCGAAAGCAAACTTTGGACCGGTCTCGACGTTCATTGCCTTATCAGCAGTCAGGCTTGCGAGCAAGCCAGCGGAATAGTTTGCTGTTTTATGTGTATTGAAGGAGATATGTTGCCTTGATAATTATGTATTACCTGTGCCTTGGACAGCTGTTGAAGGTGGACCTGGAATCAGCATTATGAGAGACGGACAAGAGCCGGTTGGGGTGCTTTTGGGAGAAATTAAATTGATAATGAAAATAAATATACCAACGTGTCGATAGAAAACCCTTTATAATCGGTTGATATTCCCTGCTTTGACATATGGATCATTAACTAAGACGGTGGAAGAAAAGCTGAATGCATGGATATACCCAAGTTAGTGACATCATTTAAACTGTTCAGCAAAGTAAGTGGGCTTGGGCAGGGCGCATTGCTAGATGAAGATAATAGGCAGTGGTCAACAGACTAGCTAGCGTCCAAAGGAGGAATCACGCCCAAAAGTACGTCTGCCACAGAGACGGAGAAATGGAAGCAGCTCGTGTGGGTGCTGGGTGGATTGTTGCATCGAAGGACCGAGCACATGGTGACGGCTTGGGGAGGCCTTCATCCCGATGTGAATTAATCATGGCTGATGATGACGATCAAAATGTCAATTATCATATTTTTTACTGGCAAATGAGGTACCAATGGTGTAAATGCTTACCCCGAGCTCTCATACTCTGATGGTGCATTGTCTTTGAGTTGTGCGCCGTTTGGCGTCATCTGGTCCAACCCATGTTGAGACTAGGCTCAAAGGAAAGCTGTCTCGGGTGTGGACCAATCAACTTCAAGGACAGTGCATACATTATCAGAGTTGTGTTTTTTGTTTGCATTATGACTGCAGGTATTGTGGTCTATGCAAACATGACTCCTCGTAAAAAAGGCGTCAGTTTTGTTGCCAGATAAAAGGGTAAAAACCCAATTATCGATCAAAATGTCTTTAACATTTTAAATTTCAGCCCTGTGTGTATGTGTGTGTTGGAACATACCACTCAATGACTGATCACCATGCAGTTTGATCCTTTGTGCGTGCCAATCGGCACGTTCGTGAACACAATTTCATTAGATTTTATTATCGATTCATGACTGACTTTGGAATATATAATCCGAGTCCAAAAACGATTATCACTTTATAGATAATTGTATTAATAGCCCTGATTAGAACCATTGCACCACACCGAACACACAAGCTCTGCCTTGCTGTCATCATCCGGGCGCCTTTGGCGGGATGGCTCCCAGACATTTCCGACTGGATTCCCTTTGCAGTGCAGCCACCATGGACATCGTGCTGCAGTACGCCGACTCGCGGGTGCTCACGCCGTACGTGTACCCGGCGTGGTGGGCAGAGGACGACCCCGTGCGCCAGACCCTGAGCCTCCTCCTCGTCACCAACTTGGGCGGCGTCGCCATCTACTTAATCTTCGCCACGCTCAGCTACTACCTCGTCTTCGATCACAAGCTCATGAGCCACCCGCAGTTTCTGGAGGTGCGGGCACATCAGGGCACTTAACTTGGGTGAATTTCAACTCTTGAGTATTAAAAATTTAATTTTCACCATCATGTAATGAAAATTACTCTCACTGGCAAGGCAGGTGGGAAAGTGTTGGCCCTTGCCATGTGGACCAGAGTTCACGAGAAGGGGTCTCAGAGGCAGCTCTATAAAATCTGCTTCTGTGGACCATTCTGTAACTGTTCTTTGAGAGATCCCAAGGGATTATCCATCTCATTACATGATAATGGTAACACAATTGGAAAATTGAGGTAAAATTAAGTTTCGAACTCTTGTTTGACCGCCCAAAATGCACAACTGAGGTGTGAGTATACGTGAAAAGAGCTTTGTCTTTAGAGTTGTGGTCTCCCTTCAATCGGCTATCTCTCTACAGAACCAGGTGCGCAAGGAGATCAAGTACGCAGTACAGTCTATGCCTTGGATCAGCATCCCTACGGTCGCGCTGTTCTTATTGGAGGTCAGAGGTTACAGCCGACTCTACGACAGCCTCGACAATTCAGCTTTCGGTACATCCGCCCATCCACGTGCACCCACAAAATTATATCGCATACGGCAGCTCTCCGACGTTCGACGTTTCACTCCCCCTGCTGGAAGCTTCTTCAGGAACTGATTTCCCTTGTGGTGAACGTGGCATGCACGAGCGATTAGCTCGAATGCGCAAGTGACAGAGCTAATAAATAACATTGGCTGGTCAGTATTGACTACCACCGGCAGCTGGGAACTGATGCCTGCGCAAAGCAAGTTTTGTTTAGGCAAGAAAGAGATGACAAATTGGCTCGCGTCACTACTACCGTATTGGAGCACTGAGCCGGGATCGCTGAGAACCTGAGTTTCATTCCAAGTTTTAGCTGCCCATTTAATCAACTGGGTTCTCTGGTATAGTGAGTTGATGGTCTTTGCCTTATCAGCAATGACTTCACAAAAAAGCCCATCGAATACAATTTGGTTTTTTACTTTTGACATATTTAAGTTTGATAATTGTTTTTTTTACCCTTTTATCTGGCAACAAAACTGACAGCTTTTTTTACAAGGAGTCATGTTTGCATTGACCACAATACCTGCGGTCGGAATGCAAACAAAAAACGCAACTCTGATAATGTATGCACTGTCCTTGAAATTGATTGGTTCACACCCGAGACAGCTTTTCTTAGAGCCTAGTCTCACATGGTGTTGGACTAGATGACGCCAAAAGGCGCACAACTCAAAGACAATGCACCATCAGAGTATGAGAGCTTGGGGTGTCAGTTTTGTTGCCAGATAAAAGGGTAAAAAAAACAATTATCATGTTTTGCTACTGGCAAAGGAGGTTCCAATGGTGTAAATATTTAAGTTTGGAGGGAAAAATATTTGATGTTTGACAAACAATTACCCATGTGGCTTGGAGAGTCCCTCATCCAGCAGTGATTGTTTGTATGGTAGCGAGGACAAAGAGTCCTGCTGAAGTGACGTCAGAAAGTTGTTCCGTGGGCTGTTCTGACACAGGGGAGTGCTTTGGGAGCTGCGAGAATTCCTGAGCAGGTGTTGCTTCATCTCCTGTCACGATGCCAATTGTGCATTGGATTATAATTCGCGTAGAAAATGTAGACGAAAAAAATCATGCATATGCATGGATTATATCACACTTTCCTAAGTGCTTTTGTCCTTGTAAGTAATTCAATAACGTTACCTTCCGACCAGCACAAGGAGATGTTACACTATGTGTGGTATCACAAGATGACGTAATGATGTTATGATGGGGAGGCAAGATGCACGCATGGGTTCACGATGTTATCGCCATTTAGCGCTGTTTTTTTTTTACCGCTAAGTTTTTGCAAACCCTTTGATCAATGTCAAAATGAGAAGTTTTCTTTATTTAGACTGGAGGAATCCGATGAGCTATAAAGCTCTTTTTCACGAAGTCCATGAGAGTGGGGACAGCAAGTTTTTTTTACAGGCCAAGTCCCTAATAGCAACACAACTTTATACTTCAATTTCATTCACATTGGATCGTCTTCATGAGCAATATTGTGCCCCTTTCTCCCCTTGCTATGAACAGATAGACAGAGCTAATGCATCAATACTTTAAACCTTGCTTGGAATGCATTAAACATATTGCGTGTTTTTCCCTGGATCCCAGGATTGCTGGGTGTGCTGTTCAGCATGATGTCGTTCCTGTTTTTCACCGACATGGCCATATACTGGATACACCGCATTCTCCACCACAAGTCCATCTACAAGGCAAGTCCACTGTCACCAGCCTGGAGTACAACCTCACTGCAGATTTTTGTGAGTCGCTGACAGACTAAGCTAGGTAAGATAATTGGTTTTTTACCCTTTTATCTGGCAACAAAACTGACAACCTTTTTTACAAGGAGTCATGTTTGCATTGACCACAATACCTGCGTCGGTCGGAATGCAAACAAAAAACACAACTCTGACAATGGACTGTCACATTGAAGTATTAAAAAAAAGGTGTCAGTTTTGTTGTCAGATAAAAGGGTAAAAAAACAATTATCATATTTTGCTACTGGCAAAGGAGGTTCCAATGGAGTAAACTAGGTAAGTTCATTGTAGCCATAGCGAGTGACACTGTGATAACGTGGTGTGCCTGCCAATTGTGGATTTATTAACCCAGACTGACCCAGCTGAAATGAAGCCCGTGGTGGGAGTAAGGCTAATGCCATGTTAGAACACTTAAGCTGGCACAGCTGAGATCCTGGGTTCTAATTAGGGCTGAACGATTTTGGGAAAATATCTAATTGCGATTTTTCTGACAAATTGTGATTGCGATTTGATTTGCGATTACATTTTTAAAAGTCAAGCTTCAGTTCAATATTCACGGTGTAATAGATTTAAAACGTGTGATGGAGCATTACCACATGATACCATGAAAATATGAACTGCTCTATATATTATAATGCAAGGATGAGAACTTAAAATATATTAATTGCTTCCAAAATGTATTAGTTAAAATGTTTTAATTGAAATAGAACAAACATAGAACAATTGTTAAGTTAAATAAATAAAGTTATAATAAAAATAAAACAATTCCAATAAGAAAGTAAGAGGACTTTTCAAATCGCAAAAAATCGCAGCCTTTGCAATTTGCTAATCGCATTTTTTCAAATTACCATTTCGATTTGAGCTCGATAAATCGTTCAGCCCAAGTTCTAATCTGGGTTTCAGCCGTGATTAAAACGGGTCATCGAGTGTCAAGGTTTGAAAGTCTCAACCTTGTCACCTATAGCCGCACAAAATAAATATCAAACTTATTTCGTTTCACTTAATTCATCTTAATGCAGCTGTAGCGGGGGTGGGGGGGGGACAAAAACAAGTTTGATTGGCATGCCATGATCACTTGTAGAGTATAGCAGGTGTGCTTCTAGGTTGCATTGCATAGATATATTTTTAAATGACTTAAGAAGTAGTGTGATATCTTCCTGGGCCATTGCCCGACACAACGTGGTGCACTGCTTGCTGAGGGATTAGTGAATTGAAATGTATTCATTTCACGACAATGACACCAATAGCACAATTGTACTAAATCTGGGAAAAAGTGCCAAAGAAGAAATACAAAAATAAAAACATTCACTTTACAGTATTCGATGTCTGTATTTAAGTAATATATTTCTCCAACAAGCACCAACCATCGCCTCCCATCCACCGGCACACGTAGGATTGGAGGTGACACTTCCCCGCCTCCCCCCCCACTATTTTAGGTTGTATCCAATTAATCGAGAGTTAAGAGATGATAACAATGATATAGCCCAGCTCTAATAATAACAATCATAATAATTAGCATGTTAATGATAAGGAACCTCTCCTGCCTCTCTCTCGCCTCGACAGACGTTACACAAGCCGCACCACAAGTGGAAGGTGCCGACGCCGTTTGCGAAGCCATGCCTTCCACCCCATCGACGGCTTCATGCAGAGCCTGCCCTACCACATCTACCCCTTCCTCTTCCCACTGCACAAGGGCGTCTACCTGGGCCTCTACATCTTCGTGAACATCTGGACGGTGTCGATCCATGACGGCGACTACCGCGTGCCGCATATCCTGCGGGACGTCATCAACGGCTCGGCGCACCACACCGACCACCACCTCTACTTCGAGTGCAACTATGGGCAGTACTTCACGCTGTGGGACCGCTTGGCGGGCTCCTACAAGCACCCCAGTGCTTTCGAGGTAGCGCATTGGTTCCCAGCCTTTTTCTTTCTTTCGTCGAGACGGAGGAAAGTGGAAACAAATTAGGAAGTGCGCAGTGGACACCCTAAGGGCTGTCTGCCCGTGCATGGTGATGATGATGATGAACCCTCCTCCCTGCCCTATAAAATTCCCACGCATCCCATACGTGCCCTGTCAGTGGCCCATGTACCTCTACCAGGCCTATCGATTTTCTGCATACCCCAATAAATTATTATATAATTAACATTTTTTTCAAGAATATATCCGTTTAATTAACAGCCAAGACATTTAGTTAATACTTACTGACTGAATAACAATTCACTCCGTATGTTTAATTTAACGTGTACTTTCATAACATTTCAAGTAACTTGCTGTACAGTTTAATCGGAGTAACAGTGACGTGAAACAGGATTGGAAGGCTGCGGTGCACTGGGTGTGACAGGCTGTGGAGATTGTATGAAGGGCATCAAAAGCTTGTTTAGTATATTTGTTAAAAAATGAGTGAGCACTAACAGAATGCGTGGAAAGTCGAGGCATACAAGTGCTCGGATTCACTGAATTTCTTTCAACAGATAAGTGCATATCCTTAGAATTACTGGTGGACACGTGCAGAGCAGGACTGCTTAGTAGTAGTAACCCCAACGTGCCCTTAGCTCACATGATTCGTCTCACGTACCCCCATACAGTTGTTATGCGTACCCCCAGGGGTCCACAGGTACCACAGGTTGGGAATCTCTGAAGTAGCACAAGCACGAAAAGGATGCAGCTACTGGGATATTGTGAGTCAGGGTGTGGGGAAAAAGGTCACTTGAAAGGATCTCAGAAATAGTCCTGATATTACCTTCCACGGGCCATCTTCTGACATGGGGTGGATACACCGCTGTCTGTGCAAGAGATCCGAATGGATACCTTGTGATCATTCTCATGACAAATGGGTGACGGTATCGTTGCAATAAAATTGGGCCAGGTAATGGGGCTATGTTTTGTGCAGAAGAGAGGCAGTACAGCAAAACACCTTGTTCTCTACTGCTACGTTCCAACATCTATGTTACCCGCCTTCACCAACACCGCACTGAGTATCATGGTGAAGTGTTGGAAAAATTACATCCACGACCCACATGGGCGTGGAGAGTCCCTCATCCAGCAGTGAATCCACAAAAGATCTGGATATGTAAACATTTTTGGAATATTTCATGCGGTGAAAGTGATATTGGCTGTTGAGGCTTTTTTGAGGATTGACATGCAGTTTGCACAATGGCTCTTAAAGGTAAGGAATTAATAGCCCCTTTGTTTTCCTCCAGGGCAAAGGTCCACACGATTATCTGCGCAAGCTACAGACCGACAAGTTAGAGTCATCAGAGGGAGCGGTACACAACGGGCACCCTGTGACAGCTGCCAGTCCTGCCGGGAGTAAGAAGAAAGAGTGAACAAAAAGAGAGACTTGGGTTGAGCCCGGATTGCAGTTTAATGTCTGGAGTGCGTCAAGCCAGCGAAAGCATGACCTTGGGACTGCACCGACAAACATGAATCGCTGTGTGACCTTGCATTCTTGACCAGATCAACCTTGCATGAAGAGATTCTCCTCCCCCAACAGATTGCCTTTTGTGAATGTCCATGGTAGAGTAAATGTTTGTTTAGATTTGGCCCGATTGTAAGCGAGCTAACGTTGCACATCTGCCATCACCAGGTAATTTCAAATGCTGCAAATGACACTTGAAATCTATTTTGAGGCTGAGGTACGCTGTGACTGCAATTGAAAAACAATGATAAGCTCATCGCAAATTTTTCGTACGTAATTTATGTGTTTAATGCCTTGATCTCTTATTTTATATGAAATAAACTTGCTTAACACGGATGTAAATCCTTCATGGAGTTCGTTGTGAATAGATTCACGATAAAAGATTATACTGTAGTAGTCATTCCTTTTTGTGGGTCATACATGTTCGTGTGAAAACTGGAGACGCTTTATCTAATTATTCAGTGGGAAAATGTACCTTTGTCTGCAAGTGTATTGTGTATATAAAATATATTTGGCATCAAGATTCATTGGTTTTCTGCGCAGTTACAATAAAAAAGAGAAGCATAAATTAACCCTATGTTGCTCATATTCATTTGGAATGTGCATGCACTTGTACAATTTACACGGCTAACACTAAAACTTAACATGGCAATTCAGTACTAATTAATAAGTATATGCTGGTATAACTGACCTGGAATGCGACCTATCTTGGCAGATCTCTGAAGCTAAGCTGAGTTGAGCCTGCATAGTGCTTAGATGGATGAGCACAAGGCAGGACAGCTTTTCATAGGAGGTTGCTGACCTGTGCTGAGCTGTGGGCAGTAGAGACGTATACAACTAAATCCATTGTTGTACTGTTTCTATACTCCCATATCTATGCTTCTTACCTCGACAAACACTGGTTTAACACGCGACCAATATTCATAATAAAGTTTTTGGGTTAGACCGTCGCACCTACATGAGTTAAATGATGACGTCACTCTGCTGCTCTATTTAAGAACGGGAGCAAATGGAGGGCTTCACCATTCTGGCGAATTGCCCGATGATGCTGGATGTAATTACCAGCGAAACGTCGTACTCAAACACTGTAAATGTTGTGGATTCACTCAACACACCGGTGGGCTAAAGTAGTGAACTATTTGTCTTTTGTCAACGTGACACTTTTTTGCTGATTGGCCGTGTCGGGTGGTGGAGGGTTACGACACATTTATAAATAATGCGATCTAACCCAAAAACGTTTATTATGGAACCCTCACTGGCCAGCATGGTGAAGTAAGGCATATGGAAGCTTTCATCCTGCAGTGGATTCACAAAAGGGCTGTGCATAAAGGTGCTACAACTTTTATTCGTACATTATGCATATACAATTACAAACGATGTGAACACTTTTGGAACCTCATTTGCCAGTAAAAAATATGATATTTGTTTTTTTACCCTTCTATCTGGCAACAAAACTGACACCTTTTTTACAAGGAGTCATGTTTGCATAGACCACAATACCTGTGGTCTATGACTGCAGGTATTGTGGTCTATGCAAACATGACTCCTTATAAAAAGGTGTCAGTTTTGTTGCCAGATAGAAGGGTAAAAAAAACAATTATCACGATGTGAACACTTGTTTGCAACGTTGGTTGAATTAAGCATTGCATCGGATGGCACATTTACCCAAGCTACTGATTAATACCCAGTTATGCATTATAAGTGTAAATCATACATATTCCACAGCGTTTTGTTTGTAACTTTTAAAACTCAGTTTTTGGACTGTCGAGATCTGCTTCTCACTGTGGCCAGCTTGCCATTGGAGCACCCAAGAGATTTTGGAGGCCCTGAAATAAACAAACAGCAAAATATCATCACACAAGCGCATACAGGATGTATGCTGAACTTCTTTCGCACCGTGCATAGCCAACAGTGCTAATCGGATGACAACGAACTAAAAGGTTCTTCATGTTCCTTCCACCCAGTGAATACTATTACGAGTGAATGGTTCACCCACATCCCGTGGCCACATGCAATTTGATGAACTGTCACAAATTGTTTATCATGATTTGATGCGAAGAATCAATTACATTTTGTCTCATTAATATTCCATTTCTATAGTCTCTGCTTTGTTCTGTTTTGTTATTCTCTCTCGTCTGTATTCTTTGTCATCTGTACCATCTGCCATGTTAGTTATTTCTCGTCGGAAAGACATTAGGACGCTGTCTTTCCGACAGCTCTGTTCTTCACCTGAGGACGGCTGCTTGCATTGTGGCCGAAACGTCGTGAGAATTTTATTACATTTTATTTTTATCATTAAATTTTTTCCCTTCTATGTGACTTTACCGAAAGAACCAAAGAGTATGGACCCTTGCAGTCACGAAAACTTCAAATCTAGAATTAATACTATCACCATCAGCATCATCACAAAAAAAAAAGAAGAGAAGAAAATACAAATAAATTAAATCAAATAAATTTAATTTATTTTATTTTTTACCCACGTGTCTTTACCGAAAAAACCAAAGAGTATGGTGATAGTATTGTTGGTGGTTGTGGTGGGCCAAGCTACATGCACCCCTACTATTCCATACACATGATTTGACACCTGGTGACATATGCATGTAATGCATGAGGCTCCCTACCATCAAAGCTGGAGGTGGATAAGTTGGCAGGATTTTTCTTGGCCACTTTCTTGATCTTGTTCCTGGCACTTGTCATTGGCCTGTAGTTGTCACGGCTGCTCAGGCGTGCTACGAGAGGGCATCAGTATCGTCCATCAGCCATTGCTAATCCACTGCTGGATGAATGTCTCCACATGTTGTTGCTACCTCTCACATTGCTGCGATATAATAATACTGGTTCCGATAACGATGTTAGCCGTGGCCAGAAATTTAACTCGGGTCATCGATTTCATAGAGCGCTGTGCCAACACTCCACTTTTTAGTTATTGTTAGTGCCAGCAGTAATGGTGCACTCTATACCAGGGGTGGAAATATGCGTAGATTCACCTATGAATATCGATTTGTAAACTCGCGATTGAGTACGATTATTTTTCAAATCGTATATGTATTAATTGGTATTCACGTCACCACTGCAGCCACGAGAGGTACTAACATTCACTGCAATGTAAAAAACAAAATTAGATTCAAATTACCTTGTGCAAAATCACTGCTCCCTCTACTGCAATGTGTAAGCCAGGAAATGATTCATGTGCGGTGTATGATGACAGTACGCTGAGCTAAGACACAATGCAACATTTAGAAAATACAAATCTATTTAAACTTATTAGAGTAGGTCCCTCCTGGGTTTGACTGGGAAAGAAAAGCAGCCGACAGAGATACACAGAGAGACACGGAGATAGAGAAACCTGGATATACGAAGACGTGGGGATACACACATACACGGAAATACATACACAGATACAGGGTGATGCATAAAGATACTGAGATACAGACAAACAAAGAACTTGCTGTGCTTTATTTCTTCTTGAATACTGTCCCTTATTCCACGACCTTTCCGTGAATTCATGTACTTTTCCCACACTTTAGCTGTAAATTTGAGTAAAATGATGAGGACAAAATCGTAACCTTACTGATTATGTAATTGTGGTCTTCAAACAAACGTATACGTTTTTTTCTTTCTCATCAAGAGCCTGGCTTCTTAACATATGGTTAAATCATACTGCTTATAATTAAGTTAACAACTGGGGATTAGGATCATGTGTCTTTTTGATAGGAAAGTCCTTGATATAGAATATCTTATTTGTACCGATAAACTTGGGGTTGACGATGTCTGGATCATCCAGTAGAGGTCGATACGTCAACTGGTCACCTTCTCCTGCACAGACAGAACAAGATACGGGCAATGATTTCTTCACTTAAGAATCTTGTTCACAAGTTCCTTACTCTTTGGGGGAGATTTAGCCCCTTCTTTAATGTAAAATGTGGTGATTATTGTACAGCTCTTTGAGATTAAATTGTATGAATGGATTGTATATTAAATATAAGTATTGGTGTTTAATGTGCAACAAAAAACGTCTCCCATTTACAAACCAACCAGCGGCAAACCAACTTGGAGACTAAAATCATTGAGAATGGGTGGTGGCTGAGTGGCTCAGAGTGAAAATATCGAGCCAAAATACTGAGCAACCACCATTGTGATCCTGGATTCAAATCTGAATTTCATTTCCCTGCGATTAAACTGGGGTCGCAAGTGTAGTAAGTCAGCCCATTGCAGTAACTACATGGATCTTTGCATCTCACCTCGTGAGAGGTGGTGATGAAAACTGAAGTGACCTGACAATTAGCTCTGTAATGTCATCTTCTCTAGGACATTCCCTAGGAGCCATCCATTTAGTGCGTACGCAAAAATCTGTTAAAACTCGACCCATCCCTGTAGGCACATGGACTTTTTTCACTCCCCCCCCATCGTACGTTCGCTTGACGCACCCCCGCCCCCTCCCCGAATCCTATCGAACGGCCGATATTTAATCCACGCAGAAACGATCAAGGATTAATAATATTAACGTGTTCTTGGTTCTTTCGGTAAAGTCACGTAGAATGGAAATAATAAAATAAAACAAAAATAAAATAAAAGAACCAAGAAGATGAATCCCTGCAGTCACGAAAGCTTTAAATCGAAATCTTAACGTGTTTAAGCTAACAGATAGTACACCGCCGGACTAATTCATTTGCGTACGTACTAAATGGATGGCCCCCTAGTGTGTGGTGATGTCAACATTGTTTTTTCTATGAGACATTGTGTGGTGAGGACCACTCACTGAAGACTCGCACAGCCACCAGTGTCTCCCTCTCGGCCAGCAGCTCGCTCGCCAGCCGCTCCGGCCATGCAGACACGTGCTTCAGCTGCCCCATCTCGTCGCACAACTCCAGCTCCGCTGAGGTTTTAATGAAAAAAACAAATATTGGCCAGGTGGCTCAAGAGGCCAGACCACCATAAACCTGGCTTTGAATCCAAGCACGGATTTGATTGATTAGACCAAATTCTCAAGTGTAGTGAGTTGATGGTTTCAGCCCAGTCACCACTCCACTCTACACGTACAAAATTTCAACAGTGAGAATTAAAAATATCAGTTTGACTGTCATGCAACCTGTGGTATCTGCTTTTATGGGCCGTTCTGAAACACAAAGTATTGCATTGCTTTACAAGAGATCTCAATGGATTATTTGTCTACAAACTTACCTCATGCCACATGTGAAGTGGGTTTGTGTTCAACATTCGCTCAATGTGTGGTAATTTCTTAATATAAGAACATGACATCAACTGCTATTATGTGGGCTGTAGTCATGTTACTTTTGCAAGGTTGCCTTCGTGAAAAGTCACATTTTAGTTGAACTAATTTTAACTTAGCAGGAGCTATTTAAAAACTCTTTATCTTTAAATATAACCATCCCCTAATATGTCCAATAACATTTTACAATTAATATTACACATCATAATTAGTGGCTTCGTTGTCAATCACTGCACATCAGTACGAACGACGGTACAAAAAAACATTGCGTGTTTTTTTACTTAAATTGGCAAAATCCAGCTTTGGGGATTAAACTCTTTTAGTTTGAGAATTATGCAACGAACACTTACACGGTAGGGCATGGGTTCCTTATACAGTATTGTATGAGACAGCGGAATCTCAGAAATAGGTAATATCAACTTCCAGAGGCCATGCCCTTAACATTGGATGAAGTTATACTACTTGCTGTGAATTACAAATACAATAATGTTTATCTCATGACAGCATGTGAATGATACTCAATTGGAATATTATTTAAGAAAGTAAAGGAAACTTTGAATATTAACTGATCTGTGTGTGGGCATGAAATACTTAAGGAGTGCAAACACTCCTTAAGTAAGGGGGCACCCACGTCCATCAACCCATCTGGTTTACCTGTACAGTATTCTTGTACAGGGAAATTGAGTTTTCAGGTCCATACGGCATACAGCCGTTTCAATACGGTAATTTTTTTGTCTATTTGTGTTTCTCCCTTGTGATGGGACTTTGTAGGATGAACTTGAAGATTTCTAAGGGCACGTGGTGACCAATGACGTCTGAATGGGTAGACACTGATAAGGGGTTGACAGGTATTCATTATTAGTGGCAAGAGTGGTCCTTGGAGGTCAAGATGTCGACTCTGCAACTGCTGGCAGAAGGAAGCAATCATAGTATGTGGTGGCATCAAAGGCATTGGCTATGAAATATTTTTTGGTAATAAATCAATTTAATTGTTCTTGTAATTTAATTAATTGCGTGATAATTTCCAGGCAGTTAAATTTCGATTTAAAGCTTTTGTGACTGCAGGGATTCATCTTCTTGGTTCTTTCGGTAAAGTCAGACCTGTTCTTCACCTGAGGACGGCTGCTTTGCGTTGTGGCCGAAACGTCGTGAGAATTGTATTTTATTATGTTTTATTTTTATTATTTTATTATTTCCCTTCTACGTGACTTTACCGAAAGAACCAAGAAGATGAATTTCCAGGCACTTGTAGTTGCTCACCATCAGGGTCACAGCCAAGCTTGATGCGGATGGAGCGAAGCAGTAGGCGAGCCTGGCAAGACGGGTTAAATAGCGCCTGCTGTCGCTCTGTAACAACAAGACCACACAAAGCATTAACATATACTGATAGGAACCTCCTGGTTCCACCAGCCCACAGGGGATTATTGTGTCCGTCCGTCCGTCGTGCAGGGAGGGGCTGGGTGGGGAGGGAGGGGCTGGGTGGGGAGGGGAGGGTGGGGAGGGGCTGGGTGGGGAGGGGCTGGGTGGGGAGGGGCTGATTGGGGAGGGGCTGGGTGGCAAAAAAGGTCATGTTTTTATTAGACGTAATTTCGTTGTATGGCTTAATATGAAACATGGCTGATTAAACACTTCCCGAGACAAACGCAAGTTGGAAGGCGTTAACATCAGAATCAGAATATTTATTTATACTGGAGGAATCCGATAAGCTATGAAGCTCTTTTTCACATGTCCAGTAGGGGCGGGTAAGAACGTTACAACAACAAACAATACAAAAACATGATAGTAGTGCAGAGTACAATAAAGGTAAACAAATCACCGCAACACATACAATTACAACTAAACCACCCCCATCCTACCAGGCAAAGCCCACTTGAGTTATTATTATGATTACCTTATTGTTCAGATGCGACCTGGCCACAAATGACAGCTCAACAAAGTGTCCCATCATGATTTGGACAGACACATCCAGTGGCGTTTTATTCCTGGTTTTGTTGTTCAGATGCATTATTGACGGGTTGACTACGATAATTGTTTTTTTACCCTTCTATCTGGCAACAAAACTGACACCTTTTTACAAGGAGTCATGTTTGCATAGACCGCAATACCTGCTGTCATAAAACAACCAAAAGACATAACTCTGATAATGTGCACTGTCCTTGAAGTTGATTGGTCCACACCCGAGACAGCTTTCCTTAGCGCCTAGTCTCACAAGGTGTCAGTTTTGTTGCCAGATAGAAGGGTAAAAAACCAATTATCATATTTTTACTGGCAAATGAGGTTCTCATAGTGGTTTGACTACGATTTAAAAAAACAACCCAAAACCTTAAAGTCTTTATTTTAATCCAGATCACCCTTGTGAATGAGATTAATGGGGGGGCGGTGGTGGTGGTGGTGGGGCTCCTACGAACCCATGAACATCCGAGAAGTTTGCTGAGCCCCCCCTCTAGGTTTACTCAGCCTTAAATGAGCACATGGTGTGCGGTGCTGAAACCGAGGAGCATTGTGGGAGACAAAGGTGGCTGGGCACAGTGCTGACCACCAACCCCCCAGCTGTTCGTGTCTCTTATTAAGGCCATATAATAAAGGGGGTTATTTTGTGTGTTGGCGAAATACTACAAGTTTACTACGAATAATAAAGGCCAGGATGTAAGAGTCTAAAGCAAACATTAGCTCAATTGTAAGGTGCGTACGACCTAGTACACATGGCATTCATATCGTATTGTTATTTTAAATAAGCAAATGCCTGCCGGAATAAAGTAAACGATAAACGACCCTAACATTTCCCTTCTAGTGGGTGCATTGTATTAGATAAAGTTGGATTATGATGGCGAATAGCTTTGAAATACCGTATCAACATTATACACTACCACATATCTTGTTAACTCTCTGTTAAAGGACGTGGTTTAAACACTTACACAAATACCGTGACGATAATTAGTGACGCAAACTAAAGTGTTGTAATTCTAGATTTGAAGATTTCGTAACTGCAAGGATTCATACTCTTAGATTTTTTCGGTAAAGTCACGTAGGTAAAAATAAAAATAATAAATAAAAATAATAAATAAAACAATCATAATAAATGAAAATAAATTAATTTTAATTGATTTATCGAAAAAATCAAAGAGTATAAATTGTTGCAATTTTAAGTCGAATGTATTCGGTGATAAAGGCAGAGGAGATGTAAGAATAGCACAAAGCATTGTTTTACATAACTTTTAATAATACAGTTACCGTATTGAACTGTTTTAATGTTATAACTATACATTCTCAAGTAACATGTTTATCGTTCTATGTACATGGATATGTAAATAAAGTTAAACTATTAAAGGCCCAGGTAAATGTATACATTAACGCAGTACAGAAGAGGCGAAAACGTTGCCGTACAAAGAGTTGAGGGTCTGTTATCAAATGAACACGTGAAGAGACAACAATATTATTGTTTAAAGTTAGTTACATTAATTACGACAATTAAGCAAATGAGGTTAAATAATTAACAAATTAATGTACTGTACCTCCGTATTTAACGGTGACGAACATCCCGACGGCGTTGACTAAAGATTTCAGACTTGTAAAGTTGACAACACACAAGATACGGCTCGTATTAATGTGTAAACCTGCACACTTTAATGTTTAGTCGCTGTAAAGTAAGAAGTTTTAGTTTTACCGCCGTCCTTTACGAGTTAATCGCCACGCACACCGAATGTCTACCCAAAGTTTCCGAACAAAGCTTACGCATTTGTTTTAAAATAAAATAAAATCGCGAATTACCGACCGCTTTCAACAGTCAACTACGATTTAGAATAGCGACGCTAAAGCCCAAGAGATTATAAATTATAATTAAAACTCGCCACGAGGAAAGTGAAAACTTTAAAGCGCCGGGTGGTGGGTGTCCGCGTTGCCATGGCGACAGCGCCGCGAGTGGTGGCAACCACCACCACCACAGAGGGCCCAGAATTAGCGTCGTTGTTGTTGTTGTTGTTTGTTATTTGTGTTGTTGATTGTGTTGTTCTTCAACGTTTCAATGCATTATCCCATAGCTGTCAACACGGACGGGTTATCACCGTATTTTTGTACGGGGAAATTTCGTTTGCAGGTCTATACGGCGTGCAGATGTTTCAATGCGGGCACAGCAATTTTAATAAGATAATTTGTGTCTGTTTGTTTGTGTTTCTCCCTTGTGATGTGACTTTGTAGGATGAACGTCGAGAATTATAAGGGGCAAGGAGTGACCAATAAGGTCTGAATTTGTAATAAGGTCGGGCACTGATAAGGGGTTGACAGGTTAGGATTATAGACAGAGAGCCATAGAGATCCATAGAAACCCATAGATACACAGAGACCCACAAAGCTGTCAACCCGTACGGTTTACCCCGTATTATTGTACGGGGAAATTGAGTTATCAGGTCCATACGGCCTACATCCGTTTCAACACGGACACAACAATAGTCTATTTGTTTGACTTTGTAGGATGAACGTCGATATTTTTATAAATGGCACGGGGTGACCAAGTGGTTTGTAATAAGTAAGGCTGCGTGTTAAACTCAGACAGGGTGTAGGATCGGGGCTTGAGATGACTACTCAGAGAGATTTCTTGTTGAGTTTCACGGCGGAGGCTGATCTATATGAGGCCCGTGAGCGACGCTCTCTGTCGGCTGGCTCGTTGGTCTAGGGGTATGATTCTCGCTTAGGGTGCGAGAGGTCCCGGGTTCAAATCCCGGACGAGCCCAAGTTCGCTTATTTTTTTATAACAAATAAAATAAAACCTTTTTTATTTTCCGTCACATTCATTCACGTGTGAAATACACGCTACACATCACGCTTTTAGACGCGTTACGTGTAAATGCATCGCGCTAAATACAAATGATTGTTTTTCTCTGACGCATTCTCCGTCAGGTTTCATTGCCAGCTTTGGCGCCCTCCGCCGTCGAATCGTGGAATTGAATGGCCAACCACGCGGCAGAGTCGGCGACAAAACTTCCTTTGTTCAAAGTTTCAACTGCGGACCGCAACTTATTTAAGAACAAGCGCATTGGTGAATAAAGTCAACGTAGTTGTAAAACTAACATTTTGAATAGCACAACATTGCAAGTTTTTTTTTAAATCGCACGATATGTAACAACTTTGATAAATTAGTTTAACAAAAAAAAGCGAGCGTTTTTTTTTGCTGGGCTCGTCCGGGATTTGAACCCGGGACCTCTCGCACCCGAAGCGAGAATCATACCCCTAGACCAACGAGCCACGCCGGAGGTCAGCGTGACCACGACACCTACTCTGCACGATGTTCACAATGCAACATCCTTCACCAGAAGTGGCACAATTCCATTCATAGAGACCCATAGAGATACATAGAGATTACTCTTTGGTTATTTCGGTAAAGTCACGTATAAAGATAAAATAATAAATTAAATACTAGCATACGACGTTTCGATTGCAACACAAGCAATCATCATCAGGTATAAATGAAATAGAAACACAAATCTAGTATACTTAGAAATGGAATGTAATACAACAGAGAGTCGGATAACATAACAGTCAACACCCTTCCTGGTTGATTACATTCTTCCTGAGAATGCTAAATTTGAGAGAGAGATAAAACACAGAACCAGAGACATATAGACATATAAGCAGACAGATACATAGAGAGAGAACAAACATAGGCACACAGAGAAACCACGCCTCTGTGTCGAGGCCTTAGAGAAATTAGCATGTGAATGAGTAGCACGGTGAGTGGTACGGTGCGAAAGCTTGAAAAAATTAGGATACATAGAGATAGCAAAGCTGTAAACCCATACGGTTTACCCCGTATTCTTGTACGGGGAAATTGAGAATCAGGGGTGGGGAACATCATTTGGTCTGTTCCAGCCATCACATTAGGGGTGAGTTAATTAAATGTTTGACCAAATATAACAGGCTAATTTTGAAGTTGATCTCTTTGTATGGCCCGCGAATGATGTAGTAAATATCCAAATGGCCCTTGGCAGAAAAAGGGCCTAGACCAAGGAGCCACACCCGAGGTCATTGTGACCACGAGACCGCCTCTGCACGATGTTCACGATGCGACATTCTCCATAAGAAGTGGCCGAGTTCCATAAAAAAAAGTCTTTCTTTCTCAATAAACTCGATACATATACCGAGTTGCATACCATACTCATTGGCTGTGTCGGGTGATGGCGGGGTTAACGACACATTTATATTTACACAATCTAACAAACAAAAAAACCTGTTGGAATCTCATTTGCCAGTAAAAAATATGATAATTGTTTTTTTTTTACCCTTCTATCTGGTCCAACCCATGTGAGACTAGGCTCTAAGGAAAGCTGTCTCGGGTGTGGACCAATTAACTTCAAGGACAGTGCACATTATCAGTTATGTTTTTGTTTGCATTATGACTGCAGGTATTGTGGTCTATGCAAACATGACTCCTTGTAAAAAAACAATTATCAAAAAAACCTGAATTATGGATGCATAATAACAACCCAATAAAATACTTTTTTTTACAACGAATTCGTCAATAACACTGCCTTAAAATAAAAATACTGGAGATAAAAGGCGACGTTTCGGGAACTGTCCCTTCTACAGAGCACAAACTGCCAACGAAGCATCAACAAATGATTTGTTCAATAAAATTGGCGAGTCAAGAATCTCGTCTGTAGATTCTCACGCTCCCGCTCATATTTCTATGATCATAATAATTAGCCACGATCCATCCACTGCTGGATGAAGGGCTTCTCCGAGCCATCGTCTGTCTCGCGATGCAAAAGATCCATCGACATCCCACGGTGGACGTTTTCTCAGGCGAATCCCGACTTTGGCTGCCACTCCGTTGCTTGGCTTGACCACCGGGTCCATCATTCCTTCGAGTCAAGTTTCCTGCCCATGCCCACGAAGGTGGTTTTGTTCTCTGATCCGTGCATTCTTCATTGCCTCTCAGTGTAGCTGCAGACGAGGCGTTAAGAGAAGAAGATTCGCTATCACCACAGTTATTCAGAGCGACATTTAAATAAACTTGGTCACAACGTTGGATTGGCAAAATAAAGCCATTCATAGAGACGTGGACAATTTAAATAATGTATTACTGGTAGGAACCACCTGGTTCCACCAGCCCACAGGGGATTATTGTGTCCATCCGTCCGTCGTGCATCCAAAAATGTGAGGGGTCGGGCTGGGTGGGGAGGGGCTGGGTGGGGAGGGTGGGGAGGGTGGGAGGGGTGGGGCTGGGTGGGGAGGGGCTGGTCACCCCGTGGTGCCCTTATAAAATTCAACGTTTAACCTACTCACGCCGGCTTGTGCCAGCCCTCAGTCGGGCATATTTGCGGGATACACCACGCCGCCGTTGACCCTGGCCATTGACCGAGCAACCCAACGTTCCTACCAGCTCCCTCCGCAGGAATGTGTTTACTGAGCACATCCTCAATCAATGGGACTGAACCCCATGCTTTGATTCACCAAACAATACACAATCTAATAATATTTGTGTTGTTGAGTCGACAGGCCTTCCTGTATCGACGTTTCCCACCAGGAATTAAACATCAAATGTTATTTGTATTCCATGTCGCATAGCAGCAGAGTGGGATGCGTGTTTGATGCAAACGCCTGGACGATGGTAAAGCATGCGTGTAAGGATGCATCAATTCGCTGTTGTTTAGCCTTATTCCTCAAGGTTATCCCGACTGAGCCATTGGCATCACGTCATGGGACGAAACTATCCACTCGGATCTGCGCAAACATTGGTGTTCAAGAGAATTACCCACGGAAGCAGATCGCTGCCCCTTAAAAATACCTTCACAAGTGACGTTTGGTTCATACATTAAGCGGCAACACTTTCCCCAACCGCTCAGCCACCGAGAGTATAATGTTCGTGGCGTTGGTAAATTATAGGAATGCGATTTTCAATTTTAGGGGGTTTTTTTGTTTGCAATCAACGGTGACCAGGCTGAGACCATCAACTTGCTGCACTTGAGAATGCGACTTCGTGACAGCCGGTTGCCCGGATTTCGAACCAGGATCTAAGCGGTCTCAGCTGAGACATGTGCATGGAAAAATAATCAATGTTTTTCATTGTGATGTTTAGATATAGTGGGTTCACATGATACATGAAGCTACGAGTGGCTCGTGAGCATTCACCACGATGCAAATTTTTTATTTATTTAAATGAATCAGGACCCTCGAATCTCATGCAGGCTGGGGGTCGGGGGTAAGCATACGGATATTGATAAGACACCGAACCGCGACAGCATCATTTAAGTGTTAACACTTTATTGTCCATAAGTATGAAATAATTATTGTTGATCACATGAGATGAATTTACGTCGTCACATTTAATGAATCAATGATATAATACTTTAATGCACAGTACAATCAGAACAATTTTTTTAATTATAGCAAAGGCAGTTTTTTTTTTTACAGAAAGGAAGTTATTATATATATCAGTACCTAAAATTATGAATCAAATTGCACCTCGTGAAATTGTTTAAGGGCCGTAGAGACGTCCCCAGACCCCAGCCTTGAGACTTAGTGCATTCCTGTTATCGAGACGATGGGGCCTGCCTCATGGCATGTAATATCCAGCAATATTTTGCAAGGTTCCCGCCCGCTCTCAAGTTACGTGAGCCAGTGTTTTTATTTCGCCCCCGACAAGTTTTCCAGCACGATGTCCCACGTTATTTTTTAAATCCCAGCACGTGGTAGGGGACGAGTTTGCCACCACAACGTGCGCCGGGGGGTAACGACTCGAAAGTAACACAGGGGAGCATGAGAGCAGGACAGCACGAGTGTGAGAACTGAGGACGAGGGCTCGCGTATTCTGAAATATTCACAGGTCAATTGGATTTTTTTTTTAAACCACAGATTAGCTTTGCCAAGCACACAATTTCGTTTGCAAATTTAATATAACCCCCCACCCCCTCCAAAAGGAAACGAAAATTGTATGGATATTTATATTTACATACAAAAAAAGTGAACAGAATGTTATAAGCTGAAAAAAATCAAGTTAAGGTTTCATTATTATGATTTACAACAGCATGGCTCTTGAGAAACTCTCCAGATCTTCAGTCGACAGCATTATAGCTCGAAATCACTCGGGGGGGAAAAAATTAAAAAAGTACTTAATCTAAGTTCACACATTGTCTCTATAAAATGTGCTCCAAATACCTCTGAAGAGCATTTCGCTCCCAATATAAAGTCTCTGTCAACTTTTATCATCTGCTTTTGGTCAAGTTACATCTGCGTGCAATGTCTAGCCAAGCATTCAAGTTGGTTAATCCTATTGGCTCAATTAGGATAAAATGCGCGCATCTATGGACGTGTGCATCGCAACGGCTTCCTAATTTCAGTTACCACGTGTTATGCGGGTCAATCCGAACTTAATTTCACGTGGGTCTGTCAGGGGAAAAGCAACCTGGAAAATCTCTGCGCCTGGCAGTGGCTATTCGTCACATCCGTATTTCAAGCTACTAACAATACAGAATATATTCGGTGATAAATTAAGCCCGGGGTACCCAGATCGGTTTACAATGGATAACGTTCAGAATTAAATGTTTTTGTATTTTACCCATAACTTAATCCAAGTGCGTAATCGACGCCATGTCATGAGATGAAGAATCCATTTGAATCGCTCGGAAAAGTGCGCTGTGCCTTCGAAGATGAACCCAGAGAATATATTTTTCATAGGACTCTTGGTAAATCGTGGCCTGTCATCAATCACACAGTACGGGGTGCACTTTCCTGCAAATGTGCTACATAATTGTCACATGACAAACCGATATTCCATGTTTCTTTCGCTTTAAGCGTGTCCGGTTTGTGCAATATTGCGTATATATGGTCATCCTATTTTCACCCAAAATTCGCAACATGTGATTTGAACTCCCACATATGTGGCTACGCGGTCGGACGTGGGGCAACATTGTGTGTACTGTGCGAGCGACTTGGCCGGCAGTTGTCTCAGGCGGTTTCGCTTTGTGCATCAATGCTGCATAAAGTGAGGGAAACCTGTATACGTTTAGAAATTACATTTTCCCCAATGTCGTCCCAATTGCGCAATTACCGTGATGAGATCAAGAATCCATGCGGATTTCTCGCACGTGAGTGCATCAGCTCGGGCTTGCAAATGATCCATGGAAATGCTATGGGGGTATCAATTTCCCACCGGCCCTACCATCGCGAGAAATGTTCATTGCACGAGTCAAAATTATGTTTTTAATTGTCCTCAGTTGATTTTTTTACTAATTTAAGTGCCAAAACCAAACCTAAAAGTTATTTGTGACTGGGCTGTGACCAAGACTTGAAAACTCAGTTTAATCACAGGCAACTCTCTGCATTCAAACTGGGGCCCTGAGAGTGGGCACATGGGTTTATGTGAACCAACGACCAATTTCCCGGTACACCAAGGAGGCCGTTTCAGAATGTGTGAAGTTTGCGAGCCACTCGAAAAAAAAATGTGACATTGAATCACGAAAAATGACTCCTTTGACCACAAAGCGTGAGCAACATGCGACGATGACATTAACCAGACACCAATTTGTCCACGTACATGTGTACGTACGTACATACGTACACATTTGTAAATCGCTGCTGAGTGAGGGCCTCTCCAAGCAGCACAGGTCGAGGGGGTTATTTAACCGTACTTCACCATACGATGGTCCATACGGACTGGTGAAGGTGGAGAACATAGACATGCAATCATGGAAGTAGAATACGATGTGTTTTGCTGCACCGATTTAACGTATATAAATATTGCAAGTGTAATATGCCATAGTAATCCAGGTCATCGTAATTAGTAAGGCAAGGCATTCTTCCATTCTGTGTAATGCTGGATTCTAGGTAACAAACGTAAGCAGCAAGTGTTATTTAAAAAGATTTCTTCAAATGTAAAGTATTATTACAATATCATTTAATTTTAAACAGAGCTCTTGGTTAAAGTGTCATTTCTATAAAGCCTCCGACTAACATGTGCACGTCCCTCCGTACAGATCTGAATTTACCGACGGCAAAAAGCCAAGAGCAGCCTCTTCCCACCATACAGGGAACAGCCAAGCCAGGGAGAGCGACTGGCAACCTCAGACCACCACCCTGCCAGCACTTTTTTTGGGATGGTAAACATTAAGAAAGTAACGGCTGCCCCGATTCGAAACAGAAAAAAACATGAATTCCTACGCTTACGTGCACCAAATCATGCGTGCAAGAGATTTTTTTTGCACAAAATGCACCATCACATTTTGGCTAACGGTGAACGACGGTGTACGAACGAAACAAAAGATTAAATACAAGACTGAAAAAATGGCGACAAAAATAATTGAATCGTGACAATTCAGTGAATCAATGGGGAAAGGGGGAATGGTGAATCCGTTAGATGCCGAGTAAAGGTTAGAAAAAGAAAATGGTCGCATCTGTCGCTTATGACAATAATGATTAAACCCCCCCCCCCCATGCCAAATTCAGATGTATTGTGAGGACAGAGTTTCACTGCTTGGCACGGAAAACAGCCAGTGGGAAACCGCCATGACCGTGAGGGCCCCACACGTGCTGGTGCGGACCGGGTGTGCCAGTGGAAACGGGGCTTTTTGTGTCACCTGTCTCTAGAAGCCTATTCTCCCCAACTTCTAATTGACGAATAGAAATGTCCGAAAGCTCACGGCATCCCTACGTGTTCCCTCCCTCCCTCTCCACGTGGGTCTTTTGGTCGGGCTTCTACAACTGCTCGGTGCGCGGCAAGTCAAAAGCGGCATTGGTGTCAAGAATTTTCGTTACATCTGTGTACCTTCACCGTAGCCTCCTCTAGCAGTAATATAATCACATCTCGGTACTGCGACTGCCGACCACCAGCAGCACAGGTTAGAAAAAAGCAATGCTAGACTGCAGCTTCTACCCTGGAAATAAAAGTGCCATTTGTGTGTTTTTTAACATACATATATATAAAAGACGTTACGATGTTTTGTTTTTATCTCTTCTTCATGGGCCACCGAGTGCGTTGAGTGGGTCGGTGAAAATGGTGTCCACTTTGTCTTTCTTTGGCTCAGCCGGTCGTGACGGCGTCGTTTTCTTTGAAGCGGCGGAGCTTTCCACCACAAAGATGTCATCTGCCGGGGGGGGGGGGGGGGGGAATAAAAAAGACAAACGGCGGCAAGTTTCAACAAAGCTTTGGTGTATATCACTACTACTTACCGGACTCCTTTGCCTCACACGATCGAGTACGTGGTCCACTCTTTGCATGAAGGTGGCCGGGTGGCTCAGAGGTCCAAGATATTAGACTTGAATACAGGTGTTTAAACATTCATGACAAAACAAGGGGGCCCGAGTACAGAAAATGCTCGTAAAGTCTGGTAGGCTGGGATTTTAATTATACCCAAAATGTCGTGAGAGAGAAATGGATAGACCGGTGTTCAAGTGAGCTTAGAACACAAACTCATGCTGTTGCTAGGGATTATGTCCTTACTCCCAATACACCAGCCATGCAGCTGCCAGGAAGACAACCCTTATGCAACATGGCCTGAGGTCATCACTCCATGCCCAGATTCTCAATTATGGCGATCTGGTCTCAATTCATCATAAATTTGGGCCTCGCGTGGTAACCCTACCATGGTGGCGAGATGTGAACTACCTCGCCTGGTATACAGGAGGTCGTGAGTTCGATCCCGACCCTGACGTCTGTATGTTTGGAGTTTGCATGTTTTCTCCATGGTCGTGTGGATTTTTCTCCGGGTCCTCCGGTTTTTACCTCCACATTTAGAAACATGCATTTAAAGTATTAAGCTGCAATGAATTTCCACATGAAAAGCCACTTCGTTGAGCTATCGTTTGTAGCCAGGTTGCTTCTGAAATAGAGCTATATAGCTCAATGGGCCTTACCTGTGAAATAAAAATTGTTTAGTTTAGTTCATGATAATAGTTTTTTTACCATTTTATCTGGCAATAAAACTGACACCTTTTTCTACAAGGAGTCATGTTTGCATAGACCACAATCCCTGCAGTCGTAATGCAAACAAAAAACATAACTCTGATAATGTATGCACTGTCCTTGAAGTTGATTGGTCCACACCCGAGACAGCTTTCCTTAGAGCCTGGTCTCAATTATCATATTTTTCTACTGGCAAATGAGGTTCCAATGGTGTAGTTTAGTTCAGTTTAGTTTACACGCACCAAAGTCGGCATCAAAGACGGAAGCGCTTGCTGGCTTGGCGAGGTTGGACGGCGGTCGTGGCGTCCCCTCTCCAGACACCGCCGCCTTCTTTGTCTTCGACCCGGGCCCAGGGAAGATGTCTCCGAAGATGTCGGCGTCATCGTCGTCATCGAGAAACACGTTCTTGGGAGTGTGCGACTTTGGCTTGGCCTTGGCCGCCCCCCCAAATATATCGTCCTGGAAATGAGCAAGCAAGCGTGCAAGATCACAGTTTCACTTAGCGCTTGTTCAACATTACGAGGTACGAACCGTAAGCTAAAATGTTAACAAAATACTTTCTCTGAGAAATAACACTTTGATGTGCTCCGAGGGTGGAGACACTTCCAACAAGTTTTATTACAATTTCCTTACATTTTATTCCAATTGGGATCAGGTGGCATAGTGAAGTATCCATTGAGAACCGACTTCCATAAACATTAATGCATGCATGAATTCTCTTTTTAAATTAGTTTAGGACTTTTTAAAGACGACAGGTGTCATCTTTGAACATTCATAAATTATGTTTTGTCAATTGATTCAGGATTCTTGGTTGAGTTTGTAAATGACGGATTCGAGATGACCCTCTAGGAAGAAGAAAAATATATATTAAAAATAATAGATAACATTAATTAAATATTAAACAATTAAAATGTTTTAATGCCAGTGTTAAAATAAATTGAATAACCCCATGTCCTGACTTTTGGGCCATCCTGTACAACGCCCTTTGTCAACGCACTGCTGGACGAAAGTAACCTGACACTGTTTACTTCACCACTCTGGTCAGTGGAGGTCAGTGAAAGGTGGTTTGGGGGCAGGATCGGTTCAAATATCACTCGACACCAAAATTAACCATGGCCTGGAATCAAACGCAGGTGACATAGCCACAGCGTAGTGAGCTAACCAATGCACCACCACTCTCCGCGACCAAGCTTATTAGGGGGGTGGGGGGATGGTCTATAGCGAAGGTCCAGTCACGATCCCTGAGAAGAGAGCCCTCTGCACACACCTGAGCAATGCCAGTCGCCGACGCTTTGCTGCCGCTCTTCGGTCGCACCTCTGATACTTTCTTGGTGCTGGCACCAAACAGACCGTCATCGTCGTCCGACTCGCTGAACGTCAGATCTTTCCTCTGCGAGTCGTCCTCGGAGCCGCGCGCCCCGCCAAACAAAACCGTGCCGTAGCTCTGGCTCTCAAACTCGGGCACCACTGCCATTTTATCCTCGGGCTCTTCCCGTGGCGGTTGGCTCGACTCGGCCGGGTCCGATATTTTGGCGCCAGGCTGCACGCTCTTGGGCTTCGTCAGACCGGCAAACAAATCGTCATCGTCCTCATCATCCAACAACGCAGCCTTCTTGTGCACCGCTGCGTTTTTGACCGAGTCTTGAAACAGGGCGTCGAGGGCATCAGCTGCAGATTTGGAATGCGGCTCCGCTGCAGTGGTGGCGGTAGGCTGCGGTGACTGCGCCACCTTCGGCTGCTGTGGCACAGCACGCACTTTCGAAGCCTTGGGAACATCGCCAAAGAGGTCATCGAAATCAAACGGATCGTCCGAGCCGATTCCCAAAGCCTTGGCGCCACCAACGACTTTAGCACTGCTTCCAAATAAGGCCGATGGTCCCTCCTCCTCTGCACTCGCTTTCGAAGGCTTTGACAGCGGCGCGAATAAGTCATCGTCGTCGCTGAGGACGGGCCGTGACCCTGTGGTGGATTTTGTCTGCTGCGCGGTGATCACTGCGGGCTTCCTCGCCTTGCTGCCGCCAAACAGCTCGTCGTCTTCGTCCGACAGGAACATGTCGAGCGACTTTGGCGGTTTGCTCGCGGCTGGTTTTTTTAATCCCTCGTCAAAAGCTCTCGCGTTCACGGCATTGGCGTCGGCTTTAGCTGGTGTCGAGCTCTCAGCGGACGGTCCCTGCCCCGGCTTCACCGATTGGCTCGGCATGCTCACAACGCCTTGGAGAGGAGACGGTACGTCGGCTGGAACCGCTGGTGGTGGTGAGAAAGCCGGTCCTGCGATCAATGGAGATGGCCGCGACCTCGCGTCCTTGTCTTCGGAAGGCGACAGCGAAAGCGATGGAGACGTGGACGTGGATGTGGACGGCCCGTCCGGCTCGTCAGACTTCTCGCTTGACAGGCGGAGTCCGGCGCGAGTTGGCGGCCGTCTATTCCCACCCACCTTCGCTCGGTTCTGAAGTGGAAACACAACAAGGTGGTGGTTGGATGTGATTCTCTTATGTCGGACACCACAGAGCTATCTCTGAGATTTAGCACTTCCATACTCACTCTGCATGTCAAGAGCAATGTTATTCGCATTAGAGTCAAGGCAATATTTTTTATTACCCAACCTTAAATTTGACCTAATCAAGCGTGTGCGATAAAACCATAAAACACTACACTCGTTACCGCAGTTTAATCACGGGGGGGGGGCACCATGGTCGCGAGATGTTAACTACCTCGCCTGGTATACAGGAGGTCGTGGGTTCGATCCCGACCCTGACGCCTGCTGCTGTATATGTGGAGTTTGCGTGTCTCTATCTCTCATCATCATCACGATGGCTAGGAGATGTTAACTACCTCGCCTGGTATACAGGAGGTTGTGGGTTCGATCCTGACCCTGACGCCTGCTGCTCTATATTTCGAGTTTGCGTGTCTCTCATCATCATCATGGTGGCTAGGAGATGTTAACTACCTCGCCTGGTATACAGGAGGTTGTGGGTTCGATCCTGACCCTGACGCCTGCTGCTCTATATTTCGAGTTTGCGTGTTTCCCCTGTGGTCGCGTGAATTTGTCTCCGGGTCCTCCAGTTTTCCCCTCCACGTTTAGAATCAACATCACGCGTTTAGAGCATTTGGCCGCTATAATTGTCCGCACAATGATAAGCCACTTCGTTCAGCTATCATTTGTGGTCCAGGTCACTTCTGAAAAAAAGCTATATAGCTCAGTGGGCCTTAAACTGGTCAAATAAAAAATTGTTTAGTTTGTCTTAACGGGCCGGATTTTCTCTGGCCTGGGACTCGTACCTTGCCGAGGCTGTGCAGAGTGTCTGCTTGTGCCGGCCGCTCAAAGCCGATTGTTGCCTCCTCCGGCCCCGACCCGGGCGACGATTTCACCGACACCGCCCCCGCTGCTTCCTGGTTGGCTGGCTGGTGGGACGAGGTCAGCGGTGGGCGGGGCTTGGGTTTGGGGCCATCAGGCAGCAGTTTGGCAGGGTCTATGGCCAAGCTGGCCTACAGGAAATACACATTCGGCAGAAGACATCGGGCACATTTTCACGTGATACGAGCCAAGGAAACACGCATACATCACAACATCAAAAGTAAAATAACAGCTAAATGAGACGTACGGGAGGTACCCCCGCTTACCACGGGGGTTTTGCTCATGGAAATTGGCCCGTAAAGCGAATTTGCTTCAAGAGGGAGTAATTTTCCCAAAGAAAGGTGGGATTGCTGTTCCAGCCTGTAATTTTATTGTTTAATTTATTAAATGTGTTGTGTTTATATAGTATTTCTATAAATATGTTACGTGTGACAGTCATTTATTTAAATATAAAGTGTGTGAGAGTTAGAGAGATATGGCGAGTGAGAAAAATATTAGATGGTGAGATGACGCGATGCACACAAAGATGCCAGAACAAAGACTGAGGAAGAGGAATGCAGACCGAATATCACAGTGCACATCAGTACCAGCAATATAGTTCAACAGTACTAGCTCCCAGCATCACCCAACAATGCTGCCAACAGAAAAGTAGTCCGTCACGTGCTAGACTCACGTTATAGCAGGTAGTCTGAAACTCGCTAGACTCACGTTATAGTGAGTAGTCCATTACACACTAGACTGGTATTATAGCGAGTAATCTGTCATGCGCTAGACTTCCGTAAAGAAAAACCGTGTTAAAGCGAAAACGCGTCGTTTGAACGCGTGTTAAACGTGGGTTTACTGAGTACGTACGGTATTTATTATTTCATGAGATTTTACCTGCAGCTTCCCGATGGCTGTTGACGGGGGTTTTGATTTGGACGGAGGCAGGCTGGGCGTCGGCAGTTCCGAAGGATTCTATAGCAACGTACATGAACAGCGTGAAAACATTACATCACCGAAATGTACAGAAAGATAAATAATCATAATAGTAATAATCATAACAAGAGATGCTGCTGCTGCGGTGTTGATGGTCAGCACACTGGATTTCCAGAGGCTGCCGATTTGACCTCCTGTCACCGTAGTTGAAGTTTCTTCTTCTCCCCCCTACCCTCTATCCTGCCAGCATGAGCAATGGCTACACCACAGACAGTTGATTGGCAGGTCATGTTTGGTTGGACAAAGTGTGGGTACTCCCCCATGCTTCCAAGAGGTCTGGCCAGTGTGGAAGACGAGACCAACATACCCTCTAAGCAGCGCTCTCCTCTCTCGAGCTCCGTCTCGTGGAGGCCCTTCTGCCAGCAGTGGAGTGAGCAAGACAATTCAGAGCTGCACCTCTACCGTTGCTCTCCGATTGTCACCACTGGGTAGTGCTCAACTGTTCCCACAGTGATGAAGGGGGGGCTTGCCCACACACAGCCCCCCAAGGCATAAGGCAGCTGACTATATTGTGCCGATGAGTCCTAACAATGAAGAAACCGGTACACCCTCTAGACCAGTGTTCTTCACTAATTTTCAGAGAGGGGACACTTTCGCCACCAGGGGCCGCCAGTGGCCCTGCAATGAAGAACCCTGCCCTAGAAAAGCTCTCGAGAGCTACTTTGGCGGTAGGCCCTTCTGCCAGCAGCGGCACAGTGTAAGCGTATGCAGTGCTGCACCTTTACCTTTCCCGATTTCGTAAACAGGTCCACGTCGGGCTCGCCCTCCTGCTCGCGACTTCGGCTGAACAAGAACTCCTCGTCGTCAAACACGCCCGGCTTGGCCGCCTTCGTCGTCGCCTGCGGTGGCGGCGGCTGCTTCGCGCCAGCTCCGTCCGCGGAGTTCACGCGCGGCGCTGCCTGCGGCTTTTTGACGCCCACACCAAAGAGGTGGCCAGCGTCAACGGAGTCTCCGTGACCACCATCGGCACCCCTGTCGTCGCCGTCTTCGTCATCGCTGTCGAACAGACTGAGCACCTTGGGCTTGGCCGTGCCGGGTTTGGGGACGGAGCTGGTGAGTGGCGGGGGGAGCCGGTCCTCGTCCTCCTCCCAGTGCGCCTCCAGCGGCTGCCCTTTCGTCTTCTGCGGGGAGAGAGCAGCCCGAGTCATCGGGGATCGGCCGAGATGCGAGTTGTAGCACTGGAGGTGCTCATGGTGGTTCTGCTGCTGCTGTTGGTGGCGAGGGTGGTTCTGATTGTGGTGGTGCTGGCGGTGGTAATGGTGCTGTGGGTCTGGATATTTTACATTATTGTGTCGATTAATCCATTATCAACACATGTTGGGTTTTAAATTCACTGGGGGGAAGGTGGTGGAGGCTGGGTGGTGTTGGTGACGAGAGGCACGAGGGGAGGGGGTTCTGTGGGGGCGCCGTGTGTGTGTGTGGGTGTGTGTGGGGGGCGGCACCGTGTGTGTGTGTGTGCGTGTGTGTGGGGGGCGGCACCGTGTGTGTGTGTGTGCGTGTGTGTGGGGGGCGGCACCGTGTGTGTGTGTGTGCGTGTGTGTGGGGGGCGGCACCGTGTGTGTGTGTGTGCGTGTGTGTGGGGGGCGGCACCGTGTGTGTGTGTGTGGGGGTGCGTGGGGGGCGGCACCGTGTGTGACGGTGCCGGCGGCCGGGCGGCCTCGGGGGCCGCGGCGGGTAGAGACGCGGCGAAGAGCGCAGAGCTTCCCTCCGCATCGTCGGCGTTGTCCTCGAACAGCAGCGATGCCCGGCCCGGCTTGCTGCACACGGCACACCACGTCCAGAATACCTCTCACGATGGCTGTGGCTACTACTAGTCATGTGCCAACTACTCAAGTCTGCAAGCGAACTGGAAAATATATTTCACTTCATCCAGTATGCTACTAGTCACGTGACTACCAGAGTTTGCCGGAGAACTTAAAAATATTCTACGAGGGGAACAACTGCATTGTGCTGGTCCGACAGGTACAGATCCGTGCATTTCTGTCAAGGTGTGTAACACCTGCGCATCAGGATCAAATTAGTCCAACTGTTCTATTGGCAATGTTATGCAAGATGATTTAACGAGCTGACCTCGTCAGATCTCGGAAACTAAGCAGAGTTGAGCCTGGATATTGCTTGGATTGGTGATCGCCGTGCATAGCACAGCTGTTATAAGCTACTGTGGGGCTACGTTGCAGGCAGCAGAATGCAATGCAGCAAAATCAATTGTTGTACTGCACTTTCGTATTATCGTGTCTATGCTCCCTGCTTTCACCACCTCACCATTGACCAGGCATGGTGAAGTATGGTCAAACAACTCCCACGACGCCAAAGGGGTGTGGAGGCCCTAATCTGGCAGCAGATTGACAACACGGGCCGAATCTCTTTTACTCATGAAAGACTCATCTGCAGGAGGGTCCTGCACCGAGAAGTTTGGCCAATTCCGCTCATGATCTTTCAGCTTTAATAGCGGGATGAAACCGGATTTGATTAACATTTCACGAGGATGCCGCAACCCCGAGCGAAGGCTTCCACACGTTGGTTGGCGCTGAGATTTCACCTGGCCGGTTTTGGCGCCGCCACCGAAAAGAGGTCGTCATCCCCTTCGTCGTCATCGTCAAATAACCCCGTCCCCGCGCGTGGCTTTGACGCCGGAGGTTTCGCCGCCGCCATTGCCGGGACAGCTGACTCCGCCGCTGCCTGGCTGGGGGCCTTCCGTGCCACCGGGGCTGCTGGAGATGTCCCGGCGGCTTGGGCTTGAGGTTTCTCCACCTTGGCTCTGGGTATACTGGCGGAATCCCACAGGTCCTGAACAGAATATACGGACAACGGTACAACGTCGCGTTTCTGACTCGCCGGGCACCAGAGATGTGTTTTAAGCTCGGATATCTGAGCATCTGTAGAATGTTACAATTCCGACCGTGGACAAATTTGTCACTGGACACACTTGACTGTGCTTTAGAAGTGAATTCACATGACGTTATAGCACAATGAGAGCTAAAAGATAGAAATAATCTTACTTCGTCGTCAGAAAAGAGGCCGGCGGTGGCTTTCGGTTTGGTGCCTTCGTTTGAAGGCTTCTGAGTGGGTGCCGTTGAAAAGAGATCACTCTGGTGAAACCAGAAAACAATCGAGCAGAGTTTTAATTTCAAGACAGTCTCGGCGATGACCGACAAGTAATCGTTACAGTGCTCGGAATCACATTAAATTATCCAAAAGATGTGAATCAGCGACCTTACCTCGTCGTCATCATCATCAAAGAGGGAGGAAGTAACCTTGGGTTTAAGTGGCTGGGTGGACGGCTGTAACAGAACGGATTTTTTTTCGATTGGTGAGCACACGTGAATTAAGGTATTCACAGTCGCATGTGAATTTCACTCCATCTTATCACGCAGCAAGAGTTTTGTGAAAATCGCCGGTGTGAGATAGCATTTGTATCTCCGTAGAAATCTGTCCCTGGGGTTAAAATATTCGATTATTTGAACACCCCCCCCACACCCCCCGTGGTAGTTTAATCCCCCAGGCAGTTTTGAGACTTCTTCTCGTCACGTATCTATAATTATGGTGGGAGTTTGCCGATTTACAATTATAAACATTTATATTTATTTGTAAGGCGCCTTCCACGAATGTCCCAAGGCATCTTGAGTCAAAAGCACTGAACAAAGTTGTAAGTATTCTGACCCCGGGGTCGAAATTGTGTGATGTTAAAATACTATCTTACACCGGCAAGGAGGTTCTGAGAGATTCCACTTCACAGGCGTAGCGGACGGACGCGCGCTCACGACCGCAGCGCACACGGCCGTGCATTCAGCAGCAAAGACAAATATCCCCTTATAGCCTTAACAGACTTTTGGGGCAAGTGCTGTCAGCGAGAGCACCTATGAAGGCCAGCACGGCACACGAAGGGAGTGGGTGGTCACAGCACCACGCCCGCTCGCCTTTGTCCTGAGCGGGAATCGAACCCGGGTCGCCGGGTTTGTAGAGCAGCGCGCATACAGCAGCACACGCGGCGGCAAACACGCACGACCACCTTGCTCTGCTGGCTCGGGGCTGGCGACACCTTGGCGGTGTCCGTCCTGGACGGGAGGGTCTTTGTGGATGGCGGCTTGAAGCCGAAAAGGCCTCCACCGTCATCTCCGTCAGTGTCGGCATCCTCGTCTGCAAACAGACCTTGGCTGGGCTTTGCCCTCGGAGCCTCTGCAACTGCTGACAGGCCACGGATAATAAATAGGACGTCTTAAGCAAAGCCTAAGTAGTGTTCTGTGCCCTTTAAATCAGCATCGGCCAGGATTAATCTGGATGAAGGCGTTCCAAAGCCGTCACTATTTCTTAAGATTCTGCGGAGTAATAATGCACCGAGCACCTGCATACAAGCTGATTTCATCGCTCGATCTCCATGATTGATTTCTTCTCGAGCCCATTCCCTTTGTTAGCTGTCATCCTGTCATCAACCCTTCTAGCGATGGGTCTTACAAAACCCCACTTAACTTTTATCGGTCAAAACGCTGGATGGACGGAATCCAAATAATGTCGCAGGAATGCATGAATTGAATGTATCTAACACGGCGTTACAATAACTAATGAAGATGACCCAATAGAAATTTTAATTTAGTATAAAGGTTATGTTGCTGTTAAAGACCCACACGTTAGAAAACCAGGCAAAGTGATAAAATCATCTTCCAAAACTCGAAGTCATAAACCATAAAAACAGAAATAATTGAAAATACACATATACATTTTCCCCTGACTGCTACCCATCAGCTTTCGCACTGCAATTTATTGCCGAAGACAGACGCATGTTGGAAGGCTTTACGACATCCATGCGTAGCACGGTTATTCTAACTTGTTCGGCGTTATTTTTCCTGTAAATACGGACAGCACCTGCTTTGGTCTGCTTGCCAGCTCCACCGATTCCCGCGAAGAGGTCACCCTCTTCGTCGTCGCTGAACAAAGTGGAGGCCGGCTTCTTCTCCGGCTGGGATTGCACGACCTTCGGCACCTCCTGGGCCACGGGCTGCGGCTTCGGAGGCACAAAAATGCCCTCGCCTGACGGAACGGTGTGAGGGCGTCATCAAGGGAGGTTTAATCGACTTTCAGGTGAAAAACACGGGCCTTGGGAGGCTGAACCAATTGGTCACGAACCGCAATCGATTATGCTCGTGATGCACATGCTGTCAGTTACACAATAACTAAATTAACTTGCAGGAAAATCAACAAGTTTAATAGGAAGGATACATATTAATTTATGATATCAACGACTCATTTGTTTTAATCTGCACCAATCATTTGTTAGGTAATAGGATGCGTAAAAGAAGATTCACGATGAGGATATTTAGCAAAAAAGGATGACACGACTATTGTGAACTTTATGAAGTACGACGAAAAGTAGCATCGCGATATCGCGGCAAAACCTCCGTGTGAACATCTCTCGGCGCAGTGGAGAAAGAACGGCACTGACCGGGAAATAAGGACACGGCACCAGCTGGGATTTTTTTCCCAGATTTCGTTAACGTCCGATCTGCCATCGCACGCAGACACACACAGAAAGCAGTAGCCGTTGGGATTTTAGCTTCAATTGCAACCGACGACTTGGTGATCACAAACACACATGCCTGGTAAACATTAATGATGGCTCCATAAAAATATTTTCCTCTCAAATTAGCAATAGTGTGGCATCATAAGTTTTAGAGTATACAATGCAAAGTGTGAGATTTTATCCCAAGGGAAGATGTGCTAATTATTAGGATAATTTTCACATTTAAGCTGTACTTATGTGGGGGTGTGTGTTTATTGCGGTTGAAGAACTTTACCAATGTATTTAAAAATGTATATTTGTAATAATTTTTATAATTTAAGAGAACCGTTGGCGTCACCATCGATGAGACATTTAGTAGCCGAATGACACCTTTTGTGACACTTTTCCTAGATTGTAAGCTAAATCCTATCAATTATGGAGATTTTTTTATTTCTCAATACATTCTCTACATTGCACAGATAACAGCTCAGCTGGTTAATGCAGTCCCATAATCGTTAATCAAATAAAAGCGAATCTTAAGCTCACATTACCTATCGAATAATTCCGTATAAGAACTATAATTTTTTCGTACAAATGTTGCCATGAAAATAAAGGTCAGAATTGGACATAACAAATGAAACCGTATAAATGAGACAGAAACATGTGACAGATTAGACAGTGAATAAGAAAGTATAAAACGAGACTGACAACACAACAAGATGTGACACTAAAAATGAGATGGACAGTGGAAACTAGACTGACATAATAAAAACAAGCAAAACACGCTGTGCAAAGGTACACAACGCAAGCAAGAGAGTACAAACAAGACAACTAGCACAATCGAGACAGATATTATAGAGCAGACAGCATGGGCAAGAGAAACAGTACAGAGGCAGACAGTACAAATGAGAAAGTGTAACACAGCCGCCAGTACAAATGAGACAAACATGACATCGGGGACACCGCAGACAAGGCAGTTCAAAACGAGAGAAATAAAAAGTATTTCTAGAGTTGATTCGTGATTGTGAATCGTGGCAATCGAATCAAGGGGTAAACGAAAGGAGTAAGTTACAGCGTAACGTTCAAAGGCAGCGGGTGCGTTCACAGGAGCGGGTAGCGAGCAGCACACACACACACACCACACCTTTCTTAGTCTCTGCAGGGACAGGCACAGTCTTTTCTTCAGTCCTCACTTCCTCATCAAAGAGCCCGCCCTCCTTTGAGCGACACAGCAAGAAGCACCATCACATTTTAGTCAGGTAGGCAACACCTTCCGCGGACCATCATCAGACACAGGGTGATACAATGCCTCCTGCAAAGTCCCGAATGGTCGCTTTCTTGATATGACACCAACAGCACTATTGGAACAAAGTTGGAATAAAATTGTATTTTTTTTAGCATGATGTACAGTTGCTCTGCTAGCAGCAGGGCCAACTGTGAGGGTGGTGGTCTTTGTTTATTATTGCCCAGATGTGCTACTGGAACTACGTCCTAATACAGAGAAGTCATTCACATCTCTTGCAGGACAGTGCAACCCTTTATGTTAAGAGCATGGCCCATAGAAGCGGATATCACAGAACTAATTTTAACATCACTTCAAGCGATTTCTGTGCCACACAGTAGGGAGTAGAACGTATCCATCCGTTCTGCACCAGAGTAATGCCGTCGCATGCAAGCCAAACTGAAATTTTTAATCAAAGCTTAAACCAAACTTAAGACAGAACCAAAGTTAACGTGATGGTGTTGTGCAGTCATCGGTACCACCCAGTTGAACCACAACTCAGTCAATGTCCATGGGTCTCTATGCAAGTTTGTGGATCTCTATGCAAGTCACAAAATAAATAAGCAGACAATATGCCTCCTTCACATATCTGTTCCTACACAGAAAATATATTTTTACACATCCAATCAGCCACACAGCCTTCTGGGTGTGCATAATTTCATTAGCATTGATTCAACATAAACTCTCAACCAGTTTCAACAAAGAGTGTCTCATCAGTTCTCAGGCTTGCTGGAACTCAAGCTGGTGAACTGCCAGATGTTTCTAGGCAAAGACTCTCTCTGTTAGATTTATGTTGTATGCTATGTAAGTCTCTGGGCCTTCATGAGTTGCATCTCTATAAGAGTCCATTGGTGACTGTGTCAAGACTACTCAAGTGTATTCAATTGGTACCGGGTATAATCAGTGGAAATTGTCTGGATTTGAACCCCAGGATCAGCAGTGCCACCAGGCGAACGCTCTTAACCTCCGAGCCACCCAGGTCACCCTCCTTCAAGGGGTAGCCCTAAGGAGCCACATCAATTGAGCGTGCCAAGTTCACGAGCAGTGGAAGCGTTGCGTCCCGCGTGGTAGGCGTTGCGGTACCTCGTCGTCGTCAAACAGGCCCTTGCCACCCGAGAACATCCCCCTGGTGCTCGCAAAGGGGGACTCGTCTTCATCTTCCGGGGCTGCCAGCATGTCTGGGGAGAATAGGGGGAGGGGGGTTCAGGTAGGGATTTCTTGGAGTTTCTCTCACTTGATACAGCTGTCGTGCTGTGGCTGTTCCACCTGAAGACGGAAGCTTGTGTTGCCTCCGAAACGTCGTGATTTTTATTTTATTTTTATTTTACTTTTATTAATTTTAATTTTTTACCTACGTGACTTTACTGAAAAAAACCTAAGAATATGAATCCTTGCAGTCACGAAAGCTTCAAATCTAGAATTAGGTTCAGGGTTAGTTGAAGTTAGTGACAGCAAACAACCGACGGCAAAACTAAAAACATTAATCGAGCATATAATCATGGAATCATCTCGTACACAAAGCCTATGAAATAATAACAAAGCAGGCATGGAACCATGCAACACCCCCAACTGCCGCTCATCTACGAACTGCCAAGATTCGTGGTGGCAATTCAAAGATACGTTTTTGTCTCATGTTTACAACACCTACCCTAAATGTCAAGTTATAATTTATATTTCATAGAAATCATAAGCAATCGATTGTCACATGTGCTACTTGATTTTAATCCACAAATTTCCATATCATTATAAGCCTATTTAATGTGATGGCTGTTTTATGCAGTAATTGGTGACCTGGTCCTTATGCCATGACCTTGATAAACTTGAGATCCGATTTTCCCAGATATGCCTCAAGTGTATTTTATAAGGAGGATCCTGCATTGGGATGTTTGGCCATTTCTTTCTATAAGGAGTATTTTACTTTGCGTGTAAATAAACCCGCCAGACATACGAGGGAAAACACTCAATAGCTCACACAGATGAGGTAATGATCCCACTTGCTGTACTGCCATCTCCTGCCCACCTCGAGCTTGGGAGTCGCACAAATAATCTATGTGATCCACCAAACCTTGTCTCAAAAGTTCTGGATCAGAGGCGTTCACCATCGCATGCAGCTTAGTTATTCATCTGCGAGTGTTGACCACGTAATGCCTGTGCTGCGAACATAAGCCGAGACTGTCCCGCAATACTCTGTCATTTAGTTATTTATTAAAACAAGCGGCTAAACTGTTACTTCTGTTAGTCACGTATTCATACAGTAACACTTAACGGATTGTATTGCCTTTAGAGGATACGCGAAATATTGTACGGGCCAATTACATTTCATACCGAGGCTTTCACGACCAATATTATGTTCCTGATGACGTAAAGGCACCAACTGAGGGCCCTGATCAGGCAGCTCATTCACCCAAGATCTGAGCTCTTGCTTGCGATAGAAGAGTGATCAGGAATCGACCGACTGCTGGGTTAGGGAATGATTGGCGTCGATCAGCGAGTGCTGGCAATTGTCAATCATCCCGACAGCTTTACGTTGAATTATATCGAGCACAGCGAGGTATGAACGGGGTGCTCCACCCCAGATATGACAGTAGGATTGCAGTTTAGGCTAAATTTATGACACACTAGCTGTACTACCCGGCTTCGCCCGGGACTTGGATACACCACGCCCGACCGCCTTTGTCTCCCCAGTGGCGATGTTCACACACCACAGCAGTTACTCGTTTGAGGCTGAGTCGACCTAGCGGAGGCCTAGGAGCGGTTCAAATAATCGTCACCGGTGGTGGCCGTGAGCGGGAATCGAACTCGGGCCGCCGGGTTCGTAGCGTGGCGCGCTAACCACGACACTACAATGCGTTACGCTTCCACATGCGCGGGTCACATGACAGATTTGACGTCACAGCTCACTTGCCGGGCAAAAAAATATATGCATTACTGAGCTTCCCCCCCCCCCCCAAAAAAGTGTATTTTTATAATGTGTGCATGGTGTACAGTCTGGAAAGTACCCACATGGCAAATTTCAAGTTGTTGCATGTCGGGAAGTACGCTAATCATTTTGAACAGACATAAATAATCACAACGTCTCCTTTTATATATATGGAGATAATACTTGCATTCATACTGCACCCATAACATAATGAAATGTCACAGAGTGCAGTTGTTTAGCCGAGGGGCATCGTGCCAAAAAACACAGCACAACCAGAAAACACAGGGGAAAACTATATGGCACAACCTGTGAAAAACCTACGTAGTGAAAATACAGTCAACACACTGGATTGCAACAGCACAAAAACATGGCGAAACCCTCAATGGCAGCGAACCCTCGGAGCGTCTCACCTCTGCGACTGGGCGTCCTCTCCGGGTGTCTTCTACGAGCGGCAGATTCGCCCGACGCATTCGCTGAGTGAAAAAAAGATGAGAGAGACAAAGCCCAAACGAGAACGACCAGCGGTGTCGACATTAGCTAAACATCGCGTGAAACCCACAGCTTCCACAGCATAGTTGCACGGCTTACAACCACAAAAGCTCGGTTGCAGCATGGTATGGGATTAATTTAAATTAAATTGACACCATCTGCCATGGCTGCATGGACATTATTGTTGCATTTTTGGCATCGGGAGATTTTTTTATGTTAAGAGATCAGTTGGCACTGTGCTTCCTCCTACCACAGCACGTGTTTGTGTTTATGCGGAGGCTCTATCGTAGGTACGTAAAGATTTACCTTCCACCGACCGATGTGATGAATTCGTCACGATTTGGAGACGAGCTGTTTTTTTTGTCTTGATTATACTAATGCGTTTGTATTGGTTTCGTGTCTGTTTTATTTGTACAGATTTTTGCGCTAAATTTAGCTTGAATATTATATTTGCAGATCACTTACATATAATTTAGATAAAGACACATGTCCTGTGAACGTAACAGGAGTGTAAGGATCGACTATATCTCAATGAATCTGGATAACCTAGTGAACAGCACGCTCGCCAGTGTGCAAGCCTATTGACAGTGATTTATAGTCACCACGCCAGAGAGAACGTCACATCATGGAGATGGAGCAATAAAATTAGCTCGTGTGCGAGAGTTAAATGGATTGTTGCGAGACAATAACGACTTGGCAACGACTTGGGGAGGCCTTCATCCAGCAGTGGATTATTCGTGGGTTGCAGCAGGAATTAATATTTTAAGGTAAAGAAACTCAGTTTTTAACAAGCCTCAGTGTTTCATGAAAATCACAAGAACATTATTTGTAGACTATATATACGAACATAATGCAAATCTCACAGATGATTGTGCTTGTGAGATTTGGTTGGGTTACAAAAAAATAAAAAAAGTCCATATTTTTATCTGTCTGGCTGCTTATTATCACCTATGAATAGAGATTATTTTCTCACCGAATATTTTCTGGGTCAGTTGGGAGACCGTAGTATGTGGCACATGACCCATAGCCACAGCCATAGCGAGAAGTATACTGAATGTGGTGTGCCGGGTGTCAAAATATTTTACAGGTCGCCTGATAGACCGGAGTAGGTGGCAGGTGACAAGTCGCCATAGCCAGCGGTAGAGACTGGATGTGGCGTGCCAGTGGGGAATTATTTCCCGGGTCGCCTAAACGACCAGGCCCGGCTGATATTAAGCCCTGCTCGTGAACATCCTAAGCCCTCCCCCCCCCACCTTCCCTTCCACGTGCTCACATGATCTGTCCTCCGAGTCGACGCTCATTTTCCGACGGGGCAGCTTGGAGGTGCGCTCGTCAGGGAAGAGCACCGTGGGACGTGGGGGGCGCGACGCCACCCCCCGTCTCTCCGGCTCCTCCTCATCCGAGTGGCCAAAGATATCCGGCTCGGATTCCTCTCCATCGTAGCTGGGATCGCCGTTTTCCGGTCTCCGCTGCAGGCGGAAAGCACAGCCGAACACAAATGCTCATTACATGTTTTTTTGTTACGATCAGTTGCCGAACACAAGCCCAAACAATTCCAGCCCAAACAATTCCAGATACGAGGGCTGCAATTGATCGGTTTGATTGCTATACGACGAACATCTCTACAAGTGGGAACGTGCAATGTCCCGAGTGTGGATAAGAATTGAAGGGAGATCATGAAGTCATTCTGCGATTTCACATTCCAGAGGCAATTCTCTAATATGGGGTGGTGCAATGCTTACTGCAAGAATTCGGGACTATCAATACGTGATGCCAGGAACACAACTGTAATACAACTGTGGATGAGTATGTTTTTTGTTTGCATTCTGACCTACATGTATTGTGGTTAATGCAGACATGATTCCGTTGAAAAAGATTTCAGTTTTGTTGCAGAAAAAAGGGGAAAAACCTATTCTTGTGGATGAGATATTAAAAAGGCGAACACTCACCGACGCAAAGGATCTCTTGTCCCCTTCACTCTCTTCATCCGATTCAGTCGTTCCCTAAAAAACCCACCGTAAAAAAACACAACCACAGTTTCGTGCGCGGGTCTTTACTTTAAGAAAATTCCATCAAGTTGGCTTTTCTGTGCTGTGTTATCTGTTGGCCGTGCGAGCCTGGCCTGTACCTCCGATGGGTTCCCGTTGGGCAAGCCCTCGTCACTCTCGGCATCACTCGCGCTCTCCCTGTCGCTGTCCGCGGCGTCTTCTACCAAGGGATAAACAGACATCCAGCAATATTGCAGTTTCAACTAAATTATCAACACAATGCCGCGGCTAAGTTTCCTTAAACCGCAGGGAACACTCACCATCGCTGCTGATGTCTGCCAGTCCCACATCGTCGGAGCTCAGGAACTGCTGTGAGCCAATGATGTGCGGCAGGGGTCGGTCCAAGTAAGGGTCCTGTAGGGCAGAGCGGGCGCAGATTCAGTCACGACTCTAATCCCGAACCTCAGGTTAGCGCGGCTGGCTACGTACGGTACGAAAGAAGTTCAACATACATACAACACAGATACGTACAACATAGCCATGTGGGTTTTTCGGCACTCATAATGCCACAAGACTGAACCACTGGACCACAACACACATATATAACCGGCATAACACACTTCACGTTCTGAAAGTGAGTTTAGTTTATTTGACAGGCCCTCTGCCAATGTACTGGTGAATGAAGGCCTCCCTACGCACCATCAGCCAAAGGAAGGCCGTTTGGCCATACTTCACCAAACTGGTCAGTGCGGGTTGGCGAAGTGGTGGGGGAGGTGGGCCAAGACCGGTTCAGATATCGCTTGCCACTGATGTGAGCCGTCGCTGGGAAGCCAACTCATGTCACCAGTTTCAAAGCAGAGTGAGCTAGCTAGACAGTAAGGGTCCTGTGAAGATTACATTTGTCGGATGCTTTCTGAGCCCTCAACGATATAAGACATTTTCTATCAGAATTAATGGTTGATTTTGTTAACCATTTAAAAAAAAAATGCTTTCCCAGTGCGGAACCCCGATTGGCCAGGCAGTGTTGCGATTACAACGCTTGACCAACCGCAGTCGGAAAGGTTGCAAGTTCAAATTCCCATTGGAGTTTGAATTGGCTGAAACCCTTCTGAGGTCCATAAAATGAGGACAACTTTGTTGATAATGTACGAGAGGATGACATTAATTGATTCACCCCCCGCACAGGAAAATAGAATTTCAACCACTGGCTCAGGACTTTGAAGAGGATGCGTGCACCACCCTATGTTGGTTTGTGCAGGAACCACTATGGGAGTGTTTTTTTTTGCTTTGACATAGTTTAGCCAAAGTTCAATAATACTTGTATAAATAACAATGTCATCTATATATAGAAAAGGGAAATTTGTGAATATGTGTGTCTGTTCAAAATGTTTAGCAAACTTCCCGACATGCAACAAACTTGAAATTTGGCATGTGGGTAGTTTCCAGACTGTACACCATGCAAAACTTATAAAAATAGACTTTTTTTGGGGGGGGGGGGGGGGGGAGCTCAATAATGCATATATTTTTTGCACGGCAAGTGAGCTGTGACGTCACATCTGTCATGTCACCCGCATGCGGAAGCGTAACGCAATGTGCCTGCTGATGTCACCCCCCCAACCCTCCACGAGTAAAGTGCCATACAAATGTGTTGCAGGTCGAAGGCGTTCTTCGCGCAGCATTGCTGCTTTATTATTTCAGCCATTAACTGCCGTACGCACCCTGAAAGTTGCGTGTCTGCTGCAAGCGCGTGTATGTGTAGGGGAGCGGTAGTGTAGTGATGTGGGGGGAGCGGTAGTGTAGTGGTTAGCACGCTGCGCTATGAACCCGGCGACCCGAGTTCGATTCCCGCTCACGGCCACCACCGGTGACAATAATTTGAACCGGTCCTGGGCCTCCCCTAGGTCGACTCAGCCTCAATCAATTAAATGGTGTGGTGTGTGAACATCGCCACTGGGGAGACAAAGGCGGCCGGGCGTGGTGAATCCAAGTCCCGGGCGAAGCTGGGTAGTAAAGCTAGTTTAGTTATAAAAAAAGCCATATCGAGTCTCAACTTTTTCATTGCGATGCGGTGACCAATTCCTTTCGAAAGAGCAGTTTTGACGTGAAAAGAATATGGAGTGCGGAAAAAAATTCACCACGTGTGCAATGGGATAACACTCAAAAGGGGCTCCACAAAAAGACTCGCTGCACTGTCATCTACGGGCCACCTCACAGCTCAGTGGGTTTAGGAGCTTGACAAATCTCTACGTGATCCACTAAAACTCGTCTACACAGCTTTCATGCCCTCTCGACTTACCGCAACTTTGGACTGCAGTGCGTCACACAGGGTACTACGGTGGCGAGATGTTAACTACCTCGCCTGGTATACAGAAGGTCGTGGGTTCGATCCGAACCATGACGCATAAATATTTGGAGTTTGCATGTCTCTCTCCCTGAGGTTGCGTGGATTTTTCTCCGGGTCCTCGGTTTTTCTCCCTCCACATATTAGAAACATGCGTTTTGAGTATTTGGCTGCTGTAAATTTCAACGTGATAAGCCACTTCCTTGAGCTATACTTTGTGGCCAGGTCGTTTCTGAAAAAGAGCTACGTAGCTCAGTGGGCCTTACCTGGTCAAATACATAAGTAGTTTAGCTTTAGGTAAAATGTGAAGAACGACAGTTTCCACGAAAACAAAACGAGGCGCAGGAGATTCCGCAACTCTCGGGCACAAACCTTGGGCTCCAGGATGGGCTCCACGTGGTAGACGGCCTCGTCCTCCTCGGAGTCCGAGTCCGCGGCTCCGCCCTTGGCGTCAAGCGTCTCAAAGGCGCCGTCCAGCACGTGCAAGCCCAGCTGCACGGCTTGCCGGATCCGTGGGATCAGCTCCGCCTCGCGCTTTGCCTGCAGTGCGGGCAGAGCAACAGACGAGGCACCGTCACTGCCGCCGACCGTGACAAACAACTTCGGTAACATCTGCACATTTGCACAGTTGGCAGCGGTGCAAACGCGGCGGTGAAACAGGAAAGGGGCTGGCTGCGTAGGTCACCTTCTTTCAGCTACTTGGAAAAATTTCTGCTGCAGGCAGAATATAATTTTACGAATGGATTTTCTAACGCTTTCCAACATACAGCAGTATTTAATTAGCAATAATAATGGTACGTTCCAAGTGGCACAAGAAGACGATGTCACACTGTAGGCAATTCTCTGCAGGGAACCATGTAGTGCCGATACCTACTGGGGAGGAATACTAAGCAGGGATATATGGATGGAGGGATCTAGAGAATCGATTTAGATTTGATACGCTTGTTTCAAATGGATCGTCTACAACCAACTCGCACATAATATGCACGATCTCTCTTGAGATCTCAGAAGTTTAGTAGGATGCAGCCAGGATAGTGCTCGGATGGGTGACCACCATGTCCACCATGATGTCGGGAAACTCACCTGGTCAGGTTTTTCTGCCGGTTCCGTTTTGGCGGGAACCTCCTCAACCTCCTCAGTCGTACACCCTCTGTGGACACAAGGGGCAGGACCACGATAGACCTCACATCCTTCTCGCACAAGGAAATGGGCGGAAGGCAGGTGGGCGCTGCCGGCATTAGCTGCATGTGCGTTAATTTTTAGTCAGCACTTTTTCATGTTTTAGTCACAGTCTTTAGCCTAATCGATGGCAAACTATGGAATTTTATTTACGTCTTAGTCTCGACATTTAATATAGATATTTTCTCAGTCCAGTCAACGAATTAGGCTACTTCGTATATGTTGGTGTCACGGGTGCACCTTTAAAAGTATGTGTTTTGGACTAAATAAGGCAAAAATAAACAGATCAACAAGGACCGGCAGGCCCACCACAATGACAAAACAAGTTTCGAAATAAAATATATATATAAAAGCCCAACCCACAGCGGTTGAAAATGACAAACGGCCACAATGACGTCTGCAAAACTGCACAGTTGGCAGTAGCCAAGAAGTGGTGGCGGCGGTGGTGGCAGGGAAGGGGCTGCCGGCATAGGTCACCTTCAAGCTACTCCAGCAAATTTCTGCTCGACGAGGCAGAATATAAATGGAAATTAAATATATCAAGCATTGGGCATGGATTCTGTAGGGCTTGCAAACACATGTGTGTTTATGTATGTTGGACTTTCGCACCGTACGTAGTCAACCTGTGCTAATCGGAGGTGTGTTTGTCCTCAGGAGCATTTAATTAGAGATAATACATTCCAGGCAGCACAGTGAGATGACGTTACACTGCACTTGACGTGTCAAGTTGTGAGATGACGTCATACCTACAAAGCCATTGGGAGGGAACGTGCGCATGATGAGGTCACACGCAATCATATCAACATTGCCTTGGCTGACATTGTTAATTCTTTTATCCGTTTTTCTCGCCAAGTGTTGCGCAATGCTTTAATCAATTAGGTAAGTTTTTGCTCGAGTAAGTCTCTAAAAGCCACAACACTTTTTTTAAACCTTCTTGGTTCTTTCGGTAAAGTCACGTAGAAGGAAGACTCTGCCTTCTCGACAGACCTGTTCTCCACCTGAAGACGGCTGCTTGCGTTGTGGCCGAAACGTCGTGAGAATTATTTTATTATGTTTTATTTTTATTCTCCTTCTACGTGACTTTACCGAAAGAACCAAGAATAATACTGGACCATCTTTATGAGTTATCGTGACCCCACAGTCATTTACGCTTTCCAGCCTTCATCGGAAAGCATCTGAGAAACATGATGGTTGCGGTAGCAGCTCACGTTTTCGATGAACTGCGTGTGCGCGAGCGACAGGAAGTCATTGAAGGTGTTGCGTAGACGGCAGTCAGTGCCACGGGCCTGCCCCAAGAGCCGCTCCATCTCACGCTCCATCTCGTGCGTTCGCGCGATCAGCTGCTGTGAGAACTCCTGCATGTACAGCAGCAGCTGTAGCACAAACACACACACGGACAAAGAGTGGTTGGATAAACAATTAATACAATGACAAGGACATGTGCTCATCTTCTACACAAGTTGGAAGATAAAAAAACCAATGCAGTAACATTGCAAACCGCTGCCCATCAACACAAATTAGCGGCAGCATCAAACCAATCCGCCAGCTTACAACCAACAGCGTTGAATGGCAAAATAACCTTGACATTGATTTATTACAACTCTTGTTGCCACTCCAAAAATCAATTGCTTATCTCTGCAACATATGAAAGAAGGATGAGGGTACATGTGCTGTGCTGCTACGTCCGCCACGGGGTAATTGTAAGCACACTTAACTTGCAACTCAGAGGTTGCCAGTTTGATCTCAAGACACAGCAGTTGAAGTAGAAAAAATAAAACATCTCATACAGAACCCTACCATCTAACCTCCCGGTTTCAACCTTCAACGCCGCCAATTGTCGACCATTAACCGAACCAGGACCGGGCATGGCCGATGAGGCCACCTGAAGCACAAATGGCGGGTCAAAGATTCGGCCGCCTGCGAGTGCGGCCACGAATCCGAAACCACCGATTACATCGTAAACACTCCGCAGCTGCTGCTGTCTTCACTCCTTTATAGGAGGAATGGACGAGATCCACTCTGCTTCTGAACAGACAATTGAGTCAATAACAAATCTCAAATTACATCTTTAATCTGCTACTATTATTCCATACGAAAGAAGAAGTCGAAACAAGTGTCTTCAATTCACCGCACATCTGTCCACCCAGCAGCAGTTAGTCGATCGGCAGGTTGCGTGAGGTTGGGTCAAGTGCGAGTACTATGACCTCTTCCAACATATCTGGCAATTGTGGAAGAGTAGACCAAATACACCCATGCAGCGGCATGAGTAAGAAATTTCAAGGTTGCACTTTTACCTTCACCACCGATTCGAGTCCCCTGAGTGTGAGTGGTGAAAGATAACAATGCATACAAACCACATTGACCAACATTGTGAAATAAAGCCACGTCTATCAACTTAGATTTTTTTCCAACAGGATGGCAGCAGATTGAACTATGAGATCAGCTTGTGTACAGGAGCTAGATGTATTGATACACTGCAGCATCTTAATAGATGGTGACAGCTTCGGGGAGCCTTCATCCAGAAGTAGATTAATCTTGGATGATGAGGAATAATTAGGTGGATGATACATCGATCAATCAACCAAATTACCCATCAGGTACTGGAAACTAAGCAAAGTTGAGCTCGGAAATTCCTGTAGGAATCGTATTCAGTTCCTATGCCTCTACTCAGAACTATGACTGGGAGTTGACAATTTCTATAGGAGATCCCAATGTTAAAAGCAGCATTCAAATGCACTGATGATGAATAGCACGCAGAATTTACTCGAAACCGTAGGGAAATGTAGGAAAGATGAGAGCCAAGTAGAATCACATTATTCGATGCCTATGCAATACGTTTCAATGATGATTCGGGTTTATACCGGAAAATGGTATCAGGGTCGACAATCCGTATTCCCATTTGGAACTCGCATCACCATACAAGTACACAACCTGCTTATTTTACAGCACTCCACAGCTGCCGCTGGTGGGCACGATTGTGTACTACTTCGACATCTTTGCAAAAAACAAAAAGTTTTCAAGCTCATCGGATTCCGCCAGTATAAATAAAGATCCCGATTCTGATTCTGTACTTACGCTGGCATCGCTGGCGAGGGACCAGCTGTTGCTCCCGCGGCGCATCTCGGCCAGCGTCCACGGTCGCTCCCACACCGGCGCGGCGCCGTCCGCCGCGCCAGGGGCTGCCGCCATCATCTCGCTCGGCCCTGGGCCCGGCCCGTTCATCTGTAATATATAATAGACAAAGTTGTGAATATATGCGTCTGTTCAAAATGTTTAGCGTACTTCCCGACATGCAACAAACTGGAAATTTGCCATGTGGGTACTTTCTAGACTGTACACCATGCAGAAATTATAAAAATACACTTTTGGTTTCTTTTGGTGAGGGGTGGGGAGCTCAATAATGCATATATTTTTTGCACGGCAAGTGAGCTGTGACGTCACATCTGTCATGTGACCCGCGCATGTGGAAGCGTCACGCATTGTAGTGTAGCGGGTAGCGCGCTGCGCTACGAACCCGGCGACCCGAGTTCGATTCCCGCTCACGGCCACCAACGGTGACGATTATTTCAACCGGTCCTGGGCCTCCCCTAGGTCGACTCAGCCTCAAACGAGTAACTGCTGTGGTGTGTCAACATCGCCACTGGGGAGACAAAGGCGGCCGGGCGTGGTGGATCCAAGTCCTGGGCGAAGCCGGGTAGTACAGCTAGTCTGTAATAAATCCAAAATAAGCGGTGAATAATGAGTTCCTCAGCAGGCTTTGCCTGGTAGGATAGATTTAGTGTAAACTATTACGTTATTGGGTGATTTATTTGCGTTGCCTGTACTTTGCGCTACTACTATCGTGTTTTTGTATCGTTTGTTGTTGTAATGTTCTTACCCGCCCCTACTGGACATATATGAAAAAGAGCTTAATAGCTCATCGGATTCTTCAAGTTTAAATATTCTGATTCTGCGTTCAACCCACTCAGTCGTGGTCCCTAATGCACAGACATCTCCGACATGAATGGAAAATTAAAGACAAGCCACAGCAGAGCGATTGCGATCATGCAACCCAAACTACGGACCACAAAGTACATCACCAGTCGTCTCCCTAGCATATTGACGTGATCAGGCATAGAATCGATGTATCGTAGATAAGGCGAAGGAACGGTGGCGCTGTGGTTCGCGCACTTTGTTATGAACCCGGTGACCTGAGTTAAATGCCCGGGACAGGGCCAAGATCAGACGAACTGGTCCCGGGAAACTCATCTCAATCTCCTTCAACCTGCAGTTTGATCATCATGAAGTTATGGTCAAACAATAGGGCGTGAGCAAGCCACAATACAACGGTGGATTGACAAAAGCAACTGCGATTTGAATTTTTTAATCATTAAACCGTCGAATTTATGAATAATCTTAACTCTCAAAAATATAAGAAGAATACAAGAATAGGTTTTACCCTTTCCGGCAATAAAACAGGAGGTGCTAAGATGTTCAGACACCAAATAGAAACCTTTTGCAAGGAACCATGTCTGCATTAACCACACGCGCAAACATAAATATTACTCTGATAATATATGCACCGTCCTTGAGGCTGATTGGTTCACACCAGCGATTTGGTGTTTGAACATCTTAACAGCTGTTGCATTGCCAAAGAGGGGAGGAAAATATCCTTATTTTTTATACTTTGCGTGGGCAATGCGAGACGGCGAGAACGACTCTCGCGAAATGTAACAGAGGTCGCCCCGCTTTGCCAGTGCGCTGTCGGAGTGGGACTCGTTGCAATATATACCGCGTTTGATCAATAGCCTCATCATTATCAGCATCATCGGGGCAACGTTTGATTCACTGCTGGATGAAAGCCTTCCCCGCACGCCGTCGCCATATCTCAAGAGCCGTGGTGCGATGCGCGCCCTCACCACCTCTCCTGCCCTGCTGCTGCTCATCATCAACAACAACAAGCCGATGTCATCCCATCTCTCACGCACGCCGAACGCCTTCACAGGAGAAGCTGCTGCAGCGAATCTGACGCCGAATGCGTGATAACACGAAAGGTGAAGTGTGCAACAACCAGGAAACTAGGGGAGGGAGTTCCCACACACACACACACAACTCCACCAGCCAACACCAACTGAGTCACTCACCGCTCCACACCTTTGTCGCTGTTGGCCCGGGGTAGGAAGTCTAAGGGAGACAAAGGCGGCAGGGAAGAGAGGAGGAGGGGTAGGCGTGAGCTCGCCTACTCGCCGCGGGATCTGGACTCGAACCCGAACCTTTGACGGCGTCCACCACCTCCACCACCACCGCCACCGCTACCTCCGTCTTGGCCCTGCACGGCCCCCGCAGTCAGATGACTCCTCACGTGTCCTCGGAAACCCGAGCGCCGATTGGTCGAGCTCTCGCGGCGGCCATCTTACTAAGGGGTATAATCACCCCGCCCCCCCCTCCGCCACGCCCCCTTCCCGCACCCGCAGTAATCGTATTGGACGAATAGCGCGTGACGTCATCAAGGCGAGTGTAAAAGCGCGGGGTCGACGTTGAGCCGTCACCCTCACCCAACGTGGCTGGGCCCGCGCGTCACATCCAGTGGGCAAACTGGATGGGGGGGAGGGTGTGGGGGGGGGTCGAGGGTGGTGGGAGGGGGTGTTGGGGGAGGGGGGGTCGGGGGTGGTGGGGGAGGGGGTGGTGGGGGGTCGGGGGTGGTGGGGGAGGGGGGGTCGGGGTGGTGGGGGAGGGGGGGTCGGGGGTGGTGGGGGAGGGGGGGTCGGGGGTGGTGGGGGAGGGGGGGTCGGGGGTGGTGGGGGAGGGGGGTCGGGGGTGGTGGGGGAGGGGGGTCAGGGGTGGTGGGGGAGGGGGTGGTGGGGGAGGGGGGGTCGGGGGTGGTGGGGAGGGGGTGGTGGGGGGTCGGGGGTGGTGGGGGAGGGGGTGGTGGGGGGTCGGGGGTGGTGGGGGAGGGGGGGTCGGGGGTGGTGGGGGAGGGGGTGGTGGGGGAGGGGGGTCGGGGGTGGTGGGGGAGGGGGGGTCGGGGGTGGTGGGGGAGGGGGGTCGGGGGTGGTGGGGGAGGGGGGGTCGGGGGTGGTGGGGGAGGGGGGTCGGGGGTGGTGGGGGAGGGGGGGTCGGGGGTGGTGGGGGAGGGGGGGTCGGGGGTGGTGGGGGAGGGGGGGTCGGGGGTGGTGGGGGAGGGGGGGTCGGGGGTGGTGGGGGAGGGGGTGGTGGGGGGTCGGGGGTGGTGGGGGAGGGGGGGTCGGGGGTGGTGGGGGAGGGGGTGGTGGGGGGTCGGGGTGGTGGGGGAGGGGTGGTGGGGGGTCGGGGGTGGTGGGGGAGGGGGGGTCGGGGGTGGTGGGGGAGGGGGGTCGGGGGCGGGGGGGTCGGGGGTGGTGGGGGAGGGGGATCGGGGGAGGGGGGGTCGGGGGTGGTGGGTCGGGGGAGGGGGGGTCGGCGGTTGGGGCTCCCGCAGTCACGTGACCCCCGCCCACACACTGTGCTTAAAAGTCAATATTAATCATCATTAGGTTTCAAATGTATAGATTTCTATGACCGAAAAATGACACACGAAGCAACTTCACTGTGAGGTCTTCCGATGAAATAAGAACAATTTCAGTGGGATGTATAGTGTACAGGGTGGTCCAGATGTCTTGTGACACGCGATTAATTGACCCCGAACATTTTTTTTTCCTTTGCACATTCAAAAATAAGTAATGAATATAAATAATAATAATTTGTATTATTTAATTTTTATAAAAAAAAATACGTGACTTTACCGAAAAAAACCTAAGAGTATGAATCCTTGCAGTCACGAAAGCTTCAAATCTAGAACTGTGTTTATATATATTAAAAAAAATTATATTTTATATTTTATATTCAGTTTCCGCCGGAAGAACCCCCAGAGTGGGAAGTGCTTCCAGGTCAACTCGCCCCTCCCACCAGCGGCCTTCACCATCACCACCACCAACAACCATCACCTTTAATACAATCACCATCATCACCACCAACTCTTACACACAGCCACCAACACCACCACCATGACTTTATTTCATTTCGGAAATTGCTTCGCGTTGTCATACTTCCCCTACCTCATCACGTACAAGTGCACGGGCCTGTGAGTTACTGTGCGTGTGTGTGTGTACAGGTGTCTTGGTCAATCCACTGCTGGATGAGGGCCTCCCGTCACAGTCACCACGCCGTGTGTATCGTGGGGGTTGTCAGGGCTGTAAACACATTATCAATTACTACAGATCAATTCAGACCTTATTGGTCACCCCGTGACCCTTGTACATCTCAACGTTCACCCTACAAAGCCCCATCACAAGGGAGAAACACAAACATCATCACGGTGGCTAGGAGATGTTAACTACCTCGCCTGGCACACAGGGGGTCGTGGGTTTGATCCCGACCCTGACGCCTGCTACTGTATATTTGGAGTTTGCGTGTCTCTCATCATCATCATCATGGTGGCTAGGAGATGTTAACTACCTCGCCTGGCACATAGGAGGTCGTGGGTTCGATCCCGACCATGACGCCTGCTGCTGTATATTTGGGGTTTGCGTGTCTCTCTCATCATCACGGTGGCGAGGAGATGTTAACTACCTCGCCTGGTATACAGGAGGTCGTGGGTTCGATCCCGACCATGACGCCTGCTGAGTATATTTGGGGTTTGCGTGTCTCTCTCATCATCACGGTGGCGAGGAGATGTTAACTACCTCGCCTGGTATGCAAGAGGTCGTTGATTCGATCCCGACCATGACGCCTGCTGGTGCATATTTGGGGTTTGCGGCGTCTCTGTCCCCTTAGTCGACAGCATCTTGAATTAGGTGCCATTTCCAGCCGACGAATCCACAGATAAATGCCGGTAATACATTCGGTCACTCGTCTTATCCACAAAAAGACGCGAACAACTTGGAACAATCCGTCCTAGCTTCACAGAATTTTGTTGGCATGGCCGGTTTCATTTGAGTATTATTGAACCAGATTAAAAAATCCGAATATTTATACTGAAGGAATCCGATGAATTATAAAGCTCTTTTTCACAGATGTCCAGTAGATTGCTAAGTAAGAGGTTTTTGGACAGGACCCACATCCATGGTTAGAGGATGATAACCGGTGGACGCCTGTGACCTCGTGAAGTGGCAGCGCTGTGCCACATGAGCCAAACATTTCTCACTTTCATCAAGTTTGAAGCATTCATGTCTGCTGTGGCCCTTGGACTAAAATGCCATTCATTGCCTGGTCGTGCCGTTTGCAGAGCCGAGTACAATGCGTTCTGGAGGTGCGTGCAGGCAGGTGCCACCTACCTTTTCGTACAGCTGTGTAAGGTAAGAAGGGAGATGTGACCACAAAAGATTGAGGAGCGTCCTGGAATTAACAACAAATATATTTCCTTCAAAACCCACAATCTAATTTGAAAGAAAGCAGGCTTTTGTTGACGGTAAGCAGATAAAATAGAAACATGAACTTCATTTTAAGGGGAGATAATGCAATGCGTACTTTAAAAAAGTGGATTGTAAAGTGTTTCAATAAAGCTGGAATGGGTTATCAAGTTTTTCCAGGACCACCCCCCTCAATTATTTGATGACAAAAAATAAAAATGACGAAACATCGGCTTGCCGACAGGTCAAAAAAATCTAGAAGTCATCAGAGACAATGCCAATTTTACCACCACACCTTGACATCGCTTATTTTGCAACTGTTTTACGGTCAACGTGTGGCCTCCAAAGTCTCCGCTCACAGTGTCCCATGACTGTTAAGAGTTTGCCCTTTGGCAGTGCCATTAATTCCTGGCTATAGGTAACACTGCTTGGTGAAGTATGATCAAACAATTCCCATGACTGTAATGGCATAGGGGAAGCCTCAGTCCATCAATGGATTGACAAAGGCCAGTGCATTTTACAAACGAGATCATATTTAGGCTCATGGCATGCACAAAACAGTTAACTGAAAATTAATTATCCGATGAGATTGAGACTCCGTATCGTCACAACTCATTGAATTGTAGGCGGTGGGGGTGACTTTTTACATGTCTACATCTAAAGCCTGTTTCATTAACCTGCCTTTCTCCATTCTACTCACATGCCCCATGCATTGCAGTCTTTTCCTGATCACATCTCGAGTGCTTTCCTGTCACATTGAACTTATACGTTGCTTGTTTGAGTATCCTCTGCATACAATGACAGTATATTCTAAGATAGACCAGAAGCCATACCATGCTTTAACATGGGCAGCAAACCATAGTCACAAATATATTGTGTAATCTCGTCTATGAGTTCAGGATATGGGTTGGCGCGTATTTGGGAAACTAATAGCAGAAGTTGGATGAGGGGTGTTGACTGTGCAATCATTGTGGGCTCTAGCAGAAGGAAGTATGCGATTGTGAGGTATGAAATTGGCTGTCCTAGCCTCCTAGCAAGTGATTATGTGAAGAGAGCCTTAATCGTATTAGAACAAGATTCTTCAACTGGTGGTCCACTGGCTTATATGTTGTCTGCGAATACTCTTGAAGTAACCCTTAAAGAGATATGGCTCACCAAGGCATGAAGATTTACTGATCAATGTGATGAAAGACATTATTAAGAGATATATGTCAGAAACCTGCTGACATGTACAGATGCTATGATGTCACAACACCATGTGATATAATATAAGACGTCACGTGACTCACCAGAAAATTGTAGTTTTATGATGTGGTCCACTGACATTTAGTTGGAAGAACACCATCTTAGGGGATTTACAAAGAATATGTGCATGGAACTATGCATATACATAGAGAAAAGGACACGTGTTGATTTTTCCTGCTCTAACACCCTTGCAATTAGATTATAATATGCACACTCTAAAATATTGTGATTGGTATGCAGTGTACAGCATTTTTTTAATATATTGGTATTGGTGAACTTTGTAGTGAGTATTATGGTGATTGATTTTGTAGTTGTAAAAAATGTGAGGAAATCACAGACTCGGTTGGTTTTTTGGTTTTTTCAGCCTCAATCAGTATTCTAATAATTTCTTTAAAAGGTCTATAACAAATGGACTTGTTTTCATCACAGATGTTGTTCCTCGCCACCTTCTTCCCAACATTTGATGGGGCAACTGCGGGCGGCTTTGACTTCATTGGGGTAAGTGATTCAGCCCCCAAGTGTTGAATCCTTGAGCACGCTGCCAGGGGCCAACGATAACTGCTCACATCTGAGCGCACGTCATTCGTGCTATGGTAGTTCATTTATAATAACGATACAATAATGATAATTATAATGAGAATAGGTTTTCCCATTTTTTCTGGCAACAAAACAGGTGTTAAGATGTTAAAACACCAAACTGAGTATGGTAATGTGGGAGGAAACTGGAGTTCCCGGAGAAAACCCACCAAGCATATGAGGTGATAAAACTAAAAGTTCAACACATATCCATTGAATCCAAAGAGTGCACCAAATCTGTCTGTGGAATGCACCCATTTCTGCGCTGCAAACTTCTGGCACCGTGAACGATGCATGTTGCACAGGAGCTCATGAAGGCGACAGTTGACCTGGGTGACCTTCTGGGCCTTCATCTCATCATGGCCAAGAACGCCGGCAAGGGGGAGTACAAGGTGATGGTGGCAGCCATGGGCTGGGCCACGGCGGAACTGATCTCCACCCGGTGAGGGCTTCTTCGACCGGGAAATTAGCAGGAGTGTCATGAGCATTTTGATGAGAAAATAACCCAATTATGAGGTTACATCGAAAAATGTATTTGTCATTGTCATCACCTGTCTTGCAACTCCCCACATGTCTGTACCCTTCGCTTCGAGAGGGGTGGCCTGAATAAACAAAAACATCGACAATGCAAGACATAGGTTTATTAGCCTGTAAAAATGTGTGATCACGTGAATGTAAGCCAATTGAAATTCAAGACAATGACAGTCAAGGTGAACAGTTGGGGCAGGACTTGTGCATTTGCCGCCAGTGTACGCTCCGTTTTGAGCGTTGAGAGAGCGTCCTACTGACCACCGCACTTGCTGTGCTGCACCAGATTCGTCCCGCTCTGGGTGGGCGCTCGTGGAATGGAATTCGACTGGAAGTACATCCAGATGAGCCTCGACTCCAACATCACCCTCGTGAGTCCGCGTTTAATCACCACAGTCACCACCTTCACCATTGCCATCACCTGCAGTGCCGTCACTACCACCGTCAGCTTCAATACCATCGCCACCATCGTCATCTTGCATACCATCGTTGTATATATTAGTTTTACCCCTGTTTAGGACCACCAGTGGAGATGAGAATCAATGATTAATTGGGCATGGGACGCAAGCGTAGGATTGATCACCCTGTCGCTGGCCACCTTTGGGGAGGGTGTATAGTGTGAAAGGCCGAAACACCCTAGGAACCAAAGGTACACTACTGACAATGCGCTCCCCAAATTTCACCAGGCTCACTGTTCATGAACTCTTGGAAGTGCTTGCACAAAGGATAGTAACATCTCATCTTGTGTTCTTGGAATCTTAGACACGTGGTAATCGTCGATTTATTCTATTAATTGACAAAAAATTGCAATACTCATTTTATTGTGGTGAATTACTTGCATCACGAAGGTAGGATGCCCTCCTAAAAGACGGCTGCCTAAGCTGATGTCAGCAACCCCTGCCCATCACCTCCCGTCCAGCGGTCCACAGCTGTATTCGTGTTGCCCGATTTGTTGCGTGGTCAGTATCGAACCGTTAGATGGTAGAGCCGTCGATCAATTATTCGGATAAATCAGATAGCTCAGCTTTATTGTGTTGTATCTCCAAGCCTTGCCGATAGCGCGTGTCCCTGCACCGCTCCTCACTGACCCGAGATCAATAACCGTTGTCGCTGACCCCAGGCGCACTACGTGGCGGCCGCGGCGTTGGTGTGGATGTGGTCGCGGTACGATCTTCCCCGTGGCCTCACGCCCATCGTCTCCGCGCTGCTCGCACTCGCCGTCTACCGCAACTTCCTCGTCGAGTGAGCTTCCCCTCTTGTTATCATCATCATCCTCGTCGTCGTCGTCATCGTCGTCGATGTGTGCCTCTATACGGTCCCACCTGATGACGGAGACTTGTGTTGCCTCCGAAACGTCGTGATTTTATTGTTTTATTTCTATTAATTTTAATTTCATTTTTTACCTACGTGACTTTAGTGAAAGAACTTAGAGTATGAATCCTTGCAGTCACGAAAGCTTCAAATCTAGAAATGCCCCATAGCGCCATACATACTCTTGGGGCAAGTCTCCTCAGTGGCAATGTTTACACACGCATAAAGATGGTTATATGGTGAATTTTTTTCTTTTTCATTATGTGTGTGTGTGTGCATTGCTATATTAGAGGATGTGGGTGTAACGAATCACCTTAGTGATTGAATATTATAAATGATCCATAGTGGTGAATCTATTCAAGAATCAAGGCCTTTTTTTCGATTTAAAGCTTTCGTGACTGCAGGGATTCATCTTCTTGTTTCTTTCGGTAAAGTCACGTAGAAGGGAAGTAATAAAATAATAAAAATAAAACATAATAAAACAATTCTCACGACGTTTCGGCTACAACGCAAGCAGCCGTCTTCAGGTGAAGAATGAGACACTACCAAACTAGGAGCTTATATATAAGCTGCATTGGGGGTTGAAGAGCGCCTTAACAAAAAGAATGTGCATGTGAAGAGGAATTTAGCATATTCATGGAAAATGCGTAGGCGTTGGGCGGGGGGGTGTCAAAGTCATATTATGCCCATGCATTATGCAGGATCAGCAGCAACCAAGGGGGGTGCAGGGATTAGCAGTAACAAAGGAAAGGAATGTTAATGATATGTAGCTGCAGTTACTCAACAACCACGTAGAAAAACTAAAGTATAAACTACATAAAAAACTAAAGTATAAACTGCATCGCACCATCAGTATACTTACTATACTCTATAATAAGCTGAGTTACTAACAGCAAGTAATACATTACAATTCTACCTCGTAAAAATTCTATAATATGCTTCCATCTAAACCTTATTCTCTTATATCACACGAGCATATACCGTACTATATACTGCCATAGATAAACCCAACATTAAATTATATACTGTATTGCTGTAAACCAACCTATATCTTATACATTTAATATAACACTATGTATTATTCTACACACCCTAATGTGTATCGAAATGGTTTATTACGTCCTTCCAATGATTGCTGAGCCAGAATCCATCTTCTCGGTTAAAATTGTCTCTGTGTTTGTATATGTGGATCGCCTCATGAACGAATCTCTCATGATAGCCAGATGGCTTGCAGAGAACCTCTGTCTTGGAGAAGTCGATATCATGTGAGCCCACTGAGTTGTAACAGTGATCTGCCACGGCTGAGGTGTTTGTCCTACCGTGTTTCAGGTCAGCTTTATGTTCACGGATGCGGTCCGAGACATGTCGTTTGGTTTCCCCAATGTAACTGCTACCACAGAGGCAACTTAGTTTGTAGACGCCAGGGTACTGTATGTCTGGAACCACATCTTTTACAGACGGTACCAGATCACGGATTTTATGTACTGTGTTGAATCGGACCTGGATCTTGTGTTTAATCAGGATTTTGGAGATCTTTTTTGTGACCCCAGCAATGTAGGGTAAGGTGATGGTCTTGAAAGGCTCCTCAACAGGATCCTTCTTGATGGTTGGAGTGATGGCTTTGCGGATTGTATAGTCGGAGTAACCATTTGCCTTAAGAGCTTGGCGTACGTGTTTGAGTTCACTGGAAATGTGTTCATGGTCGGAGATGCATTGGGCTCTATGATATAGAGTCTTGATGAGGGAATTCTTCTGGGATGGATGGTGGTGGGAATCCGGTTTTAGATAAGCATCCGTGTGGGTGGCTTTCCTGTAGACAGAGTGGCTCATTGAACCATCAGGTCTCCTTTTGATTAGGACATCCAAAAAGGGTAGCTTGCCATCATTTTCGACTTCCATGGTGAATCTGATGGCTGGGTGTATGGAATTGATGTGGTCGAGAAATTGGTCTAGAGCAGGCCGGCCATGTGGCCAGATGACAAAAGTGTCGTCTACGTACCTCTTCCATAAGGTCGGGCGTAGAGTGGCAGTCTGGATAGCGTCCGTCTCAAATTTCTCCATGAAGATGTTGGCTACAACCGGAGATAGGGGGGAGCCCATTGGGGTGCCCTCAATTTGCTTGTAGAAGGTTCCATTCCAGGTGAAGTATGTATTGGTTAAGCAGTGTTTCACCAGGGGGGGTACCCCAGCATTCAGTCCTTGATGAACCAAGTCTTCAATGATTGCGATGGTGTCAGGCACAGGTACCTTGGTGAACAAGGAAACCACATCAAAACTGACAAGCAGGTCGTCTGGGGACAGGGCAATCCCCTTGATTGTCGATACCAGGTCAGTAGAGTTTAGTACTGCAGAGGTGGTTTTTCCAGTGAAAGGCCGTAGGATTTCATCAAGGACTGAATGCTGGGGTACCCCCCCTGGTGAAACACTGCTTAACCAATACATACTTCACCTGGAATGGAACCTTCTACAAGCAAATTGAGGGCACCCCAATGGGCTCCCCCCTATCTCCGGTTGTAGCCAACATCTTCATGGAGAAATTTGAGACGGACGCTATCCAGACTGCCACTCTACGCCCGACCTTATGGAAGAGGTACGTAGACGACACTTTTGTCATCTGGCCACATGGCCGGCCTGCTCTAGACCAATTTCTCGACCACATCAATTCCATACACCCAGCCATCAGATTCACCATGGAAGTCGAAAATGATGGCAAGCTACCCTTTTTGGATGTCCTAATCAAAAGGAGACCTGATGGTTCAATGAGCCACTCTGTCTACAGGAAAGCCACCCACACGGATGCTTATCTAAAACCGGATTCCCACCACCATCCATCCCAGAAGAATTCCCTCATCAAGACTCTATATCATAGAGCCCAATGCATCTCCGACCATGAACACATTTCCAGTGAACTCAAACACGTACGCCAAGCTCTTAAGGCAAATGGTTACTCCGACTATACAATCCGCAAAGCCATCACTCCAACCATCAAGAAGGATCCTGTTGAGGAGCCTTTCAAGACCATCACCTTACCCTACATTGCTGGGGTCACAAAAAAGATCTCCAAAATCCTGATTAAACACAAGATCCAGGTCCGATTCAACACAGTACATAAAATCCGTGATCTGGTACCGTCTGTAAAAGATGTGGTTCCAGACATACAGTACCCTGGCGTCTACAAACTAAGTTGCCTCTGTGGTAGCAGTTACATTGGGGAAACCAAACGACATGTCTCGGACCGCATCCGTGAACATAAAGCTGACCTGAAACACGGTAGGACAAACACCTCAGCCGTGGCAGATCACTGTTACAACTCAGTGGGCTCACATGATATCGACTTCTCCAAGACAGAGGTTCTCTGCAAGCCATCTGGCTATCATGAGAGATTCGTTCATGAGGCGATCCACATATACAAACACAGAGACAATTTTAACCGAGAAGATGGATTCTGGCTCAGCAATCATTGGAAGGACGTAATAAACCATTTCGATACACATTAGGGTGTGTAGAATAATACATAGTGTTATATTAAATGTATAAGATATAGGTTGGTTTACAGCAATACAGTATATAATTTAATGTTGGGTTTATCTATGGCAGTATATAGTACGGTATATGCTCGTGTGATATAAGAGAATAAGGTTTAGATGGAAGCATATTATAGAATTTTTACGAGGTAGAATTGTAATGTATTACTTGCTGTTAGTAACTCAGCTTATTATAGAGTATAGTAAGTATACTGATGGTGCGATGCAGTTTATACTTTAGTTTTTTATGTAGTTTATACTTTAGTTTTTCTACGTGGTTGTTGAGTAACTGCAGCTACATATCATTAACATTCCTTTCCTTTGTTACTGCTAATCCCTGCACCCCCTTTGGTTGCTGCTGATCCTGCATAATGCATGGGCATAATATGACTTTGACACCCCCCCGCCCAACGCCTACGCATTTTCCATGAATATGCTAAATTCCTCTTCACATGCACATTCTTTTTGTTAAGGCGCTCTTCAACCCCCAATGCAGCTTATATATAAGCTCCTAGTTTGGTAGTGTCTCATTCTTCACCTGAAGACGGCTGCTTGCGTTGTAGCCGAAACGTCGTGAGAATTGTTTTATTATGTTTTATTTTTATTATTTTATTACTTCCCTTCTACGTGACTTTACCGAAAGAAACAAGAAGATGAAGGCCTTTTTTGCCATCTTATTTGTATTGTTTCTTGTTTATCCTGACTCATTTGTAGCATTTTCGTTGGTTCAATTAGCCCAAGTTGAACATTTAAAATAATGTATTATTACGGTTACGATTGCATGCATGTGTTGTGAGCTTAATTTTTTTTACACAAATAATATTTGCATAAACCTTCATGCATACTGTTAAATCATAGCATCTGGGTTTATCACATGGCCTCCCAGCTAGCCTTTGCCAATTCACATCATCTCCAAGTGCACTTAGCCTGGCCCAAGCAGAGTGAGGATATCACCTCAGCTCAGTGGCAAATGGCAGCTGTTTGTTAAATGGTGTTAGGTTACATACCGATTGTTCTCAAGGCTCCTAATCTGTACACAGAACAATGAAACCTTTATATCCCCGATGCTGACGTTTACACCCCGAACCACAGAATTGACTGTAAAGCAACATGCTTGCTCAGCTTTTTCCAAAGATGGAGCTTCCCCTGTGCTTTGTGATTTTACAGCCACTCATTTAGGGCTGAATTTCCCTAGGGCAGGCCCAAGACTGGTTCAAATATTCTCCACCACCGGGTGGGAGAGATGCAGTTTTAAATTGAAGTGTTTGTCTACTCTATAATGTCTCCGTTTTTGTGTGTATACGTGCGGGGGTATCTAGATGTGTAGATGTGTAGATAGATGTGTAGATACACATGTGGGCACATGTGGGCGACGTCGGTAGGTGCAAGCAACGCCCCGTAATAACGCTCACTCGTGCCATCTCCCCCCCCCGCCACCTCTGCAGGCTGCTGGTATGGGCCACGGCGCCCAGCGGCTGGATGACCCTGGCCATCAAGTCGGCGTACACGGGCTCGGTGGGACTCGCGTCGCTCTCGCTCTTCGTGAGGGTCGCCCACGCTGCGTAGTCGGGAGACACGCACGCCGAAAGCCGGCGGCAGCGTGCTTCAGCCGCTTGGTGCAGAACGTCGCGGTTCGATATCGCGCCGGCCGCCCTGGTTAATGCACCCGGCAGTATTAACCGTGTAGTGCGCGCCGTCTGCTTTCACAGTAGTAGACGTTCAAAGATCCCGTGATGTTATGAAAAAAAAGGAGCAGGCCATGTGTGCCAGCGTCATAGACAAAATTTGGCAATTTTTTTTATCAAGTACTCGCAAATAACCGTAATTGGGAAGCCACGTGGCAACATTGCCCTCTACTAGCAGGCTAATGTCAGTGTGCTGGCCAGTGCTGCATTCAACTTGTCTCTCACAGGGATAACTGCCACTGGGGGGAACGGTATTAATATTAAGTTATGATTATGATTTAACCCGGGTCGCCCTTGCAAAGGCGGCAGTGTTTCACGTGTCTCAATGGATTTATTTAATCTCCTCTTTCATAAACGATATATATGCATTATCGTCGCCCTCTTGTTGAGTCGCCCAATGTGCGTAGCCACCTTGGCTCGAGCGGTGGGTGCGAGCTGAGCGTGCAAGACTCAGGCGGAGGGGGACAGCGCCAGGGACAATGGATGGCAGCGAGAGGCACACTTCAGCAATTAATAATTTACGAGCAGCTGTATGGACATGCACCAGTTTTGCTTGCCAAATGTTCCACTTACTGTATGTTTTTACAAGACGATTAGTTTTGTGTATAGAATGTCAACAATATACAAATGATGCATCATTGTGGGCGACATGCATAACTTGAATCATCTTGTTCTTGTGCGCAAGTACGTTTGCAGAATGCTGTGCCGTCCTGCAAATAATATTAATAAGCGACAGCTCCACTGCTGAATGAAGGTCTCTCATGTCGCGTCCAGTCACGGGGCTGGTGTGACCATATTTTACCGTGCTGGTCTGTGCCGGTGGATGACGGGGGCGTGGACCCAGGACCGGTTCAGATATTGCTCGTCACCGATGTATCGCGTGGCGGGGAATTGGAACAGGAATCATTACATTCATTGCACAGTGTGCCAACTGTTGCACAACAGTTCCCTGGTCATGCATATGCCCTGACTGACATTTTTTATAAACGACTAAATAAAACATTGCAATGCTCATCATGTAGACCAATTTCAATGTTTACACATTTGAATTTGTTGCGTCTTGCTGTTTCAGTCCCAGGTCTTCATAAAAAACCTCCACTTCATCAGGTCTCAATGGACTTATTTCTGCACGTAAAGTACACATTTCCAGTTGCCTGATTTTTTGTCTGCCAGGCCAGTTTTTAACTACTGTTTCACACCATTAAAGGCTGTGGTGATCCTGGGGTTCATGCTGCTAAAGCCAGGTTATCATTTAAGTAATCTATGGCTCTAGCGATTGTCACTTTGATTACTCGACTAATATAAATACGAAACACTGTAGTTGGGGAAAAAGTCTCGCCTCCTTTCCCCTTTGTGCCACTGGACGGGAGGTGACAGACAGGGGGCTAGTTGAAATCAATGGGATCATCAGCTGTGCCACGCTGGGTTTCCTGTCCTCAAGGGGCAAGGGTGTCATTGTGGCTGCCATTTTAAAGGGGTCCAAATAGTCGACTGACGGCTGTAGGTGGATCTGCTGACATGGCTGATTTGCGATGTGGGCTATTGCCTGGAGGCATTGTAAAGGCCGGACAGCCGCTGCTCAGGCTCAGTAAATTGCACACGCTTCATTGCACCTGCGTCAATATTTAATGAGCGTTTGTGCGTGGCCATTTCGTCAGGAAACGATTGCTTCGGTGCACTTTGCGTCTAATGCCTAGTTTTGGTCGGAGTGCCAATTCAAGTCAGCCTGAGTTCTCCCAGAATCCGAGTAGAATGGATATCAATTGGTAACAAAAAAGTGATATCTCCATTGATTGGTAGAGTTACTTGGCAGGCGTTTTCTCAAAAACATTTCCGAGAAAGACTTTCCCAGAAATACATTAGCAAAATGCCAACACTTGCAGAGAAAATGAAACGTTAAGTTATTGTTACCTACTGCATCTTCAATAACACGCTTGGTGATTTATTTCCCCCTCGGCCAGAATTCTGACACCAACTCGAGTTGATAAAAAAATATCAGAACCCGCTGTCCGGACTGCATCTGGAGTTATCAACTCCATAAATGGCGATAAATACCCATCTTAACAGAATATTGCAGGCTGTAAAATCACAGGTTTCCAACAACACACAGAAATCTGAACAAATGCATTGTGGTCCCCTTATCTTTGACCACCATTGCAGTTAACACTTTGCTCACACAATTATTGTGATCACTTCAAGCAATGCTGATAGTTTTTTGCATATGTACGAAGGCTGTGATCTCTAGTTCTGTCGCACAGAGTTTGAGAGCAATTTTAGCCGGTGTTGGACGATGCTTAAAGTGCACACAAGCACACACATTTGCGACCTGATGTGTTTCAACAGCATCTTTAATCGGCATTTGTAAAACGTCATGACATTGGAAACGGTGAAACGGTTGCCAAGAGAACGCGGTCCTTTAAAATGACGTGTACGTTTGAAGGCTTGTTGGCAGAACGTAAATAAATCAAACGAGCAAATGAAAAGTACCGATGCAACACGCATGCAGGCAAGCCGGTTTCCCACAAGGACTCGAGTCAGGGCGCAGTCATCCCGCACGAAACGTCGAATTGTGTCCGTTAGCGCCAGGGCTTCATTTCAGCCGGGAGAATATTTCCACGCCCGGCGCACCACATCCAGTATCCCTCTCGCTATGGGTTGTATCTGCTAGGCACGTGCCACGTACTCCAAACTACCGGCGACCTGGAAAATACTTCAGAAATGTACGCGCTGGTTAGCACTGCACTCACTTCATACTCAGATCGATACTCATATTTAAGCTCTCCCTGCATGCGGTCAGAAAACGTCGCAGCCGTTTTTCTTTGGAAACGTATTTTGTGCGAATACTGCTCTAATGACACTGCATCAAATAAAAACGTCATGCTCAGTACAACACATGCGTATATGTGCTGCTGCATGCATGAAACATGACATTCAAAACTCACTCCGTCATTCCGTGGGATTAAGTACAACTTGAGCTTCGGAAGGATTATACAAGGTCAGCCTCCGATGCCATCTACTCGCACTCAGTGCGCTTCGCTCTCCGATGTGTGTTTCGGGTTGTATTCTGTGTCGATCGGCAGGATGTCTGATATTTCACTTCACGTGCTGGAAGCAACAGCAGCAGCAGCAACAACAAGGCGGAACAACCTGAAAAGCCATCGGAGAGCCATGCAGCACAACGCGGGAGAACCAAAGCAGTAGTATAACGTGCCCTTAAACACCAACGAGATATGTATATATATGCAAAGCATTAACACGATAACACTTGGTGTTTTAAACAGCCCTGTCGGTGTCTCTGCTTTGCGATTGGTGCGTTGTCAATGGACTGTGTGCAGGAGCAGCACAGACATTCGCTCCGAGATTAGCTACAAATATTAAAACGCTTTATTAACGAACAAGAATTAGGGCTTAATTTCAACTGGAGCTGTCTGGGCCCGAGCTCTGTAAAATGTCCTTGCCTCCCCCTGTCCGCTGTCAGGGATGGGAGGTGGGGTGGGGTGGAGCGGGGTCACATGAATTGGGTGTTGCATGGGGCCTCAGAAAATATCCCATGAGAAATTGAACCCTGATAATAATTATTTAAAATCCCAGCCACACTGTGTTTAACGCACGAGTGTACAGCACACTACAAGCAATGCATAGCTTTATCCAACCCTAAAAATAAAAGCTACGGAATATGCAAAAGTATTTTGTGTAAAAAAAACGTCACATGCCGTAGAACAGAACACGAAACTTCATAGTGTCAGCGTTTGTTGTACGAGTTAAGACCATCCAGCCGTATCGTTTAAACCCCCAGTGAATCTGATCCATGCAATCCACTCCTGTGCTCACAAATGTAATGCCAGTTATAAATCCAGGAAACCTTTGCCGAGTCTCAATACTTTTTTTTTTAATCGAAGATCCTGCATTGGGACGTTTGGCCACGACCTGTTTTGCACATCGGAGGAATCTTAATTACTAAAACCCACTCATACGGGTAGGGGGCAGGGGGTAACATTCAAACGTCCGCACAGATGGGTTGCTATACTATCTCGTGGCCACCACGTCATCGGCCCGGCGAGTCTCGCAAATCTCTACGTGATCCACCAGCCCCTCGCCGAGTCACAGGTGTGCATAGCCACCAACAAATCGACCCCTTAAGTCCCCCCCCGCTCACCCGCCACTCAGAGATCACGAGCCAGTAGGACTTGATTGAAATGGGCAAGTGGGACTTTGCCATCTTCGAATTTCAAGAGCAGACTCATGGGACCGAAACCCCTGAACACGATCATCTCTTAAGCTGCACAACCTCGTGCGTTTTCCTCTTTCCCAATTGTATTCCAACTGTACTATCAGTATCAAGTCACGAGATGGTGAGCTATTGTGGCAGTGGCATTCAATGTGATTGCATACCAGAATGTTGGTCAAATCAAGTGAAAATCCCATTTCGACACGATGCAATGTTTTTTTTTTGCAATCATTGTGGCCCGGGCAGTCGAAAGCTGGATTCGTATTGAACCAAGGTTCTTAGCAATGCCGGCATTCAGTGTCTCCGACTCCCCAGATGCACCCGGCTACCTCCAACTGCCCAGAGTGTTCATGAAATAAGTTCAATGCACATATGAAACCGAATGTATGGTTTGCAACCGGAGTCACAGATCAGATTGCTTTTGATATCTCAATGAGTGCGTAGATATTTTGGCTCATTGCTTATCACTTTCTGGGCTGTCACAAAGGCTCTGAATAAATATAGTCTTGTTGTTAAGCCATACATATATCATTGACTGGCCAGTGCTCTGCGTGTGTTCGTAGCCACACATAGAGCACCGCTTATATACCATACCTCTGTGTAGTGTGCATAGCACGCCTAGTACAAGTTAAATGTTTCTGATGTTAATGTAATTGAAACGTGTGCAATGACAGGGTGACACCTGCCGGCCTGTAAGGGTAATTACGGTTATAACTGCATTACATAATGCCTGATTATGAAGGGGTGTATCTGGGTTAAAGGTCAAGGGCGGAGTCAGTCGAGAAGCTCCGGGAACCATCCCGAAGGTTCTAGAAAGGGGGCGTGGCCAGAGGTGGATCTTGGCCACGGCAGGCAGATCTAAGGCGCATCGAACCTCTGGTTCGGGCTGTTAGTGTGGGGTCTGGATCCTGGTTGCGTCGTTGCCATCGTCATCTCTTCGTCTTCGACCACGTGGCTGTTCTTCTGCAAGAGCAGCTCCGTCGCCGCCGCTAGGCTCGTCAACCAGCCAGCGTAGCGCAGGACAGAGATGAGCTGCGTGTTAGGATCCCCTATGTGTAGCCGTGTTACGAAGTGTATCGCCCTGTGTGCTCTTAATAAATAAGAAGCCTTCTACTAGACGTGTGTCGGAAGTCGCTGACTGCACGTGTATGATATTTGAAAGATAAACATAAGTTTGGGGAGGCAAAGCAATTCCATCCCGTTTACGAAGTCAATGAAAGATCAAATGATGTGAGGATACAAAAAATTAACTAAAATGACTAAAAGTGATAACATTTACCGGGTTTCCGGTAATAAGCAGATGAAATCAACATTTTATTGATTTAAATCAAAATCACCTTTGTTTTTATATCTGTAAGTTGAGTAAGTTTCTATCGTTTCAATACAGAATTGTCTCTTATGAAGGGTTTACTAGTGTTGGTGTACTTTGAATCATGACTTTTTCCCCACAGGTGCTTTCTGATTAAAGATGTATGTGATTGGATCAAATATGTGACATGTTTCTGCAATTTTACGCACCGTTTCACAGCAACCTGATATGCGCTGCCTGCGATTGTATGGAATTTGTCAGATGGAGACAATTTATGCTTCCTATTCACCATGTCCTAAATGCGTTAATATTTAACGGAAATACCTTTTGATCCAGGTCATTAGGATACGTTTCTTTCAAGGGCATCTGAATACACTTTCTAATAAATTCCAAGTAATATTTTTGTATAGAATATATAGTGCTTCATTATCATCAACCATTTTTAATCCACTGCTGGATTAAGGCCTGGTCGTCGTCATCTCTCACGATCATGCGATACAGTAAATCACCCAGCGCCTGCACACGAGGTGATCTCATCGCTCCATCTACCTCGGTGGACATCCTTTCGGACGCGTTCCATCTCATACGTGAGGGTGTGAGTGTGGGGAGGGAAGAAGGAAAAAAATGAAAAAGAAAAACATTGGAAAGCCGATGAATGGCGATGCCGGCGGAGCCCACCCCGCCGTGCCGTGCCGTGAGAGAGCAGCGCTCGTGGCGTCCCAGCTCCTGGCGGCTGCACGAGCGGCTCAGGAACTGCTCTTGAGCTCTTCCTCTGCCTGCTCCGCAGCGCAGTTCTCCTTGTTCACCGGGGCGATGACCAAGAGGTCCGTGCTGTGGCGCGACGGGAGAGGGGAAAAGGAGGAGCGAATGCTCACGCGTGCACGTAGAACATCGACAGGCCCTGTCGCATATCCGCTGCTGGATTAGGGCCTCCCCAACGCTTTGCCGGGGGAGGGGGGGGGTATTTGAACGTACTCCAGCGCACGCTGGTCAGAGCGGATTGGTGCGGGCGGGGAGCGCAGGCGGGAGAGTGAGAGATATCGTACTACGATGGGGTTTGCGACACTGCCCTCGTTGTTGTGGCGTGTCATACCGGACATGCTCCCAGTTTTATTCCAGCACGTGAACTCAAGCCGTGCAGGTAAAACGTTCACCAGCCTTCGTCAATAGCACGGACGAGCCCGTCTGTGTGGACCTCATCATTATCAATCTAAAACTAAACTAAAACAACTTTCTATTTTTCTCAGGTAAGGCCCACTGAGCTATATACAGATCTTTTTCAGAAGCAACCTGGCCAGAAATTATAGCTCAAAAACGTGGCTTATCACGTGGAAATTTATAGCAAACAAATACTCTAAACGCGTGTTTCAAAATGTGCAGAGAAAAACCGGAGGACTCGGAGAAAAATCAGCGCAACCACGGGGAGAGAGAAACTCAAACTCCAAATATACAGCAGCAGGCATCAGGGTCGGGATCGAACCCACGACCTCCTGCAGACCAGACGAGAGAATTAACACCTCGCCACATTTTCTGAACGCATAACGTGCACAGTGTGTTATTGCTGGGTGTGACACTCACACTTTGTTACGCTTGTCGATGTCAGCCTGCTTCACTTGCTTGTAGCACGTGATGAGCGTGAAGATGAGCAGCACGGTGCTAGCCACGATCATGAAGTACATCATCACCTCCGACACCTTTGCCGTCACGTCCATGAAGGCTGCGCAACAGCGAACAGGGAATAAAAACCACGGTCTCTCTCTTGTTGTTGCTGTTGTTGTTTTATTCCCCCCCCCCCGCCGGTGTTATGCCAATTGCACTCTGGCATCTTGTCATGAGATGAAGTAACCATTTGGATTTCTCGCTAAGCATTACGAGTCTCCGTGTTAGACAACGACCCGCAGAAGTGGATATCACAGAGCTACATGTGAGATCACTTCAAGAGTAGCACGTTCTCACCCACTCTGCCACAGAGTAACGCCCGTTGCGTGGCAGTCAAACCAACATTGAATTCTTAGAGCTGGCACGTAGCGAAATTAAGCGTAGAACCACATTTTATGTGATGGGGGATTTCTGGCGCAGTTAAAGCTCACATAGGAGATCCAAAATGTAGGAAATTGTATGATGAAGTTGTGTTGCTATGAGGGACTTACCCAATTGAAACGGGCCAAAGTGATAAAAGCATTGCCCAAGACTGAGAGATGAAAACAAGTGTAAAACATGTAGAGGTTCTAAACTGCACCACGTTCACACCGCTGCTCAACTAATTAAACCATCACGTTGCTTGCATCGCAAACCAAGCGACATGGCAAGATGGTTCGCTCTTTCTTCACCACGTTGTTCCTATCCACACGGTCGCAAAGATTCTAATTCATTAAGTGTCTTCAAAATTCCTTCTATTTTTTGTGGAGACCATCAAAGTCCCATGCCTTGCGCTGCAGCCCCGCTAAAGCCCGAGGCCTTAATCCAGCCGCTGTGTGCAAAGACGTCGTGGTGAGTGGTGTGGCAGCTTCTCACGTTCGGGGAGCACGGTGAGATGGATGGTCTTCGTCAGATGGAACTCAGGGGGGTAAGGGACGTTGGGCATCACGAGGATGCGGTAGATATGGCAACGGTAGGTCCCCATGTCATCGAGTCTCGTGTCGTTGATCTCGAGGGACACCTCCTGTTAGTGGGGAGCATCATCGTTACCATCGTCGTCACTTAGTACGTACGCCTGCCACGCAGGCCAACTCGGGGGCGCCCTGCTGTAGGGCACCCCCTTTGGCAGCTGTCACTATGCAGCACTGGGTGGTGAACGCAGCCCAGGCCAGCGAGTGGGCATTAGTTGGGCAGGACAAAGCGATATTTCTGCGTGGCTTCCCAATGAAAAAGCAATTTGATAGAAATTGCACAAAAAATGAAGCACTTGGACCGTGACGCCGGGCACAGATGGGCGACTGTCTTTTGAATAACATGACAGAATCTTTAAAAGCTAATGGTGTATCTTGATGGTTAATATCCCTGCAGGATTAACCAGGGATTTCGCCGTGCTTAAACCACCAGCCTCTGAAATAATCAGCAAAGTTGGTCAATATATTATTATTCATGAGCCAGCCATAGGTTGTATTTGTTACCAATAATAATTTCTACTTTGTAACCCGCCGCACAGTTTCCGCTCGCTTTCGAAGAGAGACAACGACTCGGAGGGGCGAGGAGGAACCAGAGACGAGCGGGAAGGGTGAGTAGGTGGCACGCCAGCGCCAATCTTTCACCCCAAGCTCTGTCGTCCTCTATATACAATATTAAAATGTTATCAGCCTTCAGTTTGTACATCACTGCACATTTTACCATCTACAATGCTTACAACGGACATGCTCTCAGTTACACGTTAAACCGTGAAATTAACCATGAAAATAATTACATCGTACAAAACCCATGGACAATTACACCGAGAATTATTAAAAGCACTAAATTATTTTTGGCATTTAGCTGTATATATAAAATCTTCTGAATGTTTCATGTTGTATAACATCGTTATTCGAGCAAATTCAATCTCATAATCGCTGAGGCACCACAACAGCTGGAAGGCAAGCCACCAGACGGTGAGCCGGGGCCAACAATTACCCAAGCTCTGCAATCCTCTACATCTTAAGGTGTTTTCAACCAATATGGGGGGACAACCCTCTATCCCATACAGAAGAGAAAGATGGAAATTAGTCCGCACTTTGCTGGACCTCCTTCTCCTGGTGAGCCAAGGTATGGCTCCTCCTCAACGCCTACAGAAACGGAGTTTCGCAACATTTGTGCGATCCAACAACCCTTACCCCCACAGTACTGGATTGCAGGCATGCACCAACAATGCCCGAAATGATATTTTTTTACCGTACGGAGGTTATGATTATCAATCACGGAACACGAATCGTGCAATGTATTACAGTATCGCCATATTGCAGTGGCCCTACCTGGTAGTCCTTGCTGGAAGCGAGCCGTATACGCCCTATTTCAAACTGCGGGTTCACGACCTTAATGTTCTCACCATTCCGTTTCATCACCAGGATCTGCACGCAGGGGATGACATGTGGTTTTTTTTTGGCTTTGCTTTTTGTTTTTTTATTTCAACAAAATTTTTTTTTTTGCAAAACAAAATAAAAAACGGTGCAGTGGTTAAGAAAGACACATGGTGGACACCGGCAAAATAAAACGCGACGCTGAAAAGTGTGAAAAGAGGCGTAGAGTGGCGTGTGCTTGGAATTACAATGATAGACAAGCATTGAAGGGGGCACCCAATGATGATATCAGGTAAGGCTGCCAATATCACAGTTTCTCACATATTTAACAATGATTTTCTTAATCTGCTCGGCAAAACAATCTTACATGAGCTGCTATATTACCTATCTGGCTACGCAGAAGAAGCTTGGTTTTCTTTTCCAAGTCAAAGCCTTCTTTAACTCCGAACAATGACTAATAACAATTAAATGGCAGCCCATCCTACAGACGAGGTTATCTTCCACATCGGCTCACTCCCCTTCTCCCAAACATTCTCTCCTCACCGGTTTCTCCATCACTGGCCCCACCACTTCCCTGTTCGCCACTCTCAACACTCACTGGGACACCCGACACGACTCATCACCTCGCACCGTCGCCAGATACTCACCAGTCACCTCGGCCACTCCCACGTCACCACTCACCAGTCATCCACACCACCCTCGCCAAACACGCCGGACACCTACCCACCCGGTAGACACTCGCCAGACACGACCGCCTGCAACTCGGCAGACTTCGCCCACCACTGACAATCTCCACAGCCACCGGCCTCATCATTGGCGCACGCTCACGAGTTCAACTGGTGAAAGACTCACCACATCCGCACGCACCTAGGACAGGTCAAGGTTCTGTACGACCACACTACACCCCTACGCGCCACACCACTACATGCAAACACTGCACCGCTACACCACTTCTATACACGACTACACCATTTCGCTGCGCACTTCTGCACCGTGAAAAAACTACTACTGCTTCTACGCGTAGTGTATGGAAGTTGTTTGTATTTATCATCGTCATAATCATCACTACATGACTGTTACCTGTCAACCCCTTATCAGTGCCCTACCTTATTACAGACCAACTCAGACCTTATTGGTCACCCCGTGCCCCTTATAAATATCTACGTTCATCCTACAACGTCCCATCACAAGGGAGAGACACAAACAAATAGACATTATTTTGCCCATACTCTTTGGTTTTTTCGGTAAAGTCACGTAGGTAATTAAAAAAAAAATTCATCACGACGTTTCGGGTGCAACACAAGCATCCTTCTTCAGACGGAGACAACTTAGCGAAAGCACACCGCTTAAGTGTATTATTTTGCCCCCATTGACACTCAATTTCCCTGTACAACAATACGGGGGGAAACGTATGGGTTGACAGGTGTGCTGTTAAATTTCGATTTAAAGCTTTCGTGACTGCAGGGATCCATCTTCTTGGTTCTTTCAGTAAAGTCACGTAGAAGGGAAGTAATAAAATAATAAAAATAAAACATAATAAAATAAATTAAATAATTCTCACGACGTTTCGGCTACAACGCAAGCAGCCGTCTTCAGGTGTTATGTTTTATTATGTTTTTTTTTATTATTTTATTACTTCCCTTCTACGTGACTTTACCGAAAGAACCAAGAAGAAGGTGTGCTGTTACCTAGCCGCATTCTATCCACTACGAGGAGAGCGAGGAGAGAGAGAGAGCAGGTGTGACTCACGTCGACGGCTGTCATGTTCTCCCCCTTGGGCTGGAACGTCCACGTGACATCCACAAAGGCGTCCTGCTCCTGCCGCTTGCGACACGAGATGCACGTCAGCTTGATCGTGTCGTTCACCACCACCCTGTCGACGGAATCCACCTCCACGCACACGGCCTCCGCTGGGCTTGCTGCGTCAAGCAGAGACAAGAAAGAGCCCCCCCGCCCCCCCAAATCCTCTTGTAGCTTACGCAGAATGCCAGGGGCGAGAGCCGTCAGCTAGCACCGACGAACACCGTCACGCACTGCGGCAGGTACTCGTTTAAGGCCGAGTCGACCTAGAGGAGGCCCAGTACCGGTTAAAATATTGACAACTGCTGCTGATTGTGAGCGAGCATCGAACTCGGGTTGCTGGGTTTGTAGCGCAGTGCGTTACGCACCACACTACTTCTCACCGCTCACCGGCACACTCACAGACGCACGTACACACAAATTCGCTAACTAGACTGTTGGGGCGAGTGCTGTGAGCGAGCATCTATGAAGGCAACTCCGGCACACACACCACACACATCACGCACACCACGCACACCACACACACTACACACACCACGTTTGCCTGACCGCCCTTGCCACGTACCCCACCATTTGTTTGTTGACACAACCCAAAACAATATTGCTTTGGCTGAGTGGACCTAGGAGAGGCACACACCTTGTACCCACACACACACTCAGTAGGAATTGGCACTCGGGGTGGTTGTGGGGTTATGAGACCAACACTTCACGTGAACATGAGCAGGATGATTGTCTTTAGGTGCTGACATCATTTACCCCAACAGTCTTTGTAAGCTACACAGCGGATGGTTTTCTTTGTATGTTTTCGTGTGTTGGAGGTTATTGTTGTTGTTGGCAGCCTGTCACTTGCCACTGATGGGCAAAGGCCTGCCCCTATCCTCTTCCATTCCCTCCTTTCCCCAAGTTGTCCCTGTCCAGCCATGGCCTCTGAACTCTGTGATGTCGCCTCATCGCTGCTGCTGCTGTTCCCTCTGCTGCTTCTCCTTCTCCACTCCGGAGACAGTTTCGTCTCTCATCTCTCGTCAGTCGTTTCTGGCCATGCCCATTCCCACTCAATTACCTTCTGCTTTAACAGGGGCAACATTGGTGACCCCTGTTACTTTCTTTATTTCTTCATTGCTTAAATTGTCTCTTTGAACTACTCTTATCAACTAAACTATTTTTTTATTGTCCACGTGACCACGGGGAGAACTAGCAAACTCAAAATATACAGGTGTAGTGACATCGTTGGATGTCACCGTGTGAAGCCGGCATGGGAGAAGCAGACAACACTGAAGGTGGATGTAGTGGCAGCCCAAGCGGGGCTCGGTGAGCACTGACTGACTGTGACGGATGGCACCACGCTCTGCGTGCAGTGCCAGCCCTTACAGGATAGAGGGCGAGAGTGCCGAGCACGGTACGGGGTTACAAGGGGGCCATGGCACTCTGGTTGACCCCGGAGGACACGTGACTGGAGGTATCTACGGGGACCCCCAAAGAGGGGCTGGGATGATCACGTGTCTAAGTGGAGATCCTTCTCGAGGTTTGGAGAAGGTGGTCGTGGCTAGGGTCGGAGCGAGCCCCGCCACACAGGTGATAAGCCGGAGCCCTGAGCGGCACCCGCTGCTGTTGTCATCCTGAAGAATCGACGTTCCACGTCCGACGTCCAAGAAGAGTCATCAACACGTGGACCTGGACCCAAGCTGGGGTCCCATCCATTGTGGCTACTCCGAGTGTAATTAGTGTCGTTAGCCTGGTGGACCACCAGCGTAGGTTGTTATTCAGTGAAAGGGCAGTTACCCCTTCATGTTAGTGTGTTGATGTAAATAAACGTGTTGCCTCCAAAGAGTGCGTCTACGAGTCAGTTTGAACCCACTACACAGGCATAAGGGTCAGGATGGAACCCACGACCTCTTGTACAGCCGTGAGATGTAAAATTTAGCAAACTTGGTTAGTCCCTGCAATGGCAATTAACATTGCATTTGCAATCATCTTCATTCACGACAACAAGCCCTGAGGAGAGAGGGAAACCACATGGCAGGTGCTGCACGGAGGAGCTGTGATGTTATTAATAGCCCGGAGCTAGAAACACAAGACGAACAGCACAAAATACACAGCGTACAGTGAGCGGATATGCAGAGTTCAACCAAACACACCCTCCTTGCTTTCTACTCACACACACTGCCACCATCAACACCACCACCGCCACTATCAATGCCACTGCCAACACCACCGCCACTACCGCCTACACCAACACCACCACCTTTCATTAACACCACTAACACCAGCACCGCTACATCCACCATCACCACTGCCACTAACTTCACTGTGAACACTGCCACTACTGCCCCCACTGCTGCCACCAACACCACCAACACCACCGCCACAGCCCCCAACACCATCGCCAACATCAACACCATTGACCCCAACACCTCTGCCAACGCCACCACCAGCACAATCTCATCAAGAGCTTGCTACTCCTGTGTGCCCCCTTAGGTGGGAGGGCAACCACAACCGGCACCAACAATTGCCCAAGCACTGTGGTGATATATTTGGATGTTTGGTCAACTCCCATTTACGAGTGATAATTATAAGAATTGATTTAAATGAATGTGTCATCACACGTCTATGGATATATGCACAGCGGAAACTCACAGATCGAACACAGTCGTAGCTCGAATGAGCTTTGTCAGTGTTCCTGATACAGGCTTCAGCCCTCCAAAGGAGGCACCTGGCACCAGGATTCAAACCCAGGTCCTCAAAGATGCTGGCTCAGTGTTCTCACATGGTCACGAGCTGCCTGAGATCAACTCAGGCCAGAGGATTGAACCCAAAGCTTCATAAGAGACCGGTTTCGGTGCTCCGATTGCTCGTTTTCACAGACGCGGATAATCCCGGCAGCAGCTTTATCGTATCACTGGCTTTTCCTACGGCCAATTTGGCAGATTCTCTGGCGATGATAGAGTTACTGCCTCATCCTGTTCTTCCCACCCTCCACGTTATCCCGCCTTAACACTGCTGTTGGATTTGTTAACGAGATTACCGACGGAAACAGTCAAAAATGTGCATTTATAGTCAACGATGACTATGAGTGGACGAATATCATCAAGCACGACGGTGGCGATGACTGCCCGCCAGAGACCAAAGCGCGACTAAGACGAGATGGATTTGACGAGGATGCATGAAGACGCAGGTTTTCTAACTTAGTAACGATAATAGAGACTGCAGTGCACTAAGGAAGACCGTAATTGGTAACTGGCTAAACTAAACATTTATATCAATGGGTTCACCGAGTTACCATGGTCCGCTCATAACCATCCCACAGGGTGGATAAAATGAGTAACCCAGGTGTCATTACTCCTCCATCAAGGCCTCACTGAGTCTCAAGACAATTTTTCAGGAGGTCCCTGATACACTGGGATGTTTGGTTAATTCCTTATGAGATAAACAATGAGCGCTTTGCTCCATGTGTACGGGAGGGATCCTACGTATCCAGAGAAGACCCACCGCACAGCTAGGCTCATGATCCCACTTGCTGTACTGTCATCTGGTGGACACCTCTCACCCCATCATCCATCACATGTCACGGCGAGTATCCATTCGCCTTCAGAAAATGTGTGACCGTCATTCCCACCATCTCTCACATCGCATCTCAACGGCAGCGGTGGCATGAACTGCCCCGGGCACATAATCATCAGCAGTACAGTAGTTGGCTGCAGCATAAGAAATGGCATCAAAAACATCATAATCATCAGCAGCGCCAGATACAGCATCAGTAACGTGAGCCGAATTAGTGGAAATATCCATCAACACCAGCAGTAGCATAATCAAAAGGATTTTAAGTAGAAACAGCAACAATAGCAGCAGTAGCATCAGAAACATCAGCAGCAGAAGCCACCTTAAAATCAGCATCAACAGCAGCAAATGAAACAGCAGAAACAGAAACTGCAGGGGGAACAGCGTGGTGGGAAACAGCAGCAGAAGCAATATCAGAAATGGCAGCAGCAGTAGCAGAGGCAGCGTCAGAATCAATGCGGTACAGTATCAACAGAATCAACAACAACGCCAGCAGTGGACAGCAGCAGAAACATCACAAACATAACCACAAGCAAGCAGCATCGGGGAAGCGCATCAGAGACATCATCAGTGGCAGCTGCGCCCGCCTCGAATCTTCCACTGCAGAGACGCCCCAGTTCATCCCAGATCTCACACGACTCCTCTCTCTCTGTGTGATCACACGGCTCAGTATCTTGAAATAAGCGTTCATCATCAACGACCTAGAACAACAACTGCAACCGCATCGTCAACAACAACAACACACACACATCTACACACACACACAAAAGCCCCTGGGGCTGGCATGAAGGCAGCAGCAGCAGGCAGGCAAGGCGTGACCCTCCTTCTGCCCCGCGGCAGAATGCAGCGTGACCCCTTCCTGCGCCAATGTCCCCGTGGCCTCCAACAATCTCCCTGCATCCCGAGCTGCCGCCGTAGCGAAGTCGGTGGTGTGACACATTGACACGTGGTGGTGGCGATTGGCCTCGTGTGTGTAACATGATGGCTGTGATGAGAAGGTGGTGGTGGTGATGGGAGATGTGCATTCGTGTTGTTATATTGGGGAGCGGTAGTGGAGTGGTGAGCGCAATGCGCTTCCAACTCGACGGCCCCAGTTCAATTCCCGCTCACGACCGATATATGGACCGGTCCTAAGCCTCCCCTAGGTAGACTCAGCCTCACAGCGAGTACTCGGTGTGGTTGTGTAAACATCAGCACTGGGGAAACAAAGGCGGCCGGGAGTGCGGATGACCACCTCGTGTGCCTTGGCGACCTTCATAGAAGCTCGCTAACAGCACTTGTCCTGACTTTCTGTCTGTCATGTTAACGAAAACAGATAGACGATGATGATGGGAAATGTTATCATGATGATGATGAGAATGTTGATGGGATCTGTGATAATGCCCTGTGGCGATTGTGATATTTAAACGAAACGGGCTCATGATAATCACGACATCAGTGCCTTAATAGAGAGTCATTCATGATTATGTTTTGTAAACTTGCATGATAATGATGCGGGCAACAACGTTGGTAATAATTATGATATTACGTGGAAAAGGATGACGTCAACGAGAATGTGATGATGACGATCATAACATTGATGATTATTCATTTGGTGATGATCATATCAAAGAGTGCTATGCAGATGATGAAAATTAGTATTATCATTGATTTAGTCGCGATGCTGATAATGATGACGATATATGGGATGACGGTGATGATGATTCTCATTGGTTTTGTCATGATGAGGATGATGTTGATGATCACGACGATGACGATGTGAAATGGGATGATGATATCAAAGACAGTGCGATGCAGATCACAATAATTAGCAGTATTAGCATTGCCTTGGTCGTGATGATGGTGATAATCATGGCGCGATATGCGATGATGATTGTCATCATTGGATTGATCATGAGGATGAAATTAACGATGATGTAAAATGGGATAATGATGATGATATCAAAGAGGGTGCTATGATGATGAAAACAGATGATGATCATTCGTTTTGTTCATAATGAGGATGATGTTGATGTCAACGAGGGTGCTATGATGATGAAAACAGATGATGATCATTCGTTTTGTTCATGATGAGGATGATGTTGATGTCAACGAGGGTGCAATGATGATGATGATGATGTAGAACCCACACGTACCGGCTACAAGGCACAAGGCGAGAGCAACAATCACTCCTCCTCCTCCGCTGCAGCAAGCGGCCATGGCGCTGGCGAGAAGGAGCAGCAGCAGCAGCAGGAGGATGAATAGGAATCCCGCAAGAGCGCAGCAGCTCTGTTCATGCGCCTCGCTTCTAACACCTTCGATAGGTGTATGTGTGTGTGTGTTCAAGTCGAGCAGCACTTTGCCCCAATATCCTGTGTCATGTGTCTTTATCGGTGTCCTCCTGCCTTCTCCTTTTCACAAGCACGCGTATTCGTGAGTGTCTGGTTGGGTCCTGATATTAAATCACGCGGGGGGCATTAAAAATAGACGCGCGTCTGCGTGTAGTGCGTGTCAGATGTGTGTGTGTGTGTGCTTGTCTGTGTGTGTGCTGTGTGCTGTGGGATTGTGTGTGCTGTGGGTGCCGGGTACTGTATCCCCTTTAAAGGTGACGTGCGGCGAGAGAGAGCGAGATGATGATGATGGGTGTAGAAGGTGGGGTGGCAGCTGCAGCTGATGCTGCTGGATATGATGATGAGCTCGATGGGGGGTGTGGCTCCACCTGCGGTTTCTGCTGCCCAACGCTGCCGCAATAAAATATTCCGACGCAACGAATATCCGATGAATATTGATTTTTTTTCTTATTCCCAAAATGCCGTAAATATTATTCCTATTCTCCTCTCGCTCTGCCTCCCCACAACGCTGTTCCGACTGTTCCACCGGTTGTCTGCGTTGACTGTCACCAGACGAATGACCGCAAATTCGCAAGCAGAAGCGCCAACCATTCGTGTTGGACAGCGGTCAGCGAAAGCAGATGCCATGGAGCTACCTCTGAGATCCCTTCAAAGTGATATCTGGTCCACAAAATAGGGAGGGACGGCACTGTCCCAACTCGCTTTTCCACAAAGGTTAGTGCTCGCTCCGTTTTAACCCTCGGTAGCGTATTCATACAAACGATGTGCAGTAAGCACATTCAATTTGATGGGGGTTTCTTCTTCTGTGTGTGTGTGTGTGTGCAGTAATTCGTGACCGTGCTGAGTAATCATCTCTCTGCACTGGAGACACTGGCTTAGTCACAGGCGGGCTGCCTGAATTCGAAGCCAGGGAACTGAGGCACCAGTGCACAGCCCTTCCCCATCAACGTTGATGATGAGGGCTCACAGTTCACGAATCGTCATAAGAGCCACGTTTTGATCACAAATACCGTATCGTGCTATGAACCCAGTTCCTGAGTTCGATTCCGGTCCTGTCGCATACTCCACATCCTTCACCAACCCGCGTGGTGAAGTATGGCCAAACAACTTCCATGACAGATACGGGGTGAAGAAGCCTTCATACAACAGTTAATTAGCACATTTCTGTGCGTTATTATTTGCATGATAACAATTCTGAGAATTGTATTGATCATGAAATGATAATGCCCCGACTTTTGGAATATTAATTATTTGGTGGGACTGCGTTGGCAGTGCTGTTACTAGTACAACGAACTAAAATCAAGACATTCGTCAATAACACTGTCCACTTAACAGACAAGGCATATAATTGATGTACTATGAAGGCTCATGGACCGACATGTCGCCGATTAGGTGGACAGTATTACTGTTCCTTTTAAAGCAGTGTTTTTGGCGAATGTGTTGATTTATTTTCTAGTGGGCTGTAACGATCGATTACTGTAATCGATCTCGCCTGGTATGCAGGAAGTCATGGTTCGACCCCGACTCTGGTGATGTCTGCTGCATATTTGGAGTTTGCGTGTCTCTCTCCCCGTGGTCGTGTGGAAATTTCTCCGGGTCCTCCGGTTTTTCCCTCCACATATCGAATCGACGTCGTGCGTTTAGAGTGTTACACATTGTAATCATTGTCTTTGTCGAAACCAAACCTCTAGAAGCGTTTCGAGTACTTGGCTGCTATAAAAGTCCACGTGTTGATAAGCCACTTCGCTGAGCTATTATCATTTGTGGCCAGGTCGCTTCTGAAAAAAGAGCTATTCAGCCTAGTGGGCCTTACCTGGTAAAATAAACAAAAATAGTTTTAATTTAGTTTATAGATTATGTTCGACAAGTTATACGCTACTGAACTCATGTGATTATCGAGCGACGGCAGGATAATCTATGTTTTTAAATCCTTTATATTAAGTTCGCTTACTTGCTTGCGTGCTTGCGTGCTTGCTTGCTTGCTTACGATCGTGCAAATCTTTCGGTCGTTTTTTAACCCACTTCCCGTGATCCAATCGAGCTGACATTTTGCACACAGACTCGTTGTGCGAGACAATTAATGTTCGTGAAAATTTTTTTCCAAAATTTTACACTGTTTAGGGAAAACAAATTAAATATTTAATTACCAATTGCTTAATACTGGCAGACAATCATCTGACCCATAGGTGGCAGCCATCTCAAGCCAGAGGACGAGATGACTCTAGCCGCCACGCATATAAAGGATTTATAGTGAAAAACTTAGTTTTTACGGGTTATACTTATTTACAGTGCTGTAGTAGTTGGTGGTGGTGGTGATGTTGCTGCTTGGGCAGCGGATGCAACAGAGCACTCACTACCTTGAAGGAAAAATATAAAATGTGCGACGTTTCGGGCAATGGCTTGTTTCACGAATGCTGCTGGATTGCCAGATATTACTGGCGATTGGAATCGACAAATACTGTAGTTGACGCTTTCTTGAATTGAACAAGGTTATAAAGCACTTGGGTTAAAGAGACGACGATAGAAAGCAATTCCACAGTGGAACAGTGCAAGGGAAGAAGCAGACAGAGAAGTGTTCTTGTCGAACACCGTGTGGCTGAGACGTAACAATTGTTTTTATTGTCTTTTCCCCGCCCGTGCTATTAGGTAGCACGGTTGAATACGTACGGCGCGAAAGAAGTTCAACAAACTGTGCATACGAATCCGTTCGGTGTTTTTGCTCACGATTATTAAGTTCGCCATAACTCGCAACGGTGGTTGCCTGAGACCAAATCCGATCTTGGAAACTAAGCAGAGTCTAAGCCTGCTTAGTACTTGGATGGAAGTCCGCCTGGGAGGAATACCAGGCAGGTGTTGTAGGGTTTTTTAAATCCTTTATATTAAGTTCGCTTGCTTGCTTGCTTGCGTGCTTGCTTGCTTACGACCGTGCAAACCTTTCGGTCGTTTTTTAACCCACTTCCCGTGATCCAATCGAGCTGACATTTTGCACACAGACTCGTTGTGCGAGACAATTAATGTTCGTGAAATTTTTTTTTCCAAAATTTTACACTGTTTAGGGAAAACAAATTAAATATTTAATTACCAATTGTTTAATACTGGAGACAATCATCTGACCCATAGGTGGCAGCCATCTCAAGCCAGAGGACGAGAGGACTCTAGCCGCCACGAATATAAAGGATTTAGAGTGAAAAACTTTGTTTTTACGGGTAATACTTATTTGCGTCTCAAAGCGGCGCTATTCAGCCCGCGTCTCTCTCACACTCCGAGCTGAATTGGCGTTTTCACGTCTGTAGGGGGCACTGTTTACCACTTCATTTGTTTTGCAGCCCTCTGTCAATTCACTGCTGGATGAAAGCTTCCAAAAACGTCAAGATATGCTTGTTTTGACCATACTTGGGCACGCTGTTCAGTGCGGGGTTGGTAACCCGAGTTATATTCCTGCCTCGGTCCAACATGTCATGTATTATTAATATCCTTGTTTACCCAGCAAAACATCACTGAGTCTCATGACTTTCGCAGAAGGGAGAATTATTGATACGTGGAATCCGAATTCATTCATTTGTAATTTGGGGTTCGCAATCGCAACTTGCCCATTTTTATTGTACGATGAGATGGAATCTTCTTGGTTCTTTCGGTAAAGTCACGTAGAAGGGAAATAATAAAATGGAGCGTTGTCTTTCAGACAGCTCTGTCTTCACCTGAGGACGGCTGCTTGTGTTGTGGCCGAAACGTCGTGAGAATTAGATTTAATTATGTTTATTTGTATTATTTTATTATTTCCCTTCTACGTGACTTTACCGAAAGAACCAAGAAGATGAATCCCTGCAGTCACGAAAGCTTTAAATCGAGATGAGCTGAAAATTAACAGCATAAGGTACATTTCGCATTTATTTCGGATGACTTGCTGAAATTGTACATCATTCTTGCCATCGTCTGTTTTGTGCTGGTTTTTTATTGCATTTTCTATTTGTTCATATTTGATACGCGTGTGTTCATATTTTATACAATCCAATATAAATTCAAGATAAATTCGGATTGCGCCTAATACTGTAATTTTTTATTCGCTATTTTACGCAAAATAAGTCTGGGTAATTGTAATTGTGAACCCCAAGTTAGAAATTACTCAAATGTGATTACGCATTGCAATCATTGTCGACTACTGAGCTTTTTCAGGGTAAATCAGCATAAGCGTAAAAACGATGTTGGGCTTCGTGAAATGGGTCGCTGAGCCGGGAATCTAACTCAGGCCACCCGCAATGACAGCTTGGTCTAAACACGTGGTTTTTGGAAGCTTTCATCCAGCAGTGGATTGACACGGAGGGCTGCAAAACAAGTTAAGTGCCCCCTACAGACGTGAAAACGCCAATTCATCCCGGATTGTGACAGACGCGGGCTAAAAACGGCGCCCCCTTGAGACACAAAAAAGCCTACAACACCTGGTATTCCCAGGCGGTCTCCCATCCAAGTACTAACCAGGCTCGACCCTGCTTAGCTTCCGAGATCGGGCGTATTCAGGGTGATATGGTCGTAGGCAATGCTTGTGGAGATCGATCACGCATTTATAGCTGAACAAAACAGACATTTCTTCACGAATGTTTTGGTTTTTTCGTCGACGCAGTATCGTCAAATGTTGTATTTGTTGGAAAGATTGTTGCTTCACAAAGACCGTAGGCGACTGCGACCTGAGGAAGTGTTAATCCAGCAGCGGAAAGATCGCGGCTGGCTAAGAACAATAAACTCGCAGCGCACGTGTTGCTGTTTACAACGAACGACCCGCGGCCTCGTCCTCGACTGGATTCTCAAGCCGCCTCGAGGCGCTTGGACCCCGGCAAAGCCTTCTAGGCAAGCACGGGGGGACGGCAAAAGCCTTGTGGGCCTAACTTTTTTTGCTGAGGCCAGGGCGGCATGTGGTCATGGTTCCGCTTCGGCAAGCATCTGATTGAGGGCGGGGGGTAGTAAGTTAATGTTTCCTGCAGCTCGCCTGTCCAGAGAGATAAGTCGCACTGGAAGATAAAGCCTCCATGCCGGCAAAGGTTTGTCTCAGTTTCTGGTTGCGTGCGAAGTCGATCCACGCGCCCCGCTTTACGATTCCGCGTTTCGATTCCATTAAAGAATCGATTCCCTCGTTTCGGGTGCCACGTGGTGCGCTGTAGATGTCTCGGTGCACGTGGCTGCGTTTGTACCTGTACTCCTCCACTTACGAACACTCGACTAAAGGAACTCTCAGAGATACGAACAAACCCCCTCCTGTATGGCCAGTTGCAGCGATTCACGATGCTATTGCCTGTTACAAGTTGACTTACGACAGAAGAAGATAGCAGCTGTGCAGACATCTATTGGAAAGTCTTTCAAGGGAGCAGAGAGGAAACGCGAGCACCAAAGGGAATTAGCATCTCCAGAACTTGAAGTACCAGTGGCATCTACATCTGCAGAACGTGAATAACCAGTGGCATCTGCAGAACGTGAAGAACCAGTGGCATCTACATCTGCAGAACCTGAATAACTA